TCACACAGTTAGTGGGTAATGTGATGTCATGGTTAGTTTCGTTTCTTAGTACAACAGGTACTTTGTATGGACCATGTGAAGGTAAGGAAATGAGGCAACAGTCTACAATTATACCCCCTGGTAGAGAACCATTGGTGGGTTGTTCAATGAGTGCATAAGGCTCATGCTTGTTTTGGCTGGGTTGCATAAACCCTTCTAGTAACAGTTTTTTATTTGCAGGGAGAACTTCTTGGGTTCTCCCTCGAAGCTTCACCACACCAACTCGTCCATCTTTGCTTTGTTTTTTTCTGACTGCTAAGGCTTTTAGCACGTGTTGGTACCCATAAGAGAGTGCCTTGGAATCAGGTAAGTTATTGGCAGACAATTGCTCATACAAAGGATCGAGTGTGTTTGTGCCAATGAGTAGTGGTGTATCAGAGTTTGAGCTTATATCCGGAACCACTAACGCGAGGGTAGGTAACTCAAGTCCAGACTGATCGAGCTCTTTTGGAAATGTGACACTTATCTCTATGTATCCTAAATAAGGAACTGCTTGACCGTTTGCGCCCTCGACTTCTAACAGATTACTGATGGGTTTAATTGAGAGGTCAGGTAAGTGTTCTTGGTAAAAAGAATTGGCAATGGTGGTTACCTGGGACCCTGAATCCAGTAAACAATTACATTCAACACTGTTAACTGAGACTGTAGCTGTGCATCGCCCACCCACTAATCTTTTGGGAAGTTTTGGCACTGAATGAGCATGAACTGGCTTGCAAAAAAGTCTCTCTGTCCTTTCCTTAGAGGGACTTGGTTCTACTTTAGCACCTATCTGTCCCACGATAGGAGCTTCTACCGGTTTAAAGGAGGAGACTGAGCAATTGGCTTTGACATCTCCCACTCGCGCTGCTTCTGTCTAAGAGCAAGTCTTTTAGTTGCAACTAGTGCTGGATTTGGCTCGTTGCTACAGCTAGAAGCTATGTGCCCATCTTCTCCGCACTTAAAACAGTATCCAGGCTTTGGTCTGGGCACCACTGCTGTTATCTGCTGAATCTGTTTGGGCTCATCTGGAATTTTAGTCCCCACACGGGGTTTTGACTCTTTTTGAGTTTTCTTTGCCTTTTTATCTGTGTTGTTAACCTTAAGCTGTGCAATTTGGCTCCTGAGCTCAGCGATTTGTTTGCGTAAGTCATCACAGTTATCATCTATTTCCAGTTCACAAGTGTTTTTACTCTGAGAGCATGTTGTTTGCACATTTGAATACACTCTAGTTCGTTGTGCCCCTAAGTGTTGTTTCATGCGTGCTGCTTTAGTAGCCTGTTTGTCTTCTTCAGTGCGCAGTTTGAGGAGAAGTGCTGTAAAATGAGGCGGGTTGTCTTTCTTTTGTTCGAGTTGCAGGTTTGAAATCAGCGAGCTGTCCCAACAGCCTCTGCAAAACTGCTTGAGCAGCTGCTGGTCGGCGTCACTGGAGGAAATTCCATTCCTCTGAATAACTAGGTTTAACAAGGTGTATAACCTCTGAAAGTAATCGGAAGGTTTTTCACCACTGTCCTGGTTTGTGTTTAAGAAGCGAGCAAAGAGCTCGTCGCCGTCTTCGACAGCTGCGTAAGCTGAATCGAGATGTTCAAGGTACGTTTCCGGGTCGGATTTTGGACTAAGAGCTTTAACGATGCTCGCTGCTGGGGCTGACAGACTCTCCACGATTCTTCGTACAATTTGGGACTTGGTGAGTGAAGGATCATTTATGCATAACACTACACTACTACGCCAAGTATCATAGTCAGTTTCAAAAGAAGGGTGTGGAACTCGCCCTGAGAACGGTTTTAGTCTGTATTGTGAAGTAGGCGGAGGGATAACCTCACTGCTTTTAACAATGTGTTCCACAATAACTCGCTGAACCTCAGGTGTGTTTAAAAGATTTGGTGGAATGCAAGGGTTTTGTTTTCCAGTCTCTGTAGGTGGACAATTGTCCTTTGAGTTGTTCATATAGTTAACTTCTGGTGTTAAAGGCAGGGAATATGTAACTTGGTCACTATGGAGCATTGGCTCTGGTTCAGTGACTGGTTCAGATGCATGGGTATCCCTTCCTAAAGATTCCCCAATTTTTGCCAGTTCCTCCATTAGAAGGTCTTTAAATGATTGATTGCTACGCGCAGCTATGTCCCTGAGCTCTGACAGATAGGCATCAGTGGCAGATGTGCTAGTTTCTAGACTGTACGCGCTGGCTAGGTCTTGAATATGAAAGAAAACATCTGGGTTCCTAGTACAAGGTTTGTCATAGGGTAAACATTGTTTCTTTAATTCCTTAACAGTGGCTTCATGTTGAAACTCCACAATAATCTGATCACAGTTTGGTAACTTAATGCGCCTGTTAACTGGTCCGAATCCTTCCATAAACCCAAAGACTTCGTTATCAAGGTCTGTATCAGTTAACCCACTGATTAAAACAGCATTTGAAACTTTGACCTTTTCTGTTTTCACAACTTCCATTTTAAAACACTCAAAAGTACCAATAATGCCAAAATGGCAAACCACTGTGACCTCCAGGCACTCTTATGATGTCAGTCAATGGTTAGCTAAGGTAACAACTCTACAATTCTCCTGGCTGGCTCGCCAAGTTTTATGTAACCGGATTACAGGATACAATAAGATAATTAAAAGAAAAAATAAACAAATGGGCCAATAATTAGGTTCGGGGAGAATTGGAGGTTGTTTAAGAATGACTGGAGTCACGGGTATAGCATGAAACGGTTTATATACTAAATTTTAATAATAATGGGAAATATAACACATAAAGATAACACACAAAAACAGATGAAAACAATCGACAATAGTAAAATGCTCGGTATGAGATTTGATCATATGAGTCACAAGTCAGCCGGCGTCAAGTCAAATCCCCACGCTTGGGGTGAAAGTCAGAGTCCGGTGGTGCGATTTTTTCCTACCGCACCGTTGAGATTGTTCACAGAAGAGAGCAGTCTGCTCTTCAGTTACTTGAGATGTCCTGGTTCGTTCAGTGGTTAAGGCTCGCCATCTCCCTCGTCAGGAAGAAATCCAGTTCTCGTTCCAAGTGAGCGATCATAGGAGTCGGGATCAAACCCAAGGAAAAAAAAAACCCAGCCTGTAAACAACAGGACTGTTAGCGAGTTGGCATCGACCCTTCTCGTCACATCACAGCATAAAGTCTTACAGACTTAAACAAATGCTTCACTCTATTGGCATAGCCAATCATGTTTGGGTTCACAGTTCAACTAACATAACATCAATTTGATTGTCTATTAAAATAATTCTCAGTAGCTCTGGAAATATAATTACATATGACAACAATTGTTCAGCTCAATAGGCTCAGTTAGATTCTATTACTCTACACTATTCAACAAGAAATACATTCATGACAACAAGGATACATTTAGTTGTGTTTCTATACAGCATTGTGACACCTTGTATATCTGTAACACAATAAATAAATAAATAAATAAATAAATAAATAAATAAAATGTTCTATAACAAAATTCAACAAAATATAAATTCTGGTCCTTTGGTCCACCTTTGTAAAATAATTCCTCCCTAATCAGTTAGCTTTTATTTATTTTTATTTATCTATTTTTTTTATTATTAAATGTTTGGTTAAGGGACGCATTGCTAATTCTATGGCGTTAGCTATAACGCCCCTGAGGACCTTGTACATCTAGGCCGTACCACCGTTAACTGGCGGTTTGAGCCGTTAACTCCTGGGAATCCTATATGCCGTACCGCCGTTAACTGGCGGTTTGAGCCGTTAACTCCTATATGCCCTACCACCGTTAACTGGTAGTTTGAGATGTTAACTCCTGGGATCTAACGTCTAGCAGCCCACTGCTGTCACCTCGGTTGCTGTAATTAGCTTTTTGAATTTAATAATTTACTGAATTTAATCTCATTCACTCACCAACGCGCTCCAACGGTTCCCTCCTACAGAGGATTGGTTCACTCTGTCGTCTCCACACAAATCTATAAGAATGGAATTAATTTGATAAGCTATTTAAGTTTCCTTTTTTTTTTAAGTTGCATCGTTAGCTTTTTCTCTTCTTTTTTCTTTACTCACCGCGTTGGTTCCAAGTTCCTAGCTCTTATTAGAAGGAGTCAAGTCCGCCTCTCCCTCTATCTATGCGGCACCCAAATCAGGGTTCTTCACGGCCTCGACCGTTGTTTTTTTTTCTCTCTCTCTCTCTCTCTAACCGCTCAGTCTTTGCTTTCTGTATCTGCGTGCTGCACAGCCGTTTGTCTCTCCTCTCGCTCAGCTGCGTCGCACGGTTTTATTTCGCGGAGGCGGGACTTATTTCTCTCAGCCAATGAAATTTCAGATTCCCACCTGGACCAATAGTATACAGCTTTCCTCTTCTGTTTCTGTTAGTGATGTTCAAGATTCTTGTTTTAACCGATGTTTAATATTAAACTCGTTATTTTAGTTATTCACCCTTCCAATAATTCATTATGAAATTATCTATTAGTTAATTAGATATCTATTAATTAGTATTGTTAATTTCCTTAATTTATATTTTATATTTTATCTAAATTGAGGATGGATCATATTAGTAAGCCAATTAGTTAATACCTCATTAAGGTTCTAGCTTATGGGTTACACATGGAAAACAAAAACATACAAATGCTCAAGAATCAGCTGTGGATTTTGTCATTGGCGCAAATTCGGTGTTTATCCCTCCCACTGTCTTCCAGGAAAGTTGATCATTGAGCAGGATTGATGGTTTATCCCGTGAGGTCCATGTGGCAGGGGTGAGGAGTGAGCACCACCTCACCATTTTCACATAAACCATCAATCCTGTTCAATGGTCAACTTTCCTGGCGGGGTCATCCAATAGGACAGTGGGAGGGTTAAATAAACAGTTTAACTTAATATGATTTATTTCATTCAAGGGCCACATAAAATGACTGAGGGCTGCCAGCAGCCCACAGGCCACACTTTGGACATCCTTGGTTAACAAGACGGAGATTGATCCACTTTTTTCTTCTTCTGTGGTTGTCAGGTCCCCTTGGTGACAGTAGACTCTCTGTTCTATGGCAAACTAGTGATCGCTCCACTCAACATCCTCCTGTACAACGTGTTCACCCCACATGGACCTGATCTGTATGGTAACCTACAAAACACTTAACATTATTTCATACTGGTGTCAAAATCAGTCCTGAAATTTGATCAGAGTTGAGCTGAGCCGGATTTGGAGTCTTATTTCCTGATATTTGGATAATTCTCCTCTGATTGGATAACAGCAAGCTGTCTACCACTGACTGTTTGCTCTGCTACATTGATATTTTATCTCAACAAATGGCACAAGCCTGGAGGAGTTCTGCTGTGTGGTGGATTTGCTAACGCTAACCGTTAGCTTCTGCTAAATGTTCTCTGCTGCTTCCTGGATGCTAAAACAACAGCCGTCCCCGTCACAAGTTAAGATGGGTGAAAGTTTCACTGTCTATTTTCTAGGAGACTTATTTTCATGTCCAGGCTGCATGAAAAAAAAAACAGTGACTAATTATAATCAAAAATAATAATTAAAAATTGGTTTTCATCAAAGTACAACTTTAATAAACCATCTTAGATGTTGTATTTTAGAAGTTTTTAGGTTTTCCCAACTAGGTAACAGCAACTTCTTGTGCAAATCGTGACATATTCCTCTGAAGCAGGCTGGTGTAACATACTTTTCTAGTAAAACTTCAGACATATTCAATATTTTTATTCTAAATACACCTGTCTGTGATTTTTCTGGGGTATTTTTAATGATTGGTTTCACTCCATTCCTAGGTACGGAGCCATGGCATTTCTACTTCACGAACGGCGTCCTGAACTTTAATCTGGTATTTGTTCTGGCACTGCTTTCCCTGCCGCTCACTGCTCTCATGGAAACGCTGTTGCACAGGTTCAATGGTGAGGACTGAATGTTTTTTTGATGAGCTGTGAGTCACAAGAGGCTCTCGGAAGCTGCACAGAGCAACAAACGGCCCTCTGTGGATATTTAATTGAATCATTTGTTTGCGCACTTTAATTCACTCCATTATAGACTCACCTAAAGGGTTATTAGGAACACCTGTTCAACTTCTCCTTAACGCAATTATCTAATCAACCAATCACATGGCAGTTGCTTCAATGCATTTAGGGGTGTGGTCCTGGTCAGGACAATCTCCTGAACTCCAAACTGAAGGTCAGAACGGGAAAGAAAGGTGATTTAAGCTATTTTGAGCGTGGCATGGTTGTTGATGCCAGACGGGCCGGTCTGAGTATTTCACAATCTGCTCAGTTACTGGGATTTTCACCCACAACCATTTCTAAGGTTTATAAAGAATGGTGTTAAAAGGGAAAAACATCCAGCATGCGGCAGTCCTGTGGGTGAAATGCCTTGTTGATGCCAAAGGTCAGAGGAGAACTGGCCGACTGATTCAAGCTGACAGAGGTGCAACTTTGACTGAAATAACCACTCGTTACAACCGAGGAATGCAGCAAAGCATTTGTGACGCCACAACACACACAGCCTTGAGGCGGATGGGCTACAACAGCAGAAGACCCCACCGGGTACCACTCATTTCCACTACAAACAGGAAAAAGAGGCTACAATTTGCACCAGCTCACCAAAATAGGTTAGTTGAAGACTGGAAAAATGTTGTCTGGTCTGATGAGTCTCGATTTCTGTTGAGACTTTCAATTCAATTCAATTGAATTCAAGTTTATTTATATAGCACCAAATCACGACAAGCGTCGTCTCAAGGCACTTCACATAATAAAACATTCCAATACAGGTCAGTTCATTAAACCAATCAGAAAGAAGTCCTTTATAAGGAACCCAGCAAATTGCATCGAGTCACTGACTAGTGTCAGAGACTACAGCAATCCTCATACTAAGCAAGCATTTAGTAACAGTGGGGAGGAAAACTCCCTTTTAACAGGAAGAAACCTCCAGAGGATCCTGGCTCAGTATAAGCAGCCATCCACCACGACTCACTGGGGATGGAGAAGACAGAGCAGACACACACACACACAACATATACCGTAATTTCCAGACTATAGAGCGCACCTCAATATTAGCCGCACCAACAAAGAAAAAAAGGTTTTCTACACACACGCCACACTCAAATACAAGCCATGGTCACCAGAGGGCAGCAGTGTGCTGTCTAATGTGAAGTTGATATGCTCAAGAATCACAGCTTAAAGTGGTATAAACTCTTTAGTGTTGATTTAAATGCGATCTTCTTGTGATTTTATTTTATTTTTTGCAGTGCAGAACCTGGGCCGCCCATACTGGCTGACTCTGTCTCCCATGTATCTGTGGATGCTGGTCTTCTTCACTAGGCCTCACAAAGAAGAGCGTTTCCTCTTTCCCATCTACCCGCTCATCTGCCTCAGCGGGGCAGTAGCTCTCTCTTCTCTGCAGGTCTGAGATTCTGTTTGCTGTATTTGGTGTGTTTGGGTTTCTTTTTAATAATAATCAGAATAAAAGGATTCTTTATTTTATTTTTCTCAGAAATGCTACCATTTCCTGTTCCAACGGTACAGACTGGAGCACTACACCATCTCCTCCAACTGGCTGGCCTTAAGTGCAGTTGTTGTCTTTGCCGTGTTGTCGTTGTCTCGCTCGGTTGCCCTCTTCAGAGGTGTGTGTTTAAACACACATTCCTCTCCCTACGCAGATCGACAGTTTTGTACAACACAAGGCTGAACCTTTCCTCTACTTGAAGGCTACCATGCTCCTTTGGACCTGTACCCAGAGTTCCACCGCATCACCAAGGATCCGGCGCTACACTCGGTGCCTGATGAGAGACCCGTCAGTGTGTGTGTTGGTAAAGAGTGGTTCCGCTTCCCGAGCAGCTTCCTCCTGCCACACAAGTCAGTACCCACAACTTCTACAGAAGCGTTTCTCTTCTGATGATTTAAATGACTGTCATGTTGGGGGGAGGCCTAAAAAGAAAATTTGGTTTAGAGAGAAAAGAATGCAAGAAATAAGGGATTAAGGAAACGAAGAAGAGATAATTTACTAAAACATTAAAATCTCCAGATTTTTAGCTAGATGATAATAATAATAATAATAATAATACATTTTATTTAAAAGCCCCTTTCAGGACACCCAAGGTCACTTTACACAAAACACGTAATAAAATACAATAAAACAATAATAAAACCCAAAGAAGAAAAAACAGAGAGAAACATTTCAATAAAATCAGAGGTTGTAGGCAGATTTAAACGTGTGTGTTTTGAGTTTTGTTTTGAAAAGGGTAAAACTGTCGACGTTCCTGATGTCTGGGGGAAGTGAGTTCCAGAGTCGAGGAGCAGAGCGGCTGAAAGCTCTGCTCCCCATGGTAGCGAGACGGGCAGAAGGAACCGCAAGATGGATGGAAGAAGAAGATCTGAGTGAACGGGACGGGGTGTGAATACTTATAAGGTCTGAGATATATGGAGGAGAGAGGTTGTGGATTGCTTTGAAGGTATGGAGGAGAATTTTGAAGATGGACCTGAATTTAACTGGGAGCCAGTGAAGCTGCTGGAGAACCGGCGTGATGTGGTGAAAGGAAGGGGTTCTGGTGATAAAATGATGAAAGATGAAAGAGTTCTCTCTGTCTCTTAAGTTTTCCTTTTCTGTATGGGGGTCTTTAACAAGACAGTTATGTACATTTTCAGATTTACTTTTATTCCTTTGTATTCAAGGCACATGTGCACAATCTAAATGAATCTGCACAAATGTCTCACGACTTTCCAGCAGACTTTTGGCCCAAGACGCTCCAGGAGTTGAACAATTTCCCTTAACCATCCTGGAATAATAGCACAACTAAACTGGGAATCCTTTTTAATTGCTGCTATGGCTGTCTGGCAGCGATCTGCATCCTGACACTCGAGTCACAGGTGGCTCTTTGGACCTTCCAAATGATGACTCTTTTCAACAGTAATGGGTTTTATTTTGAGTGAACTGAGAGGAAAAACAACTCGTCCTACTGTAAAGGTGGCAGACCCTAACCCACATGCATCAAGCACTGTGTGTAGGGCACCAAGCTGCCAGGGGAACACCAACCAATCTGACTTATAAAGAAAAAAATATTCACTTTCGTGAGGCCCACCGTCCGTTCGAACACCGGCCATCACAGAGCGATGATCTAACAGGATGGGCCACAAAAATAAAATGGAGCTTACGGCATCCATGTGGCACGAGCTGGGCCTGCAGGGACAAACGCTGGCCTAGTCTGCCTTTAGCATTAACAAATGTGTCGTTGCATTTGGTGAAAATAAACGAAGAAGTAACTGTGATGAGTTTGAGGCTCGTGTGAACTTTTGTCTTGCAAATGTTTTAAACATGTCGCTGCTGCTCACCCAAATCCCCCAGGAGTAGTGAGACGATCTGGAAACTTCCTCACGGGGACGATTTACAAATTAGTCCTGTGAGATGCTGACTTACAGTCTGGCAGTCCATTCTATAAATCTGAATGTGTAGTCTGGTCACGACTTATTAGCTACGTTTACGTACTATCTGCTTTTTGGTCAAAGAGAAGCCCAAGTCTCTACTCTCCTCACATCAGTGCACACAGCTGCGATAAGCAGCGCTCGTCACCTCCGTTTGGACAGGGGAGGGAGGTATTTGGGTTAGAGAGCACAGTGACTTCTGGAAACTGTTCCACAGCCTTCACCGTTCGCAGTCCCGCCCAGGCTGGGATAGGGAGACAGAGTTGCCATGGTGACGGCAGCATTCCACATTTCTTCTGAGGGGGAGTAATCACTTCAGCCTCACAGGCTCAAAGGCAACAGGGCACCCGATTCAGATAAGAACTTGTTTTTGGGTCAGACAGAGATAAATTCCTCTCTGTCTTAAATTTCTGTTGGTCTCCAACCCCTCTAAATCCAATAATGGCGTAAATTAATCTATTCCCAACCGTGCCGTCCCGTCAACTCGCTCCTTGATGGAATCAACCTTCTGTGCCAGAGCCTGAATCTCAGCCAAAGTTCCAAGCTTACGACTCATCTCGACAATTATATGACTTTGTGCGTTCACAGCGCGGTGTAATCCATCCCTGAGCTCCGGGATTGAGCCAATATTCCCCGAAAGCTCATTAATTTTCCGGTAAGCCAGGTAACTGCTAAGGCCAAACAGCAGGAATCCCGACACCAACACCACGAAATCCAGACGTCTTCAGAATCCTCTACAGACAGTTGAGGGAGGCAGATCAGGTTCCACTGTTTCCAGGAGTCCATGATGTGCCCGGCTGGCTCTGTCCCAGAGGTGCATCCGGGAGCTCATTCTCCCGCTCTCATCGTTGAAAAAATCTTGTCAATCGCATTGAGAGATCAACTGACCAGGTCCATTTTTAATAATTTCCAGTTTCCAGAAAAAATGCTGAAGCGCCGTACGCCCAAAGACAGACAAAGAGCCTTGGGATAAGAAAGGGAGGAGAGGAGGAAAAAAGCGTCTGTACTCTCCAAGAGCCGGAAGAAGAAGCCTACATACAAGCCTCTGCCATCTTAGTTTTGCTCAGTCGCAGTAATATCCAACCCACCAAACTGACAGTGCTGTGATTGGCCCAAAAAACTGACAGAGTGCTGTGATTGGCCAACCACCTGACTGGCCTGGGCTGCGGAGGTTCCAAAGTGGCGTGGCTACTCAGACATGCAGAGCTAAATTGTTTTGCTTTGGCTGCTCTCTGTCTAGATTTCTAGGCTAGCTGACTTATTTGATCTTGTTCCATCTACTTCTGCTGTTTTAAGGCGATGAACCACCATTTAGCTAACGCTTTTCTTGAGGAAAGTGTTTAAAACATTAGCACAATTTAGCATTGCATTCTGCAGATTCACTAAAAAGGGGATTCAGATTTTTGATTTATTTCAGATACAAGTGTGTCGTAGGTCTCCTGATAAGTGACTCTGTGTCTCTGTAGCTGGCAGCTGCACTTCATCCAGTCTGAATTTAAGGGGCAGCTTCCTCAGCCGTACGCCCCGGGGCCTCTGGCCACACAGATCATTCCGGCTAACATGAATGACCAGAACCTGGAGGAGCCGTCCAGATACGTGAGTTACTGAGTCATGAAGATGTTTGGCATCCAGTTTACCTGCAGTTAAACTGACTATTGATCTCTTTTTGTGCAGGTCGATGTAAAACAGTGCCACTACCTGGTGGATCTAGAGACGGATGAGGAGACGCCACTCGAGCCACGGTACTCATCAAACAAGGAGGAGTGGAGCGTCATTGCCTTTAAGCCTTTCCTTCAAGCATCAAGGTATTTTCACAAATCTGTTTTCTTTCTTCTGCATTTAACATGGGCGCCAGAGATTTTTCAAGAAAATAATCCATTTTGACATGAATATTTCAAAAGGTTGTAGCTTGGAACTGGTTGGAGATGAAGGTAAACTGTAAATGAGAAAAATCTTCAGCAGGACTCACAGTTTGTGTTCGCCAATCTAATTTGGATATTATGACATCACAAGGCTGCCGTATTGGAATGCATCATTTTTTACATGTTATTTAGAACTTTTCATCAAATTTAGAAATGTTTTATTTATATGTACAAATAAAGCTCCTTAGACATTTAAATTTCATAGATTATCTTTTATATTGTATCTTTAGAATTTTTATTTTGGCCTCATTCAAGAGAGATGCTTTTTAGCCATATTTGTCTGGTTTCTTTGGGCCTGTACGGCTTCAGGGATGTCCTTCCCTTGAATATAATGATCATTTGATCCAAGGGAAAGAATATTTTGATGATTATGTGGCACACTTGGATCTCCATATAAAGTGCATCTGCTGTGGTTAGGGTTAGCAGTGTTTTTTAACCATCATTTCTACATCCACCATGTCCCAAACACGGTGGAACAAACATCAAACCCAACGTTTGGAGCTTGTGAGCTCCAGACACCTTACTCTCATGCGGCACCAGCTGTCTGATCAATCTTTCTGGCTGGATGAGTGAAATTCTTCATCAGAGCTTGAATATTTTGCTTCCTGATCGAAGTCAGTAATGACCAGACAAAGAGATCAGTCAACAAAGACCAGACCTGCCAGCAATTGTAAGTGTTATCCCTCTAATATTCGCCCTCTTCGTGCTGCACTCACCTCCTCGTCTCGTCCTCTCCCCTACCGGGAACCTCTTGGCAGTAGGCGATTTTCAAACCCTAAAAACTCAGAAACTTTCAATATAAACACACCCATAAGTGTTGGTCACCCTGAATTTACACATGCCCACTATCTTCTGATGTAAAGTAGTAACTCCACGAGGGATCATATTTATAGCTGTGGCTCGTTAAGCAATGACGCTTGTCGCAATATTGTGACTTTGGCGCCTAAAGGATTATGGGGACCTTAAATTATTTTACTGCTGACACCTTTTCTCTGTTAGGTCTTCTCCTGTCTTCAGAGCCTTCTACATCCCATTTTTCTCCGACCATCACACCACCTACAGGCGCTACGTCATCCTAAAACCCCGACGGCAAAAGCAGCCTCGTAAGCGAGCCAACGGCTGACGTTCAGAACGGAATCCGACAAGAGAAGTTTGTCACGTCCTCTTTAAACAGCTGGCCTCTGTGTCAGCATGCATGTGATTCACATCATCAGACTTCAGACCCTTTAAAGACGTTCGTCTCTCGTCTGCTGTTGTCAGGCTTGTGTTTGTGAGTGAAGAGAAAACGTGTACAGGTAGCAGCCATCCGATGGACTTTTTTTTTTTTTTTTTTTTTACTTCTTTTGTGTTTTTATGTATAATTGTCTCAATGAGGGATGCTCTTTGCAGGATGTTGCACTAAATTCACCTGTAATGGTCTGCAGCATAAGTGTTTTTATTTTTATGTTGTACTTGAAAATATGACCTGAATAGAAGAATTCCTGTGAAAATTTGCCCTAAGGCATCCTGTAAAGGAGTAAAAATAAGGGGTTGTCTCTAAATTACCTTGAAATATGAATAAAAAAATTATTGACTGCCAACATTTATTTATTTATTTATTTATTTGAGCCTTTTTCTTGTGTAACAAACATACAAATCATTTTACTTTAGAGCAGAAAACATCCAGATGACTGAACACATAACGCTTTTGTCGATTCATGCCGATATCTAGAGGCTGCAGGCACTGAAGCAAGCATTTTTGTTTCTATTTCCTCAAGAGAAAACCAAACCACAGTGACGAGGAACAGGCCTTCATTACAGTTTAAGGCGGCTTTAAATAAAATAGCTGATTTTGGTTTATTCTAAATTATAAATGAACGTGTGAGATTCAAAAATGTTTAGTCGCTCCAAACAACTATTGGGCCATTCCCATCTGTACCGGGTCGTCACGGGCCGGGTAGCGTAGGTTGTTTACATATCTGGGTGGCCTGGTATTTTTCCGGGCCAACCAAGGCTCATTATCAGCCCTCTTCTCGAGGGGGTCTGCTTCAGGCCGACCAGGCCAACACACCCACTGCTGACAGCAAATTCACACCTTCCATTAGAGCAAGCCTCTGATTGGTGGGTAGAATCAGCCCACATGGGCTTAAGGCAAGGATGTGTGGAATCAACCGGGCCAGGCTGGGGCCGACTAGGGCTACCCGGCCCGGGCCGACCCGGTACAGATGGGAATGGCCCATAAAACTTAGCCGATGACCTCAAATGATCTGACCGAGCAAGGACAGCATGACAAGACCATGCAAACAAGCTGTTAGACACACACACACACACACACACACACACACACACACACACACACACACACACACACACACACACACACACACACACACACTGTTGTCTGCTCTCTACTTTAGAGGTTTTATAAGATCAATCAGCTGTTTATTCAGAGCTGCCTGTGATAATTAAAGATATTTTTGTTGTAGGGAAGGTTAAATGTAAAAATCCTGAGAAATGGTGACATTTGGGGCTCTATCACTTGTGTGACAAGGAATTCAGCTCAATCAATTTGATTTCTAAAATGCTATTCAACAATGAAAAGGTTATAAAGAGGATAACAAATCATGCAGTTGGCCCAGGTGCTTCTTTTTCTCATGCATCTTTATCAGAAACCTGGTGCATAGATTAATCAAAATGTTATTCAACTGTAACAGCTTCATATTTGTGATCCTAGAGTGGCGTGTAGCCCTGGATGGATTAAGGAGCCACAGATTCTAACTCCATGATCTTCAATCTCTGTCTTCTATTATTCTCTTTTATCCAAATGACATCAAATCGATTGAAGCATTTTATTCGGTCCTCCGTAGCTCCATCTGGACCCACAAGAAGATGCATTACAGAGTTTTGATTAGATTTTCTTGGCTGTAAAGATATTAATCTTTAATATCCCTGTCTCAACCTGCCATGCAATGAACATTCTGAATCTCAGTAATCCACAGGGTTTCTTTAGAGACCTGAATCTAGAATAACCTGAAAGTAGTCTCAGAAAAGAGTGAATATCACTAATCACTGAACTAGGGTGCAAAGACGGAGAATACACAGACCAAAAACAATTTAAACTGAATCCTAAATGCATTTTAGCATTTTGTTTTACATAAAAAATGAAAAGCAACCCCTTTAACATTTGCTACATAGTAGAACAGCCTCTACGCTGAGAAACAGTTTACATTCTTTAGGAGTGATAAGCTAACAGCTAGTCTGAGTGCAGCTATCTTCTAACAATCCCCTAAATTTCATGGTTCATGCAACCAGCAGGAATATTTCTACTAAGTAATTATATTTCCACTAAATAATTTTAGTGCCATCTTTTGGATTTATTTAAACCATTGAAACATCAGAAAACAAAGTGGCTTTGATACTGAGACGTTTTAAAATAACTATTGGTCCAAACTGAAGCAAGCCCTTGTCTGGCCCTGAGGTGGAGCAGCAGCACTTTATGAAGCCTTGGGCTCATTTAATCCTATCCAGTGTCTCACTGGGCTGCAGCTGTTGGTGACTTGCTGGAGACACACAATTGCAAAGAAAGAAAGAAAAAAAAATCACCAACTCTCAAAGTAAGAATTTTACAGTGAAATAATCACAAAATGGTCTAATGTCTCGGAAGGAAGGTTATATTAGCCCCTTTTTGAAAACAACGCTGCCAACTTGCCACAAGGCTGAGCTGGCATCTGGGAGCCATAGGTCGTTTCTAAGTGGTCAAACCATGGTGCTAATGTGGTGCATATCATGTCCTTTTTACAAAAATTACACAGTGACATTATAAAGGTGGTATGGGGAGGTCTCTGCGCTGCAGCGGACTTCCGTTTAACTTGGGCATAGCATGCTTTTTATTGCTATCAAAGCTGCGCTCATTAGGTTTTTTCACAAGCTGCTCCTAAAGATGTCTGTCCTCCACAGTCCATGTAAACTGTGATCTGACCTCCATCTCTAATGGAGAGAAGCTTGCAGAGCTCTGCATCACTCTAGTTTATCATCTAAGCTGATGCTGTTCAAAAAGCGAAACATATTGCCCATGTTTACTTTCATTTTTATGAAAAGTTTTTAATGAAGTTTCCTGCCAGAGCTCAGAATTAACAACACCCTCTGTTGCACCAAGGTGTAATATGTATTCACAACAGTGGCGGCGCCAGGGGGGCGCTAGGGGATGCTATAGATACCCCTGGATTAGTCATTGCATCCCCATAGCACCCCCAAGTAAATATTAGATTTTTTTTTTTTTACAATTTAATTTTAATTTAACATGTGGATGTGATAATATTTAACATACAAAACAAAAATAATCAGTAAATTATCATATAGATAGTAAAAACTTACATCAAAACAGGAAATTGATGTTAACCTTTGACCTCATTTTCCACCTGCGAACGAGTGAAAGGTAGAGCAAGTGGTAAAATGGATCGGGTTTTTGTTGCCCACATTTCCACGGGTTCAGTCAGAAACGAATGCATCTTTGGAAGTGGTCTCAGACCCACAAAAACCTACGGATCTGGATGAAGAGAGTCAACCCTCAACCGCCACAGCAGTCGAGGGTTTAGCTGCTGGAAATGCTAACACTAACGTTAGCTAACCTTGCAACACTATAGATGGTTTTCTGTGTGGCTGTATGTGTTTATGATTTCATGGAAAAGAGATTGTTCATTTGTTTATGATGTACATTAATGATTGTTTCAGGTGATGTTGAGGTTTTGTGCACGCATGCGTATCTGCTAGTGTTCAAGGTGTTTTAGAGAACAATAGGTACACATGACCACTTCCTTCAAAGCACCCTCAATTAAAAGACTAGCTCCTTCATAGCACATGCAGAAAAAGAAAATTCTGGAGCCGCCACTGATTCACAAGTCCGGTGTTGCGGCAATATTACTACCAAGGGTGGCGGCACGAATGCTGCAAAATTCCCGCATTGCCATGCTGCCACACACCGTGTGATTTGCTGGCATGGTGTCCTCTCAAAAGGGCTATTGGAACAGATTTCCTTCTCAGCCAACTGTGTGGTCAGTTTTTCTCCTTTTAAAGAGGCAGACGAGGGACACAATCTTTTACAATATGTCCCACCTCCATACCTCCTTGTTCCAGAACCAATCGTATGTGAAACTACGGGGTTGCCAAGTCTGCACTGGCAATTGTAATTTGACAACGGCATTGTGAAAACAATGTTGGCCAGAAAAAGGCTCAGAAGTTATTTTACCCCTAAGAAACCACTGCACCTTTTTGCTTTACTCTAATATTTAACAACAATAACAAGCTAACGTTGAGCTAACAATGCTTACGGTCACTTAGTAAAAAATAATCGACTCTAAAATTTCTCAAACTGCATTTTCAATTGCCAACAACTCAATATTAGAGTGAAGTGTATTTACCTTCTTACCAACTTACTGGGTATGACTCGTCTTTGCTCATTGTGCTGCGCTGTGACTGGCAACAGTTGCTTTTGATACATGGACTGCAGTGCCCAGATTTGACCACAGGATTTCATTTTTACTTCATGCACCTTTAAGATGTTTCACATTCTCACACTTCTCATGGAAAATCTCACAAACATTAAGACATGCACTGTGAGTCATGAAGGAAGATCAGTAACTTTCTCTGTTTATCCAGTCCTGCTCGTTAAAATACCTCCTTCCAGAATCCAGGTTCAGCCCATTTTTGTAGCAGTCCAGATTTGTGTGGAAGGATTTTCGCTGTGTTCCCAGGGTAGTGTGAAATGTCTTGTGCTTCCCGCTGGTGACGTAAGTCTGGTAGAGGTCAACCATTCCTGTTTGACCTCCAGGTTTTAGCTTGCCATCATACAGGTCACTTCCTGGTCGGAAGCTGCTGTCGTATAGACCGTGGTCTGTGTACAAGCTGCTGCTGTAGTGCTCACTCTTAGTGGTGCGACAGCCCATGCTTCTGTCATAAAACTCTCTGTTTCCACTGCGACCGAGACTGCTGTCATTCAGCTCTCGCTTTCCTGGGCGACAGAGACTGCCGTAATTCGACTCTCGCGTTCCTGGACGACCAAGACTACCGTCATTTGACTCTCGCGTTCCTGGACGACAGAGACTGCTGTCGTTCAGCTCTCGCGTTCCTGGACGACCAAGACTGCCGTCATTCGACTCTCGCTTTCCTGGACGACCGAGACTGTTATCGTTCAGCGCTCTCTTTCCTGGACAACCCAAGCTGCCGTCATAGAAGTCATGGGTCCCACGACGCCCGAAGCTAAGCTCGCCAAGATCAAAGTTTAGGAAGTCACTCTCTGTGCTCGCCAGCGTCACAAAGCCACTCTCTGTGTCCCGACCTCCCAGGTTGTCATAGTCACCTGTTGGCGTGTCGGGGGAAGAGCATAAAAAGGAGGTGTTTTTGGTGTGAGGCCGAGCTGAGACCAGGTCGTCATCCTTCTGAGAGCGAATGACATTGTAGACGTCTGGTGTAGTTGGACTGGGGCCAATTCCAGGTTCTGTCTGACATACTTCTGATTTGTGTTGTTTCCTCTTTCTGTTACACACACACACACACACACACACACACACACACACACACACACACACACACACACACACACACACACACACACACACACACACACACACACACACACACACACACACACACACTCTTGTAAATAAAAAAAGACAACTCAAGCTAGACCTAAACACTGATTCTTTGAGGATCCATGACAGGCTTGTTTCAGGGGTTTCTGTGTTCCACGCCTGATTTTAATCAGTGGGTTCACAGGCCTCTGCAGATCTTGAGGACCTGCTGAAGAATGAAGTGAGCCACAAAATCAGGTAGATTAGGGCAGGAAACATATTGGAAACATGCCGATCATAAATCCTGGCTTTTGAACATGTTTGATTTTCTAACCCCTTCTTTCCACGGGACACGAAAGTGCCGTGTAACGAAATAGAGGCATTTTACTTGTGAGCTCCCTTCCAACTGGGAGCGATTTTGACACAAAACGGGAGTGAAAGCGTTCCACACAACTGATCCTGAGGTCACAAAATCACAGGAGAATTGCAACACCACGCGTGATTTTGAAAATTACAAACAAGTAGAAAGACAGCTGCAAGTATCCAAAAAGGTCTGTGGCTTCTTTTTTGTTGTGTTTACATCGACTACAGGGGTTTTAACAGGAAATGACGTATGTTCATCTGCACGGGACTTTTACTTTGAAAGTTTCTGGATAATTTACACTTTTCTTGTGTTTGACCTCTTGTCTGGCTCAATCTAAACTGTGGAGTTTGACATGTTTTGGAACCGTAACGTGTAAAAAATAAGCTTGAAATGTAATGATGGCGTGCCTTTTCTTCTGGGACGCGTCAAAAACGTTTTACTGCCAGCGGAAAGTACGTTTCACAGCTGATTTAGTGGTGGAAAATTCAGGCTAGTCTTCTTTCCACAGACAAATAAACATTCTGACTGTTGAATGAGATGTGTTGACTATTAGAAATCAAAGTAAGGGGAGCATGCAGCACTCCTTCTCCACCATGTTTGTTTTCTTTGAAGTCATATTTGGTCTTTCTCTTTAGACCAGGAAAAGTCAGTGAGTGAAATCACTTTGTGTTTATTGTGTAGTTTGGGTCGAGTTGCTGCACACCACACACTAGAGATGTAAGAAAATGTAGATATACAGAAATATAGCAACATTTTGTGTTATGACACTGAATTGATCATTAAAAGCAGAGTATTACTATTTTTAAATTGAGAGTTTATTGGAAACGTTAACAATATTACTTTTGTTTGGTGCAAATCAAAATACAGCTTTTACCGCCTTCACTCTGGCAGAAAATGAGATCTGGCGATAACACCAGATGTGTCCTGAAATAGTTTTTCAATTAAACTCTGTCTTAAATGGTAAATGGCTTTTATTTTTTTATAGCATTTTCTTAGGGTTCTACAACCCCCCAAGGCACTTCACAACACAATTCACCAGCAGGCAAGGTGGGTTGAGTGTCTTGCCCAAGGACACAACAGCAGCAACAACCTGCTACTGCTGTCTTTAAAATTGTATCGCAATATATCAAATCTTCTCCCCTGTATTGTGACATTTGTCATATTGACAGAATTTTGCATATACACACCCCTATTACACATTAAAGGACACATTCTGGTGAATTAATGATTTTATTTTTTTTACCACCGTGGTCTCCCATGCTTTAAAAACTGTGAAAAAATTGAAAATCCTGCCGTGTGAATTGTGCTATAGGTAGACAAATGGCCCATATCAACTATCAGACCTTCTCTGTAACTTTACCGGACCTTCGTGGCATGCCCTCATCTCCAGTTCATGAGGCTTGCCTAAAAGAATCACATTCCAAGCCATTTCAGGGACCAACCGAGTACCTAAACTGGGGCATGTACTGGGAATAGGCCCAGTAGAGTCACTGGGCGGGTCTTATGGTCAACTAATTTGCAGATGTAGCCAAACAACTGGTGCTTCTTCTGATCATCGTTGAACACCACTTTTTACTACACACACAGCTGTTATCTCTGTCCAGTAAATGGATGAAATTACGCCACACTATGACTAATTTTAAATTGCCTTTTGGCGCCAATCAGGGATGTCGCTCACTGCCAAAATGGTTACCATATGTTGACATCTTAGCAAAGTTCTGAAAGGGCCGAACGGCTGAGAGAACCGAGCAGTGTATTTCCCTTGTAACTTTCCCCCTCTCCAGAAATTTCCCAGAAATTCCTATAGTGGAAACACGGCTATTGGTGCAGAATTGAGAATTTTAACATTTCTGTCAGAGTGAGCTTGTCTTTCAGCAACATTTAGCCTGCACCACTGGCTGGATTTTATTCAAACTCGGAAAGTAATAATTGGATGTACATTTACATCCGACTAACTTTTGAAGTGAAGTTAATTCCGGGTAGAAAAATCAGACATTCCTTTAAAGCAGACAGTTTTACAGATATTCAGAAACAATAACTTTTGATGTCAGCTGAGAGTCAGTCCCAACAGATCATGTTACGATCTCCCATAAGATTGTAGCGTTTACAAGAATAGGCCAAAGAAGCCATTTCTGTAGAACTATAACTGTTTCTGGTAAACGTCTGATACGGTTTGTTGTCAAAGCAGTTCCACAGTAGATTTGATTTGCTACAAAAACTGCTGAGGCATCGCTATAGACAACATTTTTTCTTTTTAATTTAGAAGGTATCTATACGTTTTGCAGTTCACCTACTTTTTATCTGGTTTATTTTGTTTTCACCTAAACACAACCACCCACTCTTCATGTATTGTGATATTTCTGACTCCCATTGGTGTTGTAGCCTTTGTTGTGTTGATTTTGTGTTCTCACCGCCTGAGTAGCAGCTTGAAGCAGCAAACTCCCATCGCTGTCAGCAGCAGCAGGATGAGTGGGATTGTGGGAATGATCACATAAACTAAATTTACCACTGAAAAACAGACTCAGTGTTAGAAATGCAGAATTAGTGATCACTGTCACAGTTTAAATAAAAAATAGTATAACCTGTGCTTCTGTTGTGATCACTTGGACCCCATGGCTGCACAGATGGGAAGAAGGCGTCTGTAATGAAAACGGTGTTAAGACTCTGTTTGTCTCTAAATAGGGGAACCTCCAACTGCAGCATGACTGCTGAATGATCACCTGTTTGAGTGGAGTTTGGAGACAGAGTGGGGTCCAGTAGTGTCTCTGAGGAGAAAACCAAAGGTGACATCCAGTTAGGCCCTTCTCAATGTGAAACAGAGGCCGATTAGCCCTCCTATGTACCTGTAGTGTATTTGCAGATAAAGTTGTTCTTGGTTTCACAGTTGTCGTCGTTCCACTGAAACATGTAGAGTCCTCCTTGTCCTGGGGGAGCAGACGGTTGGTGGTACATAACCACACATACTTCATAGCCACACGACGGCTCATCCAGGTGCCAGTTCCTGAAACACACAGATACAATAATACAATGGGTGGGTACGGAAAGTGTTCAGACCCCTGTCAATTTTTCACTCCTTGTTACATTGCAGCCTTTTGCTAAATTCAATTAAATGCATTTTTCCTCAATAATGTACACAAAGCGCCCCATATTGACAGCAAAACATAGAATTTTAGAAATGTATGCAGATATATTAAAAAAGAAAAACTGAAATATCACACCGCCCCATGGTAACGTCCTTTTGCTTAAACGGAAAACTGCATTATTATAAATTTTGATAGGGGTGAAGAAAACCTCACTGTTGTGTGTTTGTAATGTTTCAGCTCATTTTCAGCACCAAACAACAATAATCTTGAAGCACCACGGTTGCTTTAACCGGATTATTGCTCGATATTTTATTTAGTAAAACACTGCAGGAACCTGGTTCAGTTCAATTCTGCTGAAAATTCATACCAAACATCAGTTTAGATAGAAATATTAGCCTGTTGCTCTACATCAATAACTAACTTTAGCAAATTTGGGTCATCAACTGATTCTGTTGCAGATCTTTAGTCCAAAGTTGTTCACGTAACTTTAAGGTAAATGAAATCCCATTAAAAGGATGACTGATAGATGTGAAGGCATCTCTTCATAAGCAGCAGCTGAGTCCAGCTGTCCATGTTTATGTTTATTTATTTGGCAGATGCTTTTTATCCAAAGCGACTTACAATTTGGGCTGCATGGTGGCGCAGAGGTTAGCACTGTTGCCTCACAGCACGAAGGTTGCAGGTTCGAAGCTCGGCTCGACCGCGGCCTTTCTGCGTGGAGTTGCGTGTTCTCCCCATGCATGCGTGGGTTTCCTCCGGGTACTCTGGTTTCCTCCACAGATCACAACATGCCCTATAGCGTCTGCTAAATGAATAAACAAACAATTTATAACCTACAGGGCATGTTGTGATCTGTGGGGGAAACCGGAGTACCTGGAGGAAACCCACGCATGCATGGGGAGAACACGCAACTCCACGCAGAAAGGCCGCAGCCGAGCTTCGAACCTGCAACCTTCGTGCTGCGAGGCAAAAGTGCTAATCACTTCGTCACCATGCAATTTTACCTGAACCTGTTTAGGTTGCATGCAATGCATATAGGCATGGACATAATTTTCACTTTAGAAGTAGGGGAGACACGGGGGGGGGGGGGGGGGGGGGGGAATCTTTACAGTATGCTCTAATGGCAAATGGGCTTCAACACAAATGGTTGTTTTCCGCTTGGTCGTAGAGCACAACCAGTGTCACTTTAATATAGCGTTATATGTTTTTGGATGGTAAAAAGTACAGGGGTCAAAACTTGACTTTGGAAAAAGTGGGGGGGACATGTCCCCCCTGTCCCCCCCAAAATTACGTCCATGCATATAGGCAAGGCAAGGCAGCTTTATTTGTATAGCACATTTCAAATACAAACGATATTCAAAGTGCTTTACAGAAGCAAGAACAGCAAATACAGTAAACCAAACAAAGAAATGTAGATATTAATTTCAGATTAACAGATTATAATAAAAAAAAACCACAAAATTCATATTTTGTTTTTAGTCTTTTTGAGAAGGAACTCTAGAAATGTAGCCACAAGGAAAATTGTCTTTAAACTAGAAAGCCTTTTAAAAGCTGCCCTAAAGGTGTGGAACACCTGTTTAATCAATACATTTACAGTGGTCTCTAGAAGGAATGAATGCCTTGTACTCTGGGGAAAAAAGGCCCCGATGCGTCTGTTTCTGGTGCTAGTATCACTAGTATCACTAGCCTCATCAGAGGAGAGCTTCAGAAGGTAGGATTTAGAGTCTTAATTCCTGATACATCTCTCCTCTGATTGGCTAACAGCAGCACATCTCTACCACTTTCTCTGTTTGCTCTGCAACTTTGATGTTTTATCTCCACAACTAACACAAGCCTGAAGGAGCTCTGCGGTGGAGTTGCTAGCAGTTAGCTTCTGTTAGTCGAGACGTTCTCTGCTGTTTCCTGGACGCTAAACCAACATCAGCCTTCCCCGTCCTGAGTGATAATGGGTGAGTCCATGACTGTTAGTGACAGTGTGACGTACATGTCAGGCTTTTCTAATCCTAGAGTTTCACTGTCTATTTTCTGTCAGAAGCTGATGCAGGAGACAGGTGTAGGAGACTATTTTCATGTTCAGCCTGCATAAAAACCTCAGAGTGATGATTACAATCAGAAATATTCATGAAAAATGGGTTTTCAGTGTTCCACACCATTGAGAGTTATAGTTTTTCTTTTACCTGAGTAGGTTTTTGCACTTGATCAAAGCTTCACCACATTTTACCAGAGTACACAAGTTTGAATACTTTTTATACCTCTGTGTCTTCCTCTTTGGTCCCACCTGAATGTAGACGTGCTGCCATCCAGCCAGTAGTACTGAAAGGAACAGTCAGAGCTGCTGTCCTCGTCTCCATGGTTACGTCGGAGTCCTAACCAGAAGTCTCCATCTGATGGGCGGAGCTCTGTGATGAGCTGCTCTATGACCTTCTGCTCAGACTCAGACTCGATGCTCAGCAGCCGCCCCCCGTCTCGCCTGCAGGCCAGCTCCGCCTCCGCAAAGTTCAGTTTCCAACGGAGCTCCGAGAAATAGGCCAGCTTGTAACACGGCCTGCCTTTTCCTGCCTTGCACACCCGTTGGCCTGAAATCACACACACACACACACACACACACACACACACACACACACACACACACACACACACACACACACACACACACACACACACACACACACACACACACACGCACGCACGCACGCACACACGCACGCACACACACACACACACACACGAAGATTGTACATTTTTGTTGATGTGAGACACAAAATGATTTTGTCTTGCTTTATTACACAAAAGCATCAACTGCTCTATATCTGATGGTTCAATTGTTTTGTGGGTTTTTGATCTGAAAACTAAATTGCAACCCTCTACTGGTGACAAGAACAGAGTGCGGGTCACTTTTCTTTTCATTTAGTCAAGTTTAATGAAAGGTGCTCACAGTTCTGCTTTGTAGTAAATCTCAGTGAAGGTTTGTGTTGACATGACAATAGGTCATAGGCTTGGATAATTAAAGAAAAGTACTTTTACTAATCTTTTATATCTTCAACACTCAACTTTCTTGGCTAACAGCAATAAAGTGTCTATTTGCATCATCGGTCTGTTTCTGGTGGGACACAATTCTACCTTTTATCAATCGCAATCAAGAGCCACCAGTGGCCCGTGGGCCACAGTTTTGAAACCTAGAGTACAACTGACTAAATTGACCTTTTTGAATAATGAAAAATGTTTACCTCTAGCTTCAAATAAGTCTGCTTCAGAAGCCAAACATCCAGCGTAGAGTCAGGAAAATAGGTTATGAGGAAAAGTGGATATGCAAGCTTAATGAAGAGTCCTTGTTGCGAGGGTTTTTGTGTATTTTAGTGAGAAGCTTACCTGTAATGAGGCTTGCAGCTGCAGACAGATGAAAACACAAAAACTGAAAAAAACAATGAATTATGACCAGGTCCATCTTTCTTAGCTATCAGCTGTTTACAACCAAATTGTGTGTTTTAGTTTAGTTTTTTTCATTTTGTTCTCTGTTCATCAGTCAGCTCATCAGACTAGTTTAAGTTAAACAAAATAACCCCCACCTGAGCTCTAAGACATGAGCTGTGGTGGGAGAAAAAACTCTAAAAATGTTAAATTCAAAGAGGATCTGAGTAAAATAAGAGTTAGAGATGAAAGTCTCCTGATGTTCCTGTTGTATCTGGTGAAAGAGAGGATCTGAAATTGTGCAGGAGAAGCAGGGAGGAGGAGGAGGAGGAGTAAAGGCGGTGCGTGGTTTGGGAGGGGGCTGTAATCTGTTAAGAGCAGCCTTAATGATAAGAGAAGAGGCTGCATCGATTCCAAGACATCTAATCATGCAAGTGCTTCTCATCGTAAACGCTGACAAGAGGCAGATTCCACTCATTCCTTTATTACTTAAGCTTTTGGTATCATTACAAAAGTGTTACATGAAAATGATCTCCTCTAACTCGATCAGAGATCATTTAAATCATTTTTTTCTCAGATCTACGCTGCAGCATCCTTACACGTTAAGTCGATGATGCTCCAGTTGTGAATTGTTTTCACATCCACATCAAACATGAATGTGTTTAAAATCAAACATCAATGTTTTCCTCAAATAAATATGTTTCAGCCCAGAACACTGTCTATGTGCATTGTCCATGTTTGAGTCTGGTTTATTACACTGGAAAGTGGTCAGTTAGGAGGTTGCAGGTGAAACAGCGAGTTAAAAATAATTTATCTGAAATATGGATCCATACATAATCATTTATGGGCTTTTCAGCAGTTTTGAAACACTGAAATTTGTCCTTTAGAACAAACCTTTATTGGCTCATCAATATAGACCAAGCTGATCCACATCCAAAGTGAAATGTGGCCATCCATAACCTCTAAAATTCATTTTATAGTAACAAGCTATGAGATTGGACAAATATCTGATGACTAAATGAAATATCTAACGTTGCATTTGATGCCATCTCTTATATCACAGTGACACGCGGACCTGAGACAAGAGAACCCACAGATCACACACACACATCAGATAAAGATTGAGAGCTTTGCTTTCTGACTTATCTCCTCTTCGCCACAACCGCCCAGAATCATCATCATCATTGCAGATGCTGCCCCGATCCATCCGTCCATCTCCCGCTCCCTTCTTTCTGCACTCATCAGCAAGACGTTGACCTCACCTACTTGAGGTAGGACCTCTCCTCTGACTTGGAATTGTCGATTCCAGAGGTGTGACCAAGTCTGCTTTGCAAGTCACAAGTCTTTCCGGTAAAGTCTCAAGTCAATTCCAAGTCAAAGACAACCAAGTCCAAGTCGAGTCCAAAGTCAATGATGTGGAAGTTCAAGTCAAGTTCAAGTCCTTAACTTTGAATTTTCAAGTCATAATCAAGTCATCTGTCCAACTTAAATTTAATAACAATGATGATGAATGAATTCCAGAAATAAAGCTTCTTAAAGCTTCATTTATTTGCTCAAACAAGAAGAAAGTGCAACTGAAACGGATTCTAATCAAAGTGCTGCTGCATTTAGCAGTAAATCAAACCCAGAACCAAGAATGATTCATGATTTTTGTCCATGTCGTGCCACTTTTGTGCTAAAATATCAAATATGCTCAAGTCATCATCAAGTCAACAGATGCAAGTCAATTAAAGTCGCAAGTCATTGGCGTTCAAGTCGGAGTCAAGTTGTAATTCTTTATAGATTTTATCAAGTCAAGTCAGAAGTCATTAAAATAATGACTCGAGTCTGACTTGAGTCCAAGTCATGTGACTTGAGTCCACACCTCTGGTCAATTCACCCTTTTCAGGTAAAGAACCAAGCTTCACTTCACTGCTTGTGAAAATCGGCAGATTTCAAACTTCATAAATGAAATAAACTTTGCAATAACCACTATGAAAAAATGGAGTTTGGAACAGCTGAAAGACTCCAGGAGTAGCCTTCCTATTTGACCTAGCCTTTAGCCCATCAGTTCTTTTGATTGTAAATTGTATTTCTCTGGTGCGAGTTTGCTTAGGAAGCTATCTACAGTAAGGTGCTAATTATTCGTAGTTATCCACAGAAAAAAATCCTTCAAAAGATGCAGGAATGTTCCTTTAAGTCGGACCAGAATCCACATCTGCTCTCGGGTTGTGTTTATACGCAGCAGGACATGAGAATAAAATCTTTAAAATAAAATCATCAAACATTGTCATAGGAGGGGAAAAAATCAATTTAAAGGATTAGCAACAAAAATGGTTTCTGCTGCCCTTTTTTTAATTTCATATTCAAGCAGCAGGATCAGCAGAAGCCATTGATTCAATGTATGCAATCTGCATCTTTAGAGCTTAAAAGAGGAGGAAAAGAGTATGTATGCAGTTCCTAATGGTAGCAATTTCTGAGATGGCCCATAAGGTTGATTTAGGGCTCGCATTGAGACAGATCAGCCAGAGTTAAACAGCAGGATGCTTCATCGAGAGTATGCTGTGTGGGCTATCACTGAATAGGGAGCATGGGCTGAGAAAGCCAATTTATCCTGAAAATGCAGTCCTTATGTATGGTGATCTATCCAAACACCACTAATCAGATTGATGCCATGGAAGGCTGGGGTTCAGCTTTGTGTAAATTGAAGGCGGAGTATGAGCCAATGGCATTATCTGAGACACAGAAGAGAAGACTGAGAGGTTAGAGAGTCCTCAGGAGGGATCAAATAAGCTATGATCCCTGGATTAAATTACCTCCATGTTTACAGCATCTGAGACCTGAAGAGACTCTCATTCAATTAAACTTTTCCCATTTGTTCCTCCTCCTCTCACAGTCTGACTTCCTCCGTCTCTGCCTCCTTTTCTCATCCCTCTGACCTCCTCCCTCTCTCCCAATTAGTTAAAGGGAAACCAAATGAACAGTCCCAAGGGAGGCCAGTAAATTACAGACACCCCATTCCACACACACATGCACACACACGTGTCCACCATTAATGCTGAAAATCCACCGCTGTTCCATTCTACTCCGATGCTGCAGCCAACATACATTAGTAAAGAGGCTTGCAAAGTGTAATATTTTTTATTGAAAGCTGTATAGTTAGATGGTAAAATTAAATAATTTGAAGACGTAAAAGGCCTCTGACCACAACAAATCTTTCTCGGTGTAATGGCCTTGTTTGTGTCAGGAGGACTGTAAAAATACAAGTGACAAATTCAGTTCCTTGTCATCTTTGAGGCAGAGAGAGTCAGACAAAACCTAATTACACAAAAGAATAACTCTCCGCTAAATTCAATTTAAATGATCTGACTTGGGCACGCGGCCAAATAGAGCGTCCGCATTGCGTCTGCAGCGGGAGCTGGAAATGGGCCTGAAGTCCCTGACCTGAGGGGAGCAGGATGGCTTCATCAGCAGAGCTGAGCAGTCATAAAAGAGTTTTGATGAAACCTTTTAAGGGCTGAAGTAATTCTTTAAGTCAGTAGCTTTGGAAAAAGGCTTGAGAGCAAAATATTTAATAGCTCTTGATAATAAATGCAACAACTGCATGGCAATAAGTCATGATGCATGATCCTCCTGCTGGAATAATGATATTTTTAATTTTTCTAATGAAGACGTTTGGCTTTAGTCTACAGCACACCATTCATTACTTGCAGATGAAACATGTTGGCATCTAAAAACATTTCATCTTTGTTCATTTAATACCATTTGGATTTAGCTGTGAACTTTTCATTATTTTTACTCTTTGCCTGTGTCTAAAAAAGACAATACTTCTGTCTTGAATTTTAGCTTGAACTGCATGTGTCATGTTGTGGTGTAAACATCTAACCCATGACATACAGAATCAACACGGAGACTTGGGTAAAAGGTTTAAATAATTTATTAAAAGGGGAACCAAGGGAGCAGCATAAACGTAGCTGAGATCTTCAAACAGGAATCCGGTGCGGGGATCTGCGGACAGATAGGAGGTAGATCCAACTCGAGGGTAGGAACAGGGAATCAGAATTATGTGGAGGACTTAGTCTGGAGAGAGGGAATCGCTCGAAGGAGGAGTGGTCCGGTCTGGGTTGAAGGGGTCATCCTGAGGCTGAGATCCAAAGAGTGAGACGTGGAGGTAGCTGAGCTTGAAGACATAAATCCAGGAGAGCATAGGTGGGCTACCGGAGGTGGTTCTGGCAAGGGAGAGACTGAGAGAGGAGCGGGGTTGGAGTTCCAGAATGCTGCCAGTCTGAGATAAGGGTGGAGGTTTTTCTGGGAACAAGAGCAGGAAGGTAAAAATGCTAAAATCCAATATTCAAAAACATCAAAATCTCAAAGGTCTAAGAGCTCAAATCTAATATGCGAAGTGGCTGTTAGGCCCTGTCCACACGTAGCCGGGGATCTGCCAAAACCTAGATATTTTTCTACGTTTTGGCCTGTCATCCACACGAAAATGGAGTTTTTTCACACGAAAACAGATCTTTTTAAAAACTCCGGCCAAAGTGAAGATCTGCGTTTTCTCCGTTTTGGGTGTCTGCGTGTGGACAGACAAAACCGGAGTTTTAAGGTCCGCAACGTCACTTTCCGCGACAAAAAAATGCTGACATCACGTGTGCGACCTGTGTTTACACTAGCCGACAGCATGGATGCCCTCAGAGCTGCGCTCGCTTTACCAATTGTCCAAGCGCTTTTTGCTTGTTTGTTTTTGCAAGTGGAATTACTGCTCCTTGCCGAAGACCACAGACGAAGGACGAGGTTAAGAACGGGGGAAGTACTGCCGCCTACAGGTCTGGCATGTCCTTAACAACGTATTTATCCGGGTACGTGTGGACAGAGTTTTTTTTTAAAACGAGGTGGTGTGGATGCAAGTTTTTGGAGGGGCGGGTATTCGTTTAAAAAAAACAGCTACGTGTGGACTAGGCCTAAGACAAACAAACAACAACAGCTAACTAGAGTTGCATTTCTATTCAAAGCAAAACGCTCAAAAACCCAAGCCAAAACAGAGTTGCGGTTATACTTCTGGCCAAAATGCTCAAAAACCAATTTAACCTGTTAGTTATCACACCGGTCCATTCATTTGTAACTTTATCACACCAGAGTTGCATTTATAATTTTGGCTAAAATGCTCAAAAACCAAGCCAAAACAGAATTGCATTTACATTTTCGGCCAAACGCTCAAAAGCCAGTTTAACCTCTTAGTTATCATACCAGAGTGCCATGACTTGTGGGAGGCATCTAACCCAAGACATGCAGAATCAACACGGGACTCAGGAGGTAAAGAAAAATTGTCTTTTATTTGGAGAACGAGAACTGCAGGTGCACTGGAAGTCCAGTGAGTAGGGTGCCGTAAGGCGTTAGTCCAGAGTTCCAGCTCAGCAAGCAGCGGGGCAGGTGATGAGCCGAGGTGAGCGAGGGCAGGGGTCCAGCAGAGTGGGAAGGGTGAGGAAGTGGAGAAGAGAGGAGCAGGAGCCGTGGAGGAGGATGGGACGGGGTCCTGAAGATCCGGGGTTCTCGGAGGAGTAGGTTAAGGAGGTGATGGTATTCCTAAATGGTGCAAGCAGACAGGGGTTCAGAGGCAAGTCCAAAGTCATAATCCAAGAAAACAGTCCAAGGTCAAAAATCCAATAATCCAAACACAAGAAGTCAAAACGAGCGAACAAGCTAATACGAGAGGCTGGAGCTAACCAAAACTGTAGCAATCATCCGGCGTTGAGTGGTGTCTCCATCCTCCTTTTATACCAGAGCCTCTGATTACGAATGCCGCACAGCTGGTGTCCATCGCGCTCCTCACCTGTGGAAAAAGAACTTCAAAGGTGGTTTAGTGAGGAGGAGCACTCACCTCAGCTCGTGGATCATGACACAGAGTCACGTTTATAATTTTGCCTAAAATGCTCAAAATCCAAGCCAAACAGAGTTATGCTTATATTTTCGGCCAAACGCTCAAAAGCAAATTTAACCTCTGGTCACCTAGGATTTTCTCTTGGCACCACAAGACAAAAACGACAAAAAACAAACTTGTCTCACCAAATCTCTCCACTTCAGGTCTTGAGTAGTTCATGGATCCGCATTTCCTCCCAGAGATGTCAAGACCCTCACGCCAACCCCCCAGCAAAACTCAGCGCTGGAGGAGATTTAGGTTGTCGACAGTCCTCCGGTGTCGGTTCTTGGCGCAGCGAGGTGACGGGACCCTGGCTCGAAGGACAAAATTACGTCAAGGATTTTTTCAATATGTTTACCAATAAACCCATTTCCTTCAGGTAGAGAGAGAGAAAAGAATCAATAAGGCAGACATACAACCAAATCATGATTTAGTGGCAAGTGCCCAGGGCAAATGCCCTGAACAGACAGGCCATGAAAAACGGAAATGTTCGGGACTCTGTCCATAAGACTTTAGTGTCTGAATACAAACATCCAGATAACCTTTTCCGTAATTAAACCAGACGAAGCCCCTAGTAACAGGACCAGACTTGTCACGGACAGAGTGGCTGCTTCAGACTGTTGAGGTCGATTTCTGGACAGGGAAGAGGGGGAGGGGGAGGGGACCGGGTGACGCTGTGCGCACCTAGATTACATATATATCACGTGACCGGGAAGGTATATCACGTGATGTCCCTCCTGAGCACAAAAACCCAGCAGAAAGAAGGCGAACATCTTCTGCAGAGCATCTCCAACATGTCTAACAACTGGACAGATTCCGAGATACGCGACCTACTCACGGTGAGGGTGAGCGGTGTTTCCATATATGCCGTATAGCTTGCTTCTGCAGCATGCAGCGAACCATGGCAGCTCGCTTCCTACGGTGCCGTCTCCTAGATGCACGACGGAGCACTTCACACCGCTTCCGTGATTCCTTTATTAACCATTGAGCTTCACCCTCCAGGTCTCTTATGCATCTTTGTGTGTGCAGAATTATGCTTAACATAAGTCCGATCAGTGAGAGGAATTCTATCTCTCCGTCTGCCATGTTTGACTGGATAGCTTTGTTTGGGGAAATGACGCATGAACGCCTGCCACACTATGTTTACGCAATATCCGGGTACAGCCTTCCCACCCCCTCCCCCTCAGATATCTGGAACTTTTCCCTGCTGTGTGAAGGCAGCCGAAAGGACAAGTTCAGGTACAAAAGTGGTGTGTCTGAAAACACAGTTCTGGTTAAAAACTGGACTGAATTGTCCACACATATTCCAGAATGTCAATCTGAATAGGACTTAAGAGAGGAATGGGAGTGGATCATGTGAGAGAGAGAGAGAGAGAGAGAGAGAGAGAGAGAGAGAGAGAGAGAGAGAGAGAGAGAGAGAGAGAGAGAGAGAGAGAGAGTGGGTGTATGTGAGTGTGTGTGTGTGCGCGCGCACGCGCGCGAATGCTTTCAGAACATTCAATTAATGGGTCTGTTAATAGGACTAAGGTAATGAGAAATAAAATTTCCATAACACATGTAGTTAACAGAGCTACTCCAACATGCAGCCACCCAGAGCAGCGCGAGAATTGGAATTTATTATCTGTTGTTGCTACAAAATCACTGAGTCTTTCCAGAAGAATCTGCTTAAACACTTTGGACAACACACTCGCCAAGGCAACTGGCCTGTAGTTGGCAACTGGCCTGTAGTTATCAATCCAAGATGTTTTATCAGTGCACCCTGGAGCTTTAATGTAGCTCTTCACCATCAGTGTAAGGATTGTAGTGTAAACAGGTTTGTTCCTGACCCAGAAAAGCATTTTACAAATGTACAAAATTATAATTTATTTGGTAGGAATTTATTGTAATTCACGGGCGTGAAGTCTCCCAGGGTTGTTTGTGCAGCTAACTGTTTATAAAGTGCTGTTTACATGAACAATATAACAGTGTAGTTAACTTTATCTGCTGTTGCGGCATTTCTTTATTTTCTCATGTTAGCTCATATATTCAGGAGTTCAGCTCTGAGTTTACAACGCTTAATGAGCAGCAACTTGTGTTGTTCTGTTCCACAATCTGACTCTCCAGGATCTGAACTCCACACAGGTTGTAGCTAGGATTTGAACCTGCAACCTCCTCACTGCACAGAAATGTATCAGTGTTTCAACTTAAATGATTATAAAAGTAATTCCAGATAATTTAAGTCTTTGTTGAGATTTGCGATGTTTGAATTATCAGCCGAAGAATTCCCTAGAGTTTTCCTAAAGTAATTTTTTTAAATGCATCAGTATTTCATTTATAACATATAAAATCAATAGTGCCTTTACTCTCAATACTCCTGTAACCTTTTATATCTGTTTAGCTTTGCTCTCTGGTTTCACCTGGGCCAGTTGTTGACTTTTCTCTGTCCTTGGTCCAGTTCAGGTGAGGACTTGAACATTTGACCTCATTTACAGGAACTGATGTCTTTTCAATAGTTTGTTTTGGCAAGTTCAGACTTATGCAAGACCTTTTTAGCTGGTACATGAAAGACAAACAAACAAAAAAACAGAAACGGGAATATCAGACATTATTTTATCGCATAAAGTTTTAAAAAAATGTGTTTGTATACTTATTTTATATTGAGACAAAAAAAGGAAAACATTTTAAAAAGTAATTGCAATTTACAACAAGCCAGCGACTGATTCAGAATGATCATCCAGGCTTCCACTAATACAAGTCAACCTTTACAGTTTTAATCACACAGTTCTAACAGTGTTTTTCTGAGAATGAACAAAACAAAGTGGCTTGCAGTCCAACTTCAGCTTTTGGAGAGGGGAGAGGGGAGGGAGAGGGGAGGGTCTTGGACTCCTCCCCTCTCCTTGGACTTCTTGTGCTGCTACACATCTTCGCCTACCCTCCCCCTGCCACATTTGGTGTGGAGTGCGGTGCCTTGGTCTGCCTGAGTGTTCGCGGCTCCCGGGTCAGGGGGTTAAAGATTTTTGGCGTCTGCCCAATTAATCCCGGTGGCTGCCTAGTGGGGCCTGAGTCCCTGGGCTCTGCTGGGTCCCCGGCGGGGCTGGTCGTCCCTGGATCCCGGGTCGTTGGGTTCCAGGCTCAGACGACTTGGGGGTGGGAGGCTGCGGGCGGGCCTGTGGGTTTGCCGCTGATATCTCCCGGGACTCTGCCGGCTGCTGGTTGTAGCCCCCCGGGGCAATCCTCTGCGCCTCTTGAGGGGGGCGGGGGGCTTTCTGGGTAGTCTCCCTGGGGTCCCTGCGCTCTGGGGGCAGCTCCTGGATCTCTGGGACTTGGAGCTCCCTCCATCTCCTACACTACACATCTTTGGGGGCAGATCTGTGGCCCCTCACTCTCTATTGGACACTCCTATAGAGAAACCTTCCATAAACAAGCGCGTGTACACACACATGCTCACATGGTGCTCTCGTAAGTATGGACTTGGGCACGTTCAACATATGTCTTAAGGCTATGGTTGGCACACAATGCCCTGTGATTTATTATCATGTGATTGTTCAGTAAAACAATGTTAATTTTATATTTCCTCATCAGGCTGATGCAGTGACAGTTTGCTCCTGTTGTATTGTTGAGTGTTGTTTTTCTCTTTCTGCAGGTCTAGAAGCAGACTCTTGTTCATCATTGATTGTTTATTTTTGTGGACCCCCCCCCCCCCCCCCCTCTTTTGTTTCTTCATTTCTCTTCCACCTCTGTCTTCGTGTCTGGTCAGAATTATAAAGCATTCAAAAACAATAACAATAAAGTTTTAGGTGTCAGGCGTGACATTAAAAGCAGACGCTTTGATGCTCCACCTGACAGTAAATCTGTAAGGCTTGTCACCAGCATTCAGACTTTAATTCTGTTTGCTTCACAGCCAGACAGGACACGAGAAAGAAAAAAAAAGGAAACTTTTTACCATTGTGTTTATTTACAGATTGCAGTGAAACAAAGTCTGTTTGATCATGGGTTGAAAACGTGAACGAGACGAGACAAATCATGAGTTTGAGTCAGAGTATTAGTTTTTAAGAGAGCAAAACAGTGTTTCTATTCATCCAGGAATTTAAGTGATGTGTATTCTTGACTGTCATCTCCAAGGACAGACTTAAAGAAATCCACCATTTTAAACAAATTAATGTGGAAATCTCGGGATTCGTCATTGGACTCAACCAGACCACCCGTGCTACAGAGGTCATGGGTCCCCCAGCTGACCACTCCAATCTGTGGGAAAAAAGTGTATAAAGTAATAGATTTGGTACTTAACCCTTATTTTAACAAATATTTACAATAATTTCTGGGCTGCTTGTTTGCCCATTGAATGCTGGAGATAAGCCCCCCCCCCCCCCCCCCCCCACACACACACACACACACACACAAGGATAGCTGGGTTGATAATGGATGGACGGATTTACCATTATTTTGCAACTCACCTGTACAGTGCGAAGCTCATAGTTCTTGAAGACAGCACCTCCAGAATCACCTGTCTCAACAAATCCCCACATACAGGGTTAATAAACAAAACCGAGGTTTATTTGGAAGCATATAGATATAAGATGGGGAGAACACACCTCTACAAGCGATGTGATTTCTCTGTTCAATCCGCCCACCAGTGCACAGGAAGTTATCGGTCACAGCCACCTTTGGATCTTTAGCCGTTATCCCATTTGCATTCAGAGCCTTTTGAATGCATAAGTTCCTCTATGTTGGGCAGTAAAATATTATGAAATATAATTGTAAAAGTGAAACCATAAGCAAGAACCCACATGCAAACACACAGAGAGGAGGTGCATCTCACATTTCCTCCAAGCTTGGCAAAAACATCTTTTTCAGCTACCAAAGAATTCTGTCTGGTCAGAAAACTGAGTCTTTCCAGTTGATCCTTTAAAAGAAGCTGCTCTGTGAAACAAAAGGACAAAACACATTAACTTGATTTGTATTTTATTTTATTCAAATGAGAAGAAATTAAAGCTGATTTGGCAAATCTGTAAAAACAAATTAAACCTTAAAACATCTTTCTAATGTAGTATAGCTATAGATATAATGCAAAGATTTAAAAAAATGAAGTGGTTCTCTCGCATGTAAAAGCCACTGCCAGTAACACGGCTCAGACCAAAAGCAACATTTAGACCATCTGGTTAAAGGTCTCACTGAACCTCCGCACTTTTGCAATCATCTGGGTTCTCCGCACCACTGATGTGAGAGGTTCTCCACTCAATAATATCAGAGAAAGAGAAACAGCCGGCTGCTACCATTTCAATTTTAGGACAAACTACCAGAGTCCCAAAAAGTAAAACACCATTTGAAATCACTGACAACAAAAGACCCATCTAGAAAACGGTGACTGGTGTTTAGCCCTCTCTAGTCTCTGGAAATGCGGGTTCCAAATCCACCAGACGTGGCCTGGGGCTGATAACCAACGGGATGGGTGAGAGCTCTGCGACTGTGTTTGTGTTTTAAGCTAGCTTGTTTTGCAGATTTGGAATTGGAGCTTTAATTGGATGGTTGGAAAACTCTGGATCTATGGAGCTACTCTTGCTTTATTGTTTCAACAAACAGTTAAAGACAGATTAACAACAATCAGTCACATTCAGAAGTGTTATTTTATGATACTTGACATCAATTATACTGTAGAAATAAACAAGCATATTTTCATTCACATTAGTGACGGAGATAACTGGTGGTTACCACACCTTGTTGCTTGCATGTTGATTTCCCGACCAGTTTTAGAGCATCACTTGTTTCCTGGGTGCAAGGTATGCAAATGGGTCTGCAAAATATTCACGTGAAAGAAGAAAACAAGGTTGCTGGATAAGTTGCTAAGTCGAAATATGAATATGATGCTGTTCCCCACACTAACTGCTGCATCTATTAGATGTAGGTTTTTACCTTGCTAAAGGAGAAATCTGTACAGACTCATTCAATCTGATGAGAGCCACATCGTAGTCATAAAACTCTTGAACACCTTCATTTGCTTTTGCCTTGAGGTTATATTTTGGGTGCAATGTGAATTTTCGTACTTTTTTCTCTGTAGAAAGACACAACCAATATGATACATACAGTTCATTATCACACAAGCGTAAGGAACTTTTTTTGTCGTTGTTCATGGATTTAAAACAATCGGGTTTCCCATCATAGATCTTTAACTAACCTCAGTTTGAAAAAGCTGAGCTGAAGCCACAGTAGGGCAAAAACTAAAATAGTTTTATTCCATCTCAGAAAAGTTCCTATCTCAAATATTTCTTAGCATTTTAGATTATTACTATTTGATAGAATAGAATAGAACAGAATAGAATAGAATAGAATAGAATAGAATAGAATAGAATAGAATAGAATAAACTTTATTGATCCCACAGTGGGGAAATTCCCACTGCTTCATAACATCCACAACAACCTCCGCTGTCTTCTGTGCATTTAGCACCAGGTTGTTGTGGCTCCACCAGGACACCAGCTGTTTGACCTCCATTCTGTAGGCAGACTCATCCCTGCCTGAGATGAGTCCGATGATGGTGAGGTTGTCTGCATACTTGGTAAGCTTGGCAGACTTGTGGTTGGAGGTCCAGTCGTTGGTGTGTAGGGAGAAGAGCAAAGGAGAGAGAAGACAAACCTGAGGGGAACCGGTGCTGATGGTCCGCAGGTCAGAGAGATTCTTCCCCAGCCCAACTTGTTACTTCTTGTTTGACAGGATGTCAGTTATCCACCTGCAGATGGGGTCAGGCACGTTCACCTGCGACAGTTTGACTTGGAGGAAGTCTGGGAGAATTGTGTTGAAAGCAGAGCTGAAGTCCACAAACAGGATCCTGGCGTAGGTACCCGGGGGGTCCAGATGCTGCAGGATGAAGTGTAGAGCCCTGTTGATGGCACCGTCAAACCTGTTGGCTCTGTGGGCAAACTGCATGTGGTCCAGGAGGGGAGCTGTGAGGGTCTTGAGGTGGGGGAGAACCAGGCGCTCAAATGACTTTATGACCACAGATGTCAGAGCCACAGCTCTGTATTGAGTCCAATGATCATTGGCTTCTTGGGGACAGGGACTATGGTGGAAGGCTTTCCATGCATTTAGAGTCTTGAATTGCTTCCTCACATCTGCGTGTAGGGTTGTGGTGGAGGAGTGGGATGTGAGGACCTCCTAGGTGGGGGGTGACGAGGTGGATGCTGAGGGTAAATTCCACAGCGATGGTGATGGCTCTGGAGTGGGGGGTGGGTAACCAATGTCTGTTGGGACTGGAGGTGTGTTACCTGCCTGATGGCTCATCAAACTGACAAAAGAAGTTGTTTAGGTTGTGGGCCAAGAGCAGATTATCATAAAGTTTCTGAAACTTTTCCACACAGAGGCCGACTTGTTTTCAGAGATTTGCTGCTGCATTTTGTCGAGATGCTGGTGTTTAGCTTTGACCAATTGTTTGTTGAAGCAGTATTTAGCTGTTCTTGTCTCCACTTTTCAAAGCTTCTCTCTTTTCTAACCAGAGCTGTTTGAGATTTGGGGTAAACCAGGCTTTGTCATTGTTATAACTCACCCTAGTGATGGTATGATGCTGTCCTAGCAGAAGTGGACGTATGAGGTGTCCGTATCTGTGAACTCTTAAACTGTCAGAGGCAGCCCTGATGACATCCCACTCTGTGGTTTCTAAGCATGGGTGGAGCTCATCTACAGCCTCATTGTTCCACTGTTTTGTTGACTTCACAATGGGTTTGGAGAGTTTTGGTCTTTGTTTGTACGTTGAGATCAGATGGATGGTCACGTGATCAGAAAGTCAGAGAGCAGCGTGAGGCACTGCGTGATAGTTATCATGCTGTAAAGCCTAATTTATACTTCTCAGTCTGCGTCGGGACAGATTCTCGCACGCAAAGCCATTTGAGGGCTCTCCAGCAGGCTTGCGAGGACGGACGGAGTCGAGATCTATTTCCTAAACATCTGTCCAACAAGACGGAGAACGCAAGCTTGTGGTTGGTCAGGACGCTGCTGTCATCGACAGTGCCGCCATTGCACCCTCAAAAGCATAAAGAGAGCCGAAGCTATCTAGCGGCAGACATGCGGTAGAAGTTTGAAGAATACCTCGCAGAGAAACTGTATATGAACGTTTAATTCACCCGTGATTGGAGGAGTGAAAAGATGTTTTATTGTGGATGGAAATGATGGGAAATATGGGTTTGGAGGTGGCGAGCGCATGAATAGGTGGGGGAGAATGAGGGGGAAAAATGATCCCAGTTAAAAAGTCTCTTAAATACAAAAAAACACATTAACCATATGGAAAAAGTGCTCCAGAAAAAAGACACATACTTCACCTTTAGTGAAGGGACCACTTGTAAAATCTTGATGGACTATGGCAATGTTCACACCATCAGTCCTGGTGCTCTATTCAAAGTTTTTCAAACATACATTTTTTTGGAGTGGTTGTTCACATTGTAAAGTAAGTGTGACTGCCATTAGACTCCAGTGTGAACAGCTCTGACCCATATGAGCAGAAAGTAGCATGACATTACAGTGGTTTTGAGATGGAAACAATTTGATTAGGTCACCTGCAGACTGGCAGTTAGCATGTTAATCTGATCTACAATAGGTACGTTATTAACTGTGCCTAAAATTTCAACAGAAATTTTGTTCAAAATTTCTAAACTAAATCTTTCTAAATCTATTATGTATACAACTGCTGAGTGGATAATGATAAAATGGCAGCATGTTCTGTTCTAATGAGCTAAGTGAAGACAAGTATCAATTATTACCTTTGAGACCTGATCCCTGAAGTTCAACAACCACATTTTCGGGTTCATCACCAAAAGTGAAGCAGTGAGCAGCGGTCAACACAAAGTCCGGTGACACCAGAGAGCCGAGGCACATCTTTGATTTTAGTCCCTTAAATCGCAAAAGAGAAAACTAACATTACATTAGGTCTACAGATTAACACCCCAATTGTACAGCTTTGCAAATAAAAATAAAATCAACAATACAAAATGCAAATATGCATGCATTACAGCTTCTAGGTTCCTTTTTGTTAATGCTTCTGGTCTTTGGGTTGTGGACTTCTGATCCTGGTTTCACATGTTTCAAGTCTACTGGTTTTCTCAACTCTCCTTGTCTGCTCTGTCTCTCTAACCTGTTACTCGTCTGCTAACCAGAGCTCTGTTTTCAGTTCGTTTTATTAAAATACATTTGAATCTCTCCCTAACTGCTGCCATTACATTAATTCGGGTCCTCTCACATTACATAAATCATAGAACAGAATGTGACGACTCATTAGCTTCAGTACATGTGTTTAAAAAATGAGTTGAGTTAACATAATAAGTAAATTCTTCACCGTGTTTCTGACAAATGCCATCCATGGAAACCTTTTTCGTATGCTGTTTTTGTCCACTGTATTGTATTCTTGGTAAAGACCACACAGACCTACAACTTCACTTTCATCTGCATAAAAATAGAGGAAAGCAAATAATGAATGGAAAAACATTCTGATTATTACACATGCTCAGAAATGAAAACAGTTATTGTTTTATCTCGTGTCTGGAGCTAAACTTTATTTCCCTCCTGAGGCGTTGGTGTTCTGAGCACTTAACATTAAGTTTAATCACACTGCACTGTTTCAGTGAGCCACTTCATCATTTTTCCCTCATTGATGTCAGATCAGCTGATGTTTCTGCCTGCATCCTCAGTACTTTTGGAACTAAATGAACCATGTTGGTCTTCTGGTTATGATCATCATTTATCTTCCATCACTCATGTTTTTATAACACAAACACAAGCAGTGTGCTCTTGCTACAACCTACCAATTATTTTATCAAAGGTCTCTCCCAGCTCTGTGATGTCTTTCATCCTGAAGTAGTGCTTTTCGCCTGTTCCTAAAGTAAGGGGCTGCAGGTCATCGTCAAAGATGTTAGCCCCGATAGCAAAAACATAAATGTCTGCAAACAAGTGTCAGCAAAGAGTTTAGTCAATCTGCATGAGATGAAAAAGCTTTAATGTTTTTGAAGTAATTTTTTTCTGGAAACCCGCGCACACAAAGAAAGAAAACTCACCAAGGAATTCCTCTCTGGATCCAGCCTTTTCGCCCTCTGTGTGATTCATATAAACCATGTCTTTTATTCTCTCCACAGTGGGTTTGGGAGAACCGCCCATGTTATAAGCACCTGGAAATAGATGTTCATTCAGTTGTATGCGCTACATAACAACAATAGCACATAATTCCTCCTATGCAAGAGTCATTGAGAGGTTAGCAGTGATAAATAGAAGGAACATTTATTACTTTGACACTGAACTTCCAGTATTAAAGCAGAAATCCTGAGTTTTCCCCCTTTCAGGAATTATGTTTGCTCCATTAGAGCTTCAGCAGCCCCGAACAATCTTGTGCCTTGCCAATCACAGCGCTTTATTGGTTAGGTGGGCCAATCACAACGCTCTAACGGTATGGTGAGCGGGATGTTCCTGTGACTGAGTCAAACCACCAAGATGGCAGCGACCCATTGAAAATAAAATGTATTATTATTATTATTATTAATGATAATAACAATAATAACAACAATAATAATAATAATTATAATAATAATAACTGCTTTGTCATGAACTTTGGATTATTTAGATTCAGACTTTTCTGTGAGTCAAGGGCAGATAAAGGTGCTTATGTCCTTTATTTAGAATAAGGATGTGTTTGCATCTTCTTTGATGGTTAATGGCAGACTGCCCCATTGACAGACATTCGTTGCGGTGAGTAGGTCACGTTGTTCGTTGTACAAAAAGATGTGGATGCTGGAGACAGTTTGAAAGACAACAGTTTTGCCCCACGACTGAGATCTGTTGTTGTTTTGCGCAGTGTTAATTTTGACAGGAAATTTTAATTTTATTTTAGTCTTAGTTTTTTGGCTAAAAATTAATTTTAATCTTAGTCCAATTTTAGTCATTAGATTTATTTTAGTTTTAGTCCCATTTTAGTCAATGAAAATAACAAGTAATTGTAGTTGGTAAAAATAAGCAATTTTAGTCAACAAAATACATATATTTTTTCTAATGAAGTAATTTCCTACTTTTGTATGGAGCACGGAAAAAACTTTTGCGTCCAGGAAACAGAGAGAACCTCTCAACTAGCAGAAGCTAACCATTAGCATTAGCAACTCGACAAGACGGCAGAACTCCTTCAGGTTTGTGTTATTTGTGGAGATAAAACATCAACGTTGCAAAGCAAACAAAGTCGCTGTTAGAGTTGCATTGCTGTTAGTCCAGTCTATGTGTTAGTCAAGCCAATGTCCAAATATCAGGAAATAAGGCTCCAAATCCTGTAGTCTGAAGCTACTTTCTCCCCTGGCTGCGTTGTCCATGCAAAAACAAGTGCACCACAGTTTTTTCCCCCACAAAAAGTGACTTACAAGGCATTCATTTCTACTATAGACCACTGCAAATGTATTAATAAAATATGTTTAGAACCTCTAAATGGTAAAATACATACCGTATTTATCACCCCATAAAAGATTATCTCTGACAAAATACTTTGGATTTCTGCTTTAAAGCAACTTTGTAAGCTAAACTAATATGGTAACAAAATATAACACTTTCTTATGCCATATATATATAAATAACACAGATTTCATGAAAAGAAAAATCAAGAAATAAAACAAGTAATGTCAGTCACTGCTATACTTTTGAGACAATAGCTCTTTTAAACTTTAACTTGAAACTGTAGCGACAATGCTATTATTAACTTGTGAGTGAACAAGTGGAAAATCCTCCTTGTTTTTGCAGCATCAGAGTCTATGACTGGATGTTGGTAAGAAATGTAAACGTTACCATCCGTAAACATGATCAGCACGTGACGATGCTCCTTAAAACCCTCAGGTCCAGCTTGCTCCTTTATGAAAGACATCCGTTTCTCAAAAGTAACAAAAGCCAGATTTAGATCTGTTCCAGTGTTTTTGTCTTTAAATGAACACACACACACACACACACACACACACACACACACACACACACACACACACACACACACACACACACACACACACACACACACACACACACTGGATTAAACACCAACATCCAGCTCTGTCTCTAGAAACAATGACAATGTCTGTGTTTACATGACTTACCGCCTATTTCAAAATTTTCTAAATCCTCTATGACCTTCGTCAGATCAGCTCTCTGGTCAAAGAAGTCATGAATGTTGACAACTTCATAAATTTCAGAGGAGAAGAAGATGATTTCGTAGTTTGGTGACACACTGAATCTGGCAATCTGTGGATATGGATCTCAAGTTAAATGGTAATCTTATTTATTTTGGTGCATCTTTATAAAAAGGCAAACTTGTGAAATAGCAGTAATTATTTTTTGTTATTGCAACACGTTTCACATTAGTTATGGTTTTGTTGAGTAATTGATGCATTTATCAGCAGAACGTTTCCAGAAGTGTGGTCAGGCACCAAGCCAAGAACTCCTGCCAAGAAACATCCGTCAGATTATGATTTGTAATTCATAATGAAATGAACTTCTAAAGGCCTGTTCCTCTGGAGTTGTTTGAAACAATGTGTGTTCACATTATCTGCAGTATGTCAAATGTGTGTCTATGTAAAAACCTAAATATATTGTAGCGGGCCAGGGCTGTTCGGGGTTTGTTCTGTTATTACAGTTATGTGCTTGTTGTCATGTTGTTATGGTGACGGGTGACGCGCTCTCTCGGCGAATGTTTTTCCGGTGAGAGCGCGCCCTTTTTTTTTTGTTGTTGCTGTGGCCGCGCTGAGGAGTTTAAGATTAAACGGGTGCTCCCAAAGAAACCTCTGTCTCCTCCGTGACTGAGCTCACCACATTGGTGTCAGAAGTGGGATACTCACCCTCGCCATAATGGAGAGAGACATTCGGAGGCTGGAGCAAGCTATCGAGGAGAACATTACCTGCCTGGAAAGCTGGCGATTGAAGAGAGAGGATGTGAGCGGCCATGTAAGCTCCCCGATGGGTCCCGATGGCGCGAGCGCACCGAGGCGGCGGCCCGCCGTGACCGACGCTAGGGCAATGCTTGATGGGCTGCCTCCGGCGGCCGACACACCGGGCCCCCAACAGTGAGGAGTGATGCCTGCTACGCCAGCTAAAGTACCGAAGTATAACGGGCCAACCCCGCTAGAGCCCTACCTCTCACAAGTACGGCTAGCCACGAGACATAATGGCTGGAGCGACGGCGAAGCTGCTACACACCTAGCGCTAGCATTGGAAGGAGATGCACTGCAGGTACTCCTCGACCTAGCCGCGTCAGAGCAGCATGAGCTCCGGGCCCTCACCACAGCACTCGAGAGGCGATTTGGGCAGCGGCACTCCACTGATCAGAGCAGGGAGCTGCTGACCAACCGGAGCCATAGGCCGGGGGAGAGCCTGGGCACTTTTGCAGTGGATGTGTTGCTGTATGCTCGTCGTGGCTACCCAGAGTTCCCAGCAGCAGCCCGGGAGGAGCTTAGCCTGCATGCTTTCCTGCGAGGACTTTTCCCAGAGCGACTGCGCCAACACGTCCGCCTGGCCATGCCTCAGACTCTGAGTGAGGCGCTCCTTCAGGCTGAAAGGGCCACGCTGGTGCTCACCTCGCCACCCCACCAGCAGGTGCCCCCCCCCCCCCCCCCCCCCCCCCCCCAAGCTACCCTCAAATCTGAGCCGCAGACTGCAATGGGGAGGGGGCGGTCGCAGAGATATGTCAGCTGTGGCCCTCGGTGCCTTGGAGGCGTCCTCGTCGTCCCACTGACCGCTGTTACCGGTGCGATGAGCCTGGCCACGTGGCGCGTGACTGCCCGGCAGACTGCCCGGCACCTGCCCCGACGGTCAGAACTACGGAGACTCTGGGAAACCGGGTGGGAGCGGTGTAGTGAGGGGACCACCGCCCCAGCTTCTTGTCCCCCTCCAAGGACGATGCACGGTGGTGGGCCAGGTTGGGCACCTCAAGGGACTCTACCTGAGCTGCTGCATTGAGGGCCAGCCATGCCGGGCCCTGGTTGACACGGGGTCTACCATCTCCCTGATATGACCTGGCGTGCTCCCTGGAATGTCCAGGTTGTTGGTGAAGGGTTGGACGCCTACCGACACCCAGCTGATGACAGTGACCGGAGAGAGAACTGATATGCGGGGGAAGAAACCGTTGCAGATCCGAGTGAGGGATCTGGAGCTGATTCACGACTTCTGGCCGGCTGACATTCAAGACCAGTGCATCATCGGCCTTGATCTGCTGACCCGCTGGGGGGCCTGCGTCGACACCGCAAAGCGGGCTATCACTCTTGGCACAGAGGCTCTCGCACTCCAGTGCAGGCAAAAGCAGGGAGCGGAGGGGACCAGAGACAGGCGTCAGGCAGCTGCCGCTCAGCAGATTTCGGGTGCCAGTGGTTCCAGGTCATCTCTACTCCCCTCAACCCCGGCCCCTCAGCCCAACAAATCTCCCTTGACCGAGACAACCGAGGCTGTTGGTGACCTGTGGCAGCGCAGCAGCGTAGGTCTCAACGGTGATCAGCGCCAGCAGTTGAGGTGCCTCCTGGATGAGAATGTGGATATCTTTGCCGCCAGTGACAAAGACTGCAGGCAGACAGGGCTGGTCCAGCACACTATCGACACCTGCTCTGCCCAACCCATCCGTCTATGCCTACACCGGCTGCCCCTCTCAAAACGGCAGGTGGCGGAGGAAAAGATCCGTGAGATGGCATTGGCTGGGGTGATCGAGCCGTCCAACAGCCCATGGGCGGCACCTGTGGTCCTTTTGGGAAGAAGGATGGCAGCCCGACGTTCTGCGTGACTTTCGCCGTCTCAACGCAGTCACCAAGAAGGACTCGTACCCGCTTCCGCAGATGACGAGGCCCTAGATTACATCTGCGGCTCCAGCTGGTTCAGCTCCCTCGACCTATGCAGTGGTTACTGGCAGGTGGAGCTAGCCCCTGAAGCAAGGCCTAAGACTGCATTCACCATTGGACAGGGGCTGTGGCAGTTCAGGGTCATGCCCTTTGGGCTCTGCAATGCACCAGCGACGTTTGAGAGGCTGATGGAGAGGGTGCTCGTGAACATCCCTCGTAGCCGCTGTGTTGTGTACCTGTATGACCTGTTGGTACAAGGTGGCGACTTCGACAGTGCACTGTCCCACCTGAGAGAGGTCTTCAGTGCCATCCGTCGAGCCAGGCTGCGGCTCAACCCTGCGAAGTGCCGGCTGTTGATGAGAGACTACGTTCTTAGGCCATGTGATCAGCGCTCAGGGTATCACCACTGATCCCGCTAAGGTGGCGGCGGTCCGGGATTGGCCGACCCCCTCGAACGTCAAAGAACTGCGGAGCTTCCTGGGCCTAGCCTCCTACTACCGTCGGTTCATTAAGGGGTTCGCAACGACAGCCATGCCCCTCCACCGCTTAACCGACAAGGGCCAGCCGTTTGGCTGGAGTGATGCCTGCGCTGCGGCTTTCGCACTGCTGAAGGAGGCCCTCACCAGAGCCCCAGTCCTGGCCTACCCCGACGCCCGGCAACCCTTCATTGTGGACACTGACGCTAGCAATGAAGGAGTCGGGGCGGCCCTTTCTCAGCAGGATGATGCTGGAGAACGAGTGGTGGCATACTTCAGCCGAGCTCTGGGGCGAGCCGAGAGGAACTACTGTGTGACCCGGCGGGAGCTGCTGGCCGTGGTGCAAGCAGTGTAGCACTTCCGGCCATATCTGCACGGCTGCCGGTTCCTCCTGCGCACTGACCATGCATCTCTGACTTGGCTCCTGAACTTCAAACACCCAGAGGGTCAGGTGGCCCGCTGGCTGGAGGTCCTTCAGGGTTACGACTTTGAGATCCAGCATCGGGCAGGTCGACAGCATGGCAACGCTGATGCCCTCTCCAGAAGGCCATGCATGGCCGTCGAGTGCCGCTACTGTCTGCGACAGGAGGAGCGGGTCCAGGAGGCGCTGGGGGTGGCTGCTGCTCAGGCCACAGCCAGCGGAGGGGGATGGCTCCCATTGGCCCCGCAGCAGCTGAAGCGGGAACAGGAGGCCGATACGATGTTGGTGCAGGTGGGGGACTGGCTGGAGGCGGCGCAACGCCCCGACTGGATGGGGGTGTCGGGACAGAAGCCCGAAGTGAAGGCCTACTACTCCCAGTACAACAACCTGGAGACCCACGACGGCCTCCTGTACCGGAGATGGCGGGCCCCCGGGCAGGGCAGAGATCTCCTGCAGCTGTTGGTGCCTCGGTCGCTGCGGTCGCAGGTGCTCGAGCTCGTCCACGGCTCGGTGGAGGCCGGCCACTATGGGAATGCCAAAACCCTCCTCCGTCTCAGAGGACGGTTCTACTGGCCTGGCTGTCAACGGGATGTGGAGCTTCATCTGCACTGTTGTGACACCTGCACGGCACAGAAATGCCCAACTCAACGCTCCACTGCCCCTCTTCAACAGTACCTGGTGGGGCCCCGATGGAGCGAGTGGGAGTGGACGTCCTAGGGCCTTTCCCTGTTACGGAGTCAGGGAACCGGTACGTGTTGGTGGCCATGGATTATTTCACAAAGTGGCCGGAAGTCTACGCTGTGCCGGACCAGAGTGCGTCGACGATTGCGGAGAAGCTGGTGGAGGAGATGTTCACCCGGTTTGGGGTCCCGGCCGAGCTCCACAGCGACCAGGGGCATAACTTCGAAGCTAATCAAACAAAGTGTTAGTCAATAATATAATGTTGACCAATAATGGTTTCCAAACCAAAGAGTTTCTTGCCTTAATTGTGCAAATTTTGATTTAGTATTTCCAGCAGTTTGAAATAACATTGTTATGATTAATATGCTTTAATAAGTAATATGACTTAATCTAACTGCACTAGACATTCTGACTACACGTAATGTACACGCATGACACATTGTTTACTCATCCAATCAGAACCTTCCTTTCTGAAGCATGGCATAGTCTCTGTGGTGTTTATAAATCTGCCAACTTTGATTCGACCTGAAATCAAAACATCCAGATTAATAAAACCAGTCCCCACGCCATCTTAAGTTCAGTTCTCTGAGTTCTCTACAGTTCACTGCAGTTCACCGCATTTTAAGCGAAGTATCAGACCGGCCATCCGGACTTCCTTTTTAAGCAAAGAACCAACAAGATGGATAAAATCTGTTGCATTTTACCAACCAAGGAGCGGTTCCTTTCAGAATAAAAGCTGAACTCACTGACCCAAGGGGGGTCCATCTGATGCTGTGAACCAACTGTTGCTTTTTACCTGGAGACAATCCAAAGACTAGTTTGTCGTACTGCTGACGCTGTTTCACCGGCTCCGGTGCCAAAGGGGGGTCCGAGGACCTGGCAGTCTTGATCTGTACGGAGGTCTCATCTCAAGGGTATGTGTGGAGCGACAATATGGCGTCTCATGTGTTTATGAAACTCCGATCAAACCCTGATCATAGCTAAAAACAAAACTTCACAACATCATTCAGACTTGCTTCTCCGGATACGAGAGTTCTGATTACAACATCACTCACACACACACACCATTCATCTCACATCTCATTGACACCAGATCCATTCATCACTTAGAGTTAAAGTTAGTCTTGTTTAAAATTCTTTAAAATTGTTTAGAAATAAATCTTCTTAAATGTTTTAAATGTGAATCTCTCTTCTCTTGTCTCTCAGTAAATACAAAGTGTTACATAATCCCTGCAATAAAAAGTTCCAGTCTTCTGGTTAAAATAACCCAACGGTCCATAAGATTGATTTCATATTTACTATGGAATCTTACATCTCACGGTCCATTAATTAGATGTAAATTAACTCTTTTACAATATCTTTGATCAAAGTATCAGTTCAGTCTCACCAAGACTGGATCTCATTTTACTTTATATTGGATGGGAAAGAAAATTAGAGGTATCGCACATCACTGACAGACAACAAAAGGCATTTGGGCCTATAAAACTAGTGTTTAACACAGGGGTGGGGATTCAGAGGGAGCTGGGGGTGCAAGCAGTCCCCGGGCCCGGCCTTGGGAAGGGCCTGCTGCTGTAGAGGCAGATGAGAGGGAATGGCGCCTCTAACACTAACCAAGTATGCTGGACAAGACAAGCACTTCCATAGCTTGTGTTCAGAGGAGAATGATTTCCATTCTTCAAAATTCCTTTCATGCATATTTATTTAGGGTTTATGTAGGTTTCCCCAGTCAGGAATGAGTCACAGTTACTAAAAACCGACTGACTTTAGTGGTGTAGTTGGTGTAAATGTTGACTAAAATGTTGAGCTGCATGACAGGCTTTATTTCTACTCTCACGTGTAACTTTATGACCTGCAAATTTACAAGTGGATCTCCGAAATCGTGTTATGGGTAAAACGTCACCAGCCGTCCACCAACATCATCATCACTTGCCAACAGATAGCAAACTAGGTGCCTAATGGAGAAGGAGATATTGATTTGGTCTCAGGGATTATTTCAGTTCCATTTTCAAGCCAGACCGTTTCAGAGAAGCTGATCATCATTACGGGAGTCCGCCCAACCCGTCACTGTTTGTCTCAGCCAGCGGCGGCTCAGCCTTGGCCTCCATGGCCGTAGAAAAGGACTCACTGAACTAAAACACAGAGACAGCTCTATGACAAAATTATTGAAGTCTTCCTATGCAGAGAATAGGATGTTTTTCATCTATAAATAATCAGCAGCTTTGGTGAGTGTTATTAATTTTATTTACACAGTAAACCAGATTAATAAACTCATTTTTACCTGCTGATCATGCGGCTGTAATGTAGAGGTTTGAAACGGGGGGGGGGGGGGTCACAATGGTGTTCCCTCTCATTACACAAAATGCCCTTCATAATATTTAATTGTTAACTAGATTAAACAGACATCTATTCTTAATCTCTAAATTACACAGCGTCCTGTCACCCGATCCCTCACCCCCTCCTCTATTGGTGCTCTTCATAAACAATCTGCTGCTGCATGATTATGTTTATGTTTATTCATTTAGCAGACGCTTTTATCCAAAGCGACTTACAATTTATAACCTATAGGGCATGTTGTGATCTGTGGGGGAAACCGGAGAACCCGGAGGAAACCCACGCATGCATGGGGAGAACACGCAACTCCACACAGAAAGGCCGCAGCCGAGCCGAGTTTCGAACCTGCAACCTTCGTGCTGCGAGGCAACAGTGCTAACCACTGTGCCACCATGCATGCATGCACCATGTAATGAAACCCCCCGAAAAATGTATTCCAACAAGCTTCTCTCTTTTTTCATTTGTATAAAACACGACTAGTGAGTCCACATCCAGACAGAATCCTCTCCTCTGTCTCATGATCTGCAGCAGCTGGGATGTTTACCACAAAGGATTTTGTTAGATTGCTTTTTCAACGTGCCCACTTTGAAATCAAGCACACTCCTCTTGTTTTGACGTCGTCTTTTTGTGCTTGCTCGTATTTCCATTTTGGTGCCATTTATCCAGCTTCATGGATACCTGCCTGTCGGGGCCTTTAACCACTCAGATGCTGGTGCTATCAGTCGGTAACAAGCACGGTGTCGGATAACTTGTCTCTTTTTACCCCTCCTGTGCCTGGTTTGAAGGTGCTGTATGCGCAGCACGCCTCATCGCAGCGATGCACCTTGTGCGCAGATAATGGCCCCTCATGGAGCGCGAGTCCGGCATATCAGGAGGGGCAGCGCTGGGTGGATGTGGATGGCTGATGTTTGAGGACGGACAGATATATCAGAAATCTCTGAGTTTTCGACTAATACATGACTGGAAAACCCCAAAATTAGATGTGGCCATACCGGTCCACTGGGTGGGAGGCTGGACGTTCCTGCAGCCTGGGGTGGGGGGAAGGCCAGCACCAGCTTCACCAGAAATCACAGCAGGCCAGTCCGCCACTCTTGTAACATCACATTAGGTCTGTAAACTGGCACTGAAGGCCCAGGAACCAACTGCATAGGCTGCCACTGCTGAAATCGTGCTATCATGACCTTTCTTACTTGGGTTTTGAGGGCCCGGACATTTACTCCACCCCCGGCTCGGCTCTGATTTGTTCCGCTAGTGGTTTAGCAATGTCTTGTTTCCTCCGGCATTGTGGGTTTTCGTTTCCGGCAGAAGCATTTCAGGGAAGACACCCGAGGGTAGTGAGTGTTTTGTGACTGTGTTTGTGTTCAAAACCTAGCTTGTTTCTTGTTCTTTACAACAGCTTTAATAGTTTTGTGGTGTGGGTAATGGGAGGTCTCTATCTGCTTTATGGAAACAGCTGTTAATTGTAACAGTAGCTCATCAAACCTGCAACTCTCTGGTCATGGGCCAGCCGGGCACTTCTCTGTCACTGTCCGTGAACATCGGCGAGGCCTACACTCACCGAAGGGAGCTGAACGGAGCTACAAAATCCAACTGATGGTGTGACCTGGCTCTTTTACTGCTGGAGGTATAAGTAACAATAATTTTTCTCCCATAGTGTTGATCTTTTGGTGCGTTCGATTTACCTCTGAAGTTAGAACTCGGAAAGTGGGAATGACGTCACGCTCGAGTTAACCGCGTTCTGGTTACTGTGGTCAGAGAAGTCAGGATTCCAATATGGTGACGCCCTTGAAAACTGCTGTTTTGTTAGCTCTCAACAAACACAGATGACTAATTAGCACATGTAAAGCTCTTCTTCAAAAATGTTTCAAGAGAGAAGCTTTTAGTTGAAAGCACTACATGTAACATTGATTTTGAACACATCCTTATAAATGCATCTTGTAAAATAAACACATTCCAACCAAAACTTACTGTTGTTGATATGGAGTGCTGCCATTTTGTGTGTTGACGTCGGAGTTCTGAAATTCTTTCTGACTTGTTTCCGACTGGGAGGTCCGACTTGGAGTTTCATTACATTTTTCCTACTTGGAAGATGGGATTTTCGAATTCCGAGGACAAATTAAATGCATAATTTGGTATCAGTTGGCTTGTGTTAACGTTAGCTCTTTGTTAGCGTTAGCCAGTGGGCTGCTGCAGGTTGGAAACTTGTTGTTATTTTAAATAAGAGTTACAACAATATCTAATGAACCCTAGAACTAAGGACTGACTTTTGAATTGAGATGAATTGAACTGAATGACACACCTATTATTTTACAAATTGTGAGGAGAAACACAAACAACAGGTCAGCCTTTTGCAAACAAACAAATTATAAATGCAACATCCTCCAGGAGCCCCAGTCTTTTAGTGTATTTTTAGTACCTTCTTGATGAGCGTTATGACGGCATTTCTGGCTTTATCAAACTGATTCTGGTCAATGCTCTCAGAAATGTCCACAGCAATGTAGATATTGAGCGTCCCTTCTTTGGAAATCCTAATCGTTCTCCCGCCTTGCGTATCATCTGAATCACAACGAACATGATTATTGTGCAAAATGGATTAAACACATTTCATAATTTTTTTTTGCTATCTATAAAGATCTAACCAGAGCTAAATTGTCTAAATGTTATCCTGTATTTGTTTTGTTTGCTAGGGTCAGGGTGAATGTTATCATATAGTCGTGATAATCACATTAGGAGCAGAAACTTACTCAGAGACTCCATAGTAGTGAGGCTGTCTTTGATTGCACTTCCAAATGCTTCTGATACCTCTTGTGGAGTATCATAGGTGTATTTGACTGCAACAAACAGTGGTCAAAAACTCAGCATTTATTATGACATTTAGTCATTTTCACCCCGTTTTTAAGGAAATGACATCTCATGACCGAATATTTAAACATAAATCAAATATTTATGTCAAATATTCATAATTTTGTTTCAATAAATCTTATAATTTAAAGACATTTAATATTACATCTAAGTGTTGAAATACAAACAGAAATGCACCTTTAAACTAAATTTTTGTTCAAATTCAAACACTGAAATAAAAAAAAGGACGTAACTCATCAAAATTAAAGCAGGATAAGTGAGGCCCGGAAATGCCTAAAACACAGGCCTGGTCTGTATTTTACCCTCACTTTTATAAACCATCCGTGGCTGAACAGACTCACAATCTCACCATCAACGTGAGTCTGAGGTTCTCTTTACTGTTTAGGCTATATCTGTTTTACTGAATTAGTATTTTAGCCAAAAGTTTACTTCAAAGATTCCACATTTGTTAAAATTTTATTAAATAAATGTTTATTAGATAAATAAATATTTAGAAATGTTTACTTCAAAGATTCCACATTTGTTAAAATATTATTAAATAAATGTTTATTAGATAAATAAATATTTAGAAATAAATGCAATTTTTTTACTTATTTAATTTGAAAATTAATCTGAAAATTTACATTCAGCTCCCCATACAGTTCGTAACCAAATGAAAATCTACATGTCTGACTTACAGTAGCATTCCGGCTCTTTGCCCGTCCACTGGCCGTTCTCCTGACACACTCTTTCACTGGAGCCAACCAGGAACATCTTGCCATTACAGGCATATTTCACTTTGTCATCAATACCAAACATGCTTCCCAATCTTGAGGCCCCAGGTGGAATCCCTGGATCAGGACAAGCTTCTCCAGCTGCAGCAGAAAAATAAAATACACCATTAGTCAAAAAAGTCATTGTTTTACTTTCTAAAACCCTGGCAGAAGGAAATGAGGATGATTCTTTCAATAAATTTATTAATTTTAAGAAGATTGCATCAATGAAATTAAAGAAATCATGGAAACAACTTTGTTTACCATACAATTTTCATATTTTATGTGTTCATTTGAAATATCGGTTTGGAAAAGGCTGAATAAAGACACTGAAACAAACCCAAATCTTTCCTTACAGTCACGGCTGCAGATGGGAGTGGAGCCGTTCCACTTCCCGTTTGGTAAACAGATCCGGCTGGATGAACCTCGCATCGTGTATCCAGAGTAACACTCGTATGTGGTTTCATCTCCCACAAAGTAATTTTCCTGAGCAGGGGAAACGTTTCCGTTTTCTAGAACAAATGGATCTGGGCACGTCACACCTGGAAACACAACAAAAGGATCAGAATTAGAGCAGACAGGATCCGCTTTATTGGTTCTCTGGCTATTAGTTACTCTTCAATTGGAAAACAATATTTTTTCTCACGTTTGCACATCTGTGCTGGCCTTTTTTTGGGTAGAGGTCCCCAGGATCCATTAGCCTGACACAGCCGGGTCAAGGTGGGGTATGGATATTGTCCTTCAGGGCAGTGATAGACCAGCAGGCTACCTTTCTCCAGGTTCTTGGTCAGTGTATAACTCCCACCTATGATGTCAATGCTTGTCTGGGTGCAATCACACTGCACCTCAACCACTGTAAAGATCACAGATCTAATTTTAGTGAATGCAATACATGTATCATATCTGATCTGCTATTTCTTTAACAGGATGAATATTTTCCTCCCAAATCTGCTTTATTGAGTCCTGTACACCTATCATGTCTCCTGATGGAGGCTCTAAGGAAACGGAAAGTGCCCACTTTAGGTACTTTATTTGTTGTTTTACCTCATAATTACATTACACACAGTTACCGTAGTTATGATTAATATGTTAACATCAGCCAATTCCATGGTTGTTTTTTAACAAAATGATTGTATAACCATTTGTCATCATATAAAATGTACAAATTGTTAAGTTAAAAAATTTCCAAACTTCAAAGCAGAACAAGACACCACTTTTAGATAAATTATCTATCTTTCTTTGGAATAAAGTTAGCTTTTCACAGGTTTGTAATTTTGGGTGGAACAAAAAAAGGAAATCATACAGTCACCCTTTCTCCTGATTTAGCACAATTTGATTAGCCTGATTAATTAATTTACTATTCAGCTGACTGACATAAGTCATGTAAAACACTGTCATTGTGTCTAAAGACAGAGCTGGATGTTGGTGTTTAAGATTGTGTGTGTGTGTGTGTGTGTGTGTGTGTGTGTGTGTGTGTGTGTGTGTGTGTGTGTGTGTGTGTGTGTGTGTTATAAAAAAATAAAAGATTTGAATTTTATCTACTTTTACTTTTTTAATGTGCATTTAAACATTAAGATTATTTACACTTTCTGATAAAAATTAAAAATCTTAACATTTCCAAATTGTTTGCTCACAGATTTATTCACATGTAAACGTGTTCAAACAAAATAAACACAAGGATATTCTTATGAATTTCAATTTTAGATTTAGAGTTGTCTTGTTAAGAAGTTAAGTTTCTCACCCAAACAGAGAAGACATAGGAGAGCAGCAAACCTGTCCGCAGATGTCCTCATGTTTAACCTAAAAGAGGAAACAGTATAAAAATGAGACGAAACTGTGCGGGCAGGAACTTTATGTAAGAGAGGGACAGTGATGTCCAGAGAGGAGGCCAGGACAAAGATTATTCTGTTATTTATTAACTTTGTAACCAGTAGAGGGAATCAATAGATGTGTCTCAAAAAAGTCTAATTGGAAGGGACCTGATTACAACTTTTGCCTGAAGATGAAAAAAATGGACCTACCAAGCACAACGACTGGAACAAAAGTTTGAATTTAAGGATTTCCACGTTTGTCCGGGTTTAATTCTGTGCCTACTGACTTAAGGCCAAAGGCTCTTTAAAATATCTGGGGTTTTCCTCTGTGTGCTCATACAGTCACATTGGAAACAAAAAACACAGTCATTGTGAAATAAAGACAAACACTGACTTCACTTCCCAAAAACGAGTCACATTTGTGTGACGGTGTGTTAGAGCCACTGAGAAGGAAAAGAACACTAAAAGTCCAGATTAAAGCTGAAATGTTGAAATGAAAAGAAAAACAGAAAGAGAAAGATTGTGCATCAGATTCAGAATCAGCTTTATTGTCAGAGCACCAGCATCCTGGAGCATAGAAATTTGTCTCTGCAGCACAGCCCGACCAAGGTTAACACACAACATGTAGACAAAAGCAGAGACAGGCAGGCCGCGAGGGCAACCCGATGGGGCAACCATACCAGCCGCTAATTTTCAGTACGATGGAAAAGGGTAATGGGGGGGGGGGGGGGGGTTCAAACTGCTGGAAATACTAAATCAAAATTTGCACAATTAAGGCAAGAAACTCTTAGGTTTGGAAACCATTGTTTATACTGCGCTGTTCACTTATATGACCTAACTTTTAATCTGAAGGAACAAAGGAAGTTCATTGAGTTCTGCTGTGGTCACTGCTACAGAGGTAGCTGTAAAACTGTATTTTATTCTCAATAAATTAGATTTCTTGTTGTTGTAGTTGTTTGTTATTTACCTTCTAAAAGCCCTCGGAACCCTTGATTTGGACAATATAAACAGAAGAGAGTGGAGTTTGAAGCATAATAAAGTTCACGTCCATTACCTCTGTAGCGTAAGAAACAGTAAATTAAAGGATAAATTTCTCGTATTTGATATAGTGCCTTTTAGAGTTCTGGAACCCCCCCAAGGTGCTTTACAACACAATCAGTCATTCACACACTGGTGGGGATGAGCTACGATGTAGCCACAGCTACCCTGGGGAGCACTGACAGAGGTATGGTTGCAAAGCACTGGCGCCACCGGTCCCTCCGACCACCATCAGCAGGCAAGGGGGATTAAGCGTCTTGCTCAAGGACACAATGACAGTGACAAACTGAGCGGGGCTCGAACCTGCAATCTTCCGATTACGGGGCGGGTACTTAACTCCTGTGCCAATGTCAGAGGTCACCAAACACGGAAGTGTCCTGGCTTATCTGCCCGGAATACGATGTCATTTCATACCATAACAAATATCCTGTTTACTCCCCTCTAGCTCCGCCATCTGGAGACGCTGTCATAACAATATCTCCCCTGCTTCATTGCCTGCAGAAGCACAAGGTCCCTCACAAGACATGACTTGTGCCTTTAATAAAGAATCTCATTTGGTCTCATAAATATTTTCCTAAGTTTACAAGTTATTAACAATAATGTTGTGTTTTATCCACAATGACTGTTTTACCTAAAGAGATTTAATATTGCCTTGACTGCTTTCTAGTAATGAATGAATCAACATGAATGTTTATTTTTGAAATGTCGTATTTCTGATCTTAAATAAACCAAACAAGACTACTTGATGATTTAATAGTGATCTATTATCAGCTATGTCACATATTAATATCAGTATTAACAAATGACTGTTTAATCTATTTATTTCACATATTAATTGAAATAAGCTTTTATAAGTGTCTGAGAAAGGGGAGGTCTGAGGACTCTGAAAATGCCTATTAAACTTTTTTCAGTCTAGTTGGTCCAAAACGTATAAACAGCAAATCCTTAAAAGAAGAAACAGTTCAAGCTAAGCTTCCAGCTTATGCTAAATTACCATCCTGTGGAAAATCAAGCCAGATTTTTCAGTAGAGTAATTTTAGCCCCATGAAGAGCAATCCTTTTTCAGAAACAGCCAGTTATTATTTGTTTATTCTGCAAAACAACTCATCAGCCGTGAAACAGTCCGACAGACCCAGGAGGCTGACCAGCTGGTGCGGATTCAGAGGAATATGGCCTGTGACATCCAGAAGTCAAGCTATTCGCTAGCCAAGAAGACTTTGTGACCAGCCGGATCACCGAGAAGCCTCCATACACACGGGTACCGTAACCACTGGTGTAGAAAGGGTTCAGATTCATTTGATAACTAATTAACCAGATTTATTTTATGAACTCAGACATCCCCTTTTTCTGAGTCATTTAACTCGACTCTTAACATCTGAGATCATATTTCATCAGAGTTTATTCATTGTCTCAGTTGATATTAAGTTAACCGTCCCTCTGTCCTAATGGGTGTGACCCTGCGAGGAAAGCTGACCATTGAGCAGGATTGATGGTTTATCTCTTGGGTCCATGTGGCAGGGGTGAGGAGTGAGCACTAGAGCCCTACACGGGCCTAAAATCTGAGCCCGTGTCCGGCCCGGCCCGAGGGGGTGGAGCCCCAGCCCGATCCGGTCCGAAAAGGTTTTCAGGATTCTCTGGCCCGACCCGAGCCCGACTTTTTTTTAACCAACTAAATGAAAACAAAGTGCGTCAATCCTGAAAAATGTGTTAAAAGACGTGCAGGATCCAATCAATTTGTTTTTCCCTCATTTACCGTAACGGAGATGACGGCACACTGGCTCTGGTGATAAAGTTAAATTTTATCTCTTTCCAACAATTTTCACAAGAAAACAGAACAGTCAAAAGCAGGGCTTGTGTTGACCGCATAGTTCCCGTATTTGGCCCTTAATTTTGATAGAGAAATAATAGAAAGAATTACCCCGACGCATGCAGACGAACTGACATTTTATTCTACGCACATCGCAGATGTAGCTAAATCACCCAAGAAAAGATTCCCATCTGAACTTCTGAGCTGCTCAGCGCAGCTCACTGTCAGCGCATATGTGCACAGCGAGCTGAAGTTGTGGAGATTGGCTTGGAGCGTGTCGCAGAACCAGAGCGCATGCGGGAAGATTCCTCCCACTGAAGCGAGTGTTTTCCAAACCCTGTCTCTCAGAGAGACTTGTCACTTAGAAAATGTTCCCTGATTATGAAATTTTGGCTGAATAGTGCTTGTTCCTGTCTCCAATGTGGCGACACATCCAGGAGCCGTCTGAGGAGAAACCCAGAATCTCACATCCTCTTCAGCTCAGAATGCGCCTATGATTACGCACAAGCGTGACCCGTCAACCCGGTCTCACAGTAAGACTGGGTTGGGCCTGTTCAGGTTTACAATGACAATCTTTACATAGAATTGACTTACAGATATTAAATTAATTCAGTAAAATATAAAGCATTTTATTTAAATATCCATTCATTATTTTACAAGCACAGAGAGCCGCATCAGATTCAGATCAGCGGGAAGATTCCTCCGACTGAATTCAGTCGGAGGAATCTTCCCTCATGCGCTCTGGTTCTGCGACGTGCTCCAAGCCCCTCTCCACATCTTCAGCTCGCTGTGGACCGTACGTACACGCTGACAGTGAGCTGCGTTGAGCAGTGTCCAGCTCAGATGTTCAGATGGGAATCTTTTCTTGGGTGATTTAGCTACATCTGCGATGTGCGTAGAATAAAATGTCAGTTCGCCTGCATGCGTCGGGGTAATTCTTTCTATTCTTTCGCCGTCAAAATAAATGGTCAAATACGGGAACTGTCCGGTCAACACAACACAAGCCCTGCTTTTAACTGTTCTGTTTTCTTGTGAAAATTGTTGCAAAGAAATATAATTTAACTTGATTAACACCAGAGCCGGGCGCACTGCGCCGTTATCTCCGTCGCTGTAAATGAGGGAAAAACAAAATGATCGGATCCTTTTCTGACCTTCCCCACCTACAAAGTTTAATTACAACAATCAAACGTGACAGAGCCTGGATTTGTATTCTGAACAGTCTAAACATGTTTTAAAAAGAAACGCATGACAAAAGTGGCACCTGCTCAGTAAAACCATCAACAGGGTGAAAAATATCAAAATATTGTAGGCAGAGACGGGCTACAACTTCTGGATCCATTTTATATAAATCGTTTTATTGATTATCGTCTTATGAAAGATAACTTTGACGTACACGAGCGACCGGTACCGGCTGCTGTCACCTGTTGTGAGCAGCTCTCTGCTGTCTGAGGGTAGGCCCCGCCCACAACGCCGCTGCTGCTGTGGCTCCCACTGTTTTCTTTACTGTGGGAAACGGGTAATAATGGCTCTTTGATGGGAACAGGTTGCCGACCCCTGGTTTAAGTGTTCCAATTTTTTTAATGAATTCAATTAAAAATAAAGGCGCACGGCCCGTGTCCGAGGTAATTACACAGTCGTTGGCCCGAAGCCTGGCCTGAGGGCCGTCGGGCCGGGCTGACCCGAGGGCCTAGGGCTTCCGTGCAGGGCTCTAGTGAGCACCACCTCACCCCTGCTACATGGACCTCAAGGGATAAACCATCAACCCTGCTCAATAGTCAACTTCCCTCGCGGGGTCACCCGTAAAGACAGTGGAAGGGTTATATCACCATTTATAATCATTTCTCCTGCGTCATCCTAGTATTAGAAATATAGTAATAAATAGATTTTTATAAACTACATTTTTGCCTCTGTGTCAAATTATTATAAGGTTTTGGTTCCCTGGCATATCCAAAGTACCTAGTTTCATCATCAATCAAATATTAAAGGTTCAATAACATTGCTAATCCATATTTTTATTGAATACTTTTATATTTAGTTGAAATTTTATTAAAAGTAACCACTTCATAACATTCCACCTCTCAATGTCACTAACACACCCTCAAACACTTGAGCTTTGTTGACATGTTGAGTTATTTATTGATGAAACACTAGAAAGAACCAAACTGGAATCTCGATTGTTTTTCTTCTCATTCTACATGAGCTAAGCAGGTAATTACGTAAATTTTCTTCTTGATCACCTGGAAGATTAATCTCATATGTATAATAAGAGGTTAGTCACTGAAAGAAAAAGTATATCCTTTACTGATATTGTCTCAGTTTGGTGCTTGGATGTTTTCAACCGCGCATCATATCATCTTTGTGTCTCTTGTGGCTGATCTACATTTAACACAGATGTATGATGTTGAGGTTTCCAACTCTGAGATGCTTTCTCTCACTCTCTCTACTGGACACGCCTGGTAACAGCTCATCCGTCTGATACATATTTTACACACTTAGATTTTTAGATAATAGCTGTCAAAAACAACACATTTCATTTCATGGACTGAACACATTTTTGAGCCCTTTTCCCAAAAAAATTATCCACTCACAAAGGATCGGTCTAGATCTCTATTCCTCCAGGATTTAGCAAAGAATTTTTCTGTTCAGTTTCTCAAACAGAAGGTTGGAAAATCACACTCCATCCATTTACTGTCAGTGTTTGGTTTTAGGAATTATGTTCCTAAAACAAGCTGTTTCAAAAAGTCCCTGTTTGTGATGTCACAAACAATAAATAAACAAATGGTGCAAAGTTGCGCCATATCACACTTTTGAAATTCATACGACAATTCATGGACAATGTGCACAACAGAATGGGTATTATAGCGGCATATTTTATTCTACATGGCAGATAAAAACGTCCTACAATGCAAGTGTGGTCTGTAAAATGTATATCTGCATGTCCTGTGCTGAGTATGCTTTGACCTACAGTCCTTTGTGTGCAGGCAGCAGCGGCTTTCATTCATTAATCTTTGAACAGCTCAGGGAGAACCAGGTGGATGATTGGGTGCTGTGTACTATTTCACCAGAGGGGGGCGGAAGTGTGCGCTTGCTGTAGGTTTCCTGCAAAAGCGTAGAAGAAAAAGAGGAAATGACGCAATGTCTCCGGTAAAACAACAAGGCGCCAAATTTGTGCCCCTTTATCACAGATGCACATCCATGGCGGAGTTAGAATAAATGTGTTTTGTGACTCGTCACATGTGGGAAACGCAGCTCAGGGAAAAGGCGGTGGAGGTAAGACAGTCACATGAATCATCGCTGAACAGATATGGAGGCATCGTGACATTAGCGCTGCTTCACATCCTGCAAACGTTAAAGTTTGGCGCTGTTTGTCTTTAATGATGAGTTTTTTTTATACACGTTACATACGTGTTGTGTGTTTTGTGTTTACTGAAGCATCATGGCGGTGCCTTTTGTCCAGGACTGGGACCTCGTTCAGACTCTGGGAGAAGGAGCATATGGAGAGTAAGAACATCATATATATAGTTCAGTAGCTGCTGGGCTAAATGCTGCACCAAACCTTAATGCAGGTTAAAGTCGAGCTGCGTTTTTCTTTACTCAAGCTACTTTTGTTTAATAATTAAGTTCTGGTTAAATGCACGTTGTAATTCACACCATCCAATCCAATTTTATTTATAAAGCGCATTCACAAGGCATTACAACCAAACAAGGCGCTGTACACTAAAAATGTTGGTTAATTAAACAGGCGTTATATAAACATGTCGAACACAGATAAAAGATAAAAAGGAAATACAACAAAATTCCCAAAAATAACAGCTAAAAATCATTAAGACACAGGGTGAAGTAAAAATAGGAAAAAAAAAAAACATCACCTTTATCAGATGTGCACCGGTTGTGATTTTGTAGGCCGATATCTGCGGCATTTACTGATCTTAAAGAAAAGGGCTGATGGTGAGTTCATGGACCAGTCATTTCTATTGCGTTCACTCATCCGAAAAGTAGAGTTTTGGGTTGGTCAATCACCAGTTTAGCTAATCAGGCTGACATTTGTCCGGTTCCGGTGCGTTTCTAGTTTTTGTTTTACTCCAAAAGTCTGTTCTATTTTCTTTCTTATAGAAATTCTGATTTATTTCTCTTTTTGTTCTGAACCATGCTCTTTCAGAGTGAGGCTGCTGGTGAACAGACACACTGAAGAGGCAGTGGCAGTGAAAGTCGTCGATACCTCTCAGTCTAAAGAGTGTGCAGACAACGTGAAAAAGGAGGTCTGCGTCCATAAGGTACCTGTCTTACTGAGCTGCAGAAAACACATTTACCTTCTTCTGAGGATTTTTAAGTCAAACACTTCTGTTCTGATTTTAGAAATAAACAAAGTGTGCTGGTTCAACGTTTGAAATCAGTGATAGGGCCGCACAATATATCGTAAATATATCGTTATCGCGATATCAGCATGTGCAATATGCATATCGCAAAGAACAGATAAATATTGCAATGAATGGTCAGCTCAAATGTTTCGTCTTCATCTTCCTCCGCTTATTCGGGTCCGGGTCAAATGTTTGCTACACATAATGCGTTCTGTCAATCAAACGGAAGTGTGATGTTTTTTTAACAAATAAAACAGCTTTTCACCCATTTGGCCAATTGGATGGGTTCTCATAGGTTAGATGCCCGCCCCCGAGGCGGACGGCACTTAATTTTGATGGTTAGCAAACACCTTAAGTTAGCTTTTTTCTGCTCTTTTTGCTGATTCTGCTTTTCCCGGGTTCCACTGATTGTCTTTTCTTCACATCTTTTGCTTTTGTCATTTTGAAGAAATTTTTTGTCATTTTTAAAATTTATTTATATATATATTTTTTTTTATTATTTTAGTTCCTGAGTTAAGTTATTATTTATTGCAAGTAATATCATCATCGCAATATTAATCACTATCGGACATTGCATGTTTTCCTAATATCGTGCAGCCCTAATCAGTGATTAAAAATACAACCTTGTTCTTTGTCAGATGCTCAACCATCCCAACATTGTGAAGTTTTTTGGGCATCGGAAAGAAGGAGCGACTGTTTATCTGTTTCTGGAGTACTGCACCGGAGGAGAGCTGTTTGACCGGATCGGTAAAACACTGCGGGCTCTCTGATAAAACTGTATTTTTGCAGCAGACTGTTGGTGTCTGTGAAGTGCAGATCAGTTTATTATCTTAACTAGTTCCTGCCTAACTCGAGTTCTTGTCTTTCTGGTGTTTTAGAGCCTGATGTGGGAATGCCAGAGAGGGATGCTCACAGGTTTTTCCAGCAGCTAATGTCAGCTGTGGTGGGTGAATGTTTGTGTTGTTTGCCTGATTCGGGCTCTTTTTTTATTCTTTTATTTGCTTCTTCTCAGGAGTACCTCCACAGCCTTGGCATCACCCACAGAGACATAAAGCCCGAAAACATTTTGCTGGATGACAAAGGTGGGCAAATAGAGTGCCACAGTTTTTTTTTAATGATTTCTCATAACCATGCATCATTTTTTTTTATCTTCTAACCTTTAGACAACTTAAAGCTGACTGATTTTGGCCTAGCCACCATGTTTCGGTTCAAAGGACGTGAGCGCCAGCTGAACCGACTCTGTGGGACTCTTCCCTACGTTGCTCCAGAACTTCTCAGCCAATCAGAGTATAGTGCTCAGCCTGCAGACATCTGGGCTTGTGGCATCGTCCTGACGGCCATGCTAGCTGGAGGTGAGATCCCACACGGTCCAGGCACCCGCTGTCTTTCAGGGGGTTTTAGTGTAACAGACTAATCATCCCGATCAATGCTCTATACTTTCATAATTTGAATTAATAACTTAAAGGCGACATATTATGCAAAATCGAACTTTTGTGCTACCATGTGGGTCTCGACTGGCTCTGTAAACTCTCCAAACATGGAAAAAAAATCCATCCATCTGTTTTCTGTTCGTGTGGTTTTTAGGTTTTATGTGCCTAAAACAAGCCGTTTCAGAAAGTCCCTGTTTGTGATGTCACAAATGGGGAAAGTAGAAGTAAACTGTCTCTCACGTGCTAAAGAGCTGCTACCAGGGGTGCAGGGCTCTACTCCGAGCATCTTCTGGCTGTCAGAGCTTCTCAGCTTATAGCAACCTGAGTGGGGGGTGGGTGGGTGTGACCAGCAACTGCTTGTTTTCTTAAAGTGACAGAGTCCTAAAATGGCTCATTCTGGAAGGTACTGAAACTGTCAACAATAAAACTAGTGTTCGAAGGACACCACTACTCAGCCTAAAACAGCTCTGTACAGTGTGGGTTAAGTCGGCTCACCTGAGTGTTTCCATGCCAGCTCTATGACAGAGTGTGCTTGCACCCCTCATAGGTGCAAAGTGATCTGTATGTTACACAGAAACACAACTCGGCACAGAAAGGGTGATGTTGTTGGACATTCTGCTCAGTTTTATGGATTTCTGTCAGAATCTGAACCAGAAAACGGCAGCAGGCAGAAATTTCTGGAGCACCCAGTGACTCCGCCCCCTAGTCAATTAGTGGCCACAGTAGCGATGCTGGCCCGACTCAGCCTTGACAGGTACCTAAATGGAACAGGGACTAAATACTGGGAAAAGTAGAGGGAAAGTACTGAACCCTTTCCTTTGGAAAACGTGGTTGGGCTGAGCTGCACCGGTCCAAGTACTGAGTAGAGCCCTTCAAAAACTAGCTCAAAACTGTTGAGATCTCTTTATGTGAGACAGATTTAGTTCAAAGAACTTCCTAAACTTGTTTTGTAATGACCATTAAACTATTATAGATTAAGAAAATGCCTTTAATACATTTATTTGACACTAGCATGATGTATTAGAATTAAACAGAAACACAAGCGGTATGATGTGAAGAGCTAACAGAACATGTGCTGTTGTTAGAGCTGCCCTGGGATCAGCCGTCCGAGACCTGTCAGGAGTTTTCAGACTGGCTTCAGAAAAAAACCTACCTTCCTCCCTGGAAGAAAATACAACCGCTGCCTCTTAGTAAGCCTAACACATTTTTGAAAAAGCTGTTAAAATGATATTAAAACTGTTACTAATTCATGATTATTCCACTAATTCCCTCAGGTTTGTTATCCAAGTTATTACTTCCCAATCCCGATACAAGAATCACCGTTTCGGACATAAAAAAAGACCGCTGGTTCACACAAGGTGGGTGATGTCATCAGCATCTGATCCAGACACATTCAAGCTGTAATGTTGGCCCTTTTTCTCCCTCTGATAAATCACATCTCCATGTCTGCAGGGTCTCAAAAGTCAACAGGAAACCAAGTTCGTCACACTGATGTGGAGCTTAGATCTCAAACAAACAGGTCAGAGCTTTCTGTCTTGATGTTTTATCTCCAGACATCCATCCGTCTCTTAGCTGAAGATGTGTTCCCCTCTCTAGCAATGACAGGATGCAGTTTTCCAGCTCTCAACCTGATTTGGCAGCAGGTGACTGGGAAGCCATGTTGGTGATCAGCTCAGCTGACGGTCAGGTCAGCTTCTCTCAGCCGACCAAACCGGAGCACATGCTGCTGGGGAGTCAGTTAGTTGGCACGCCGGGAGCCAGTCAGGTAGATGACAGGAGTTCCCATACCTGGTTATGTTCCTGATGATGATGCGTGGGAGTTTTAATCTGCTTCTCAGGTCGATGCTGCTTCTAAATGTCCCTCTCAGATGCAACATCTTAACTTTGTTCTTCTTTTTTTTTTTTAAAGTCTCCGTGGCAGAAATTGGTGCGGAGAATGACTCGCTTCTTTACCAACGTGAACGCCGAAGCCTCCCTATCCGCTCTGAAAGAAGTGTGTGACGGCATGACGCTCGGCTTCAAGCTCACCTGCACCAAACAGGTAAATCTGGGCTTACTTTTCATATGTTAAATTTCATTTCAGAAAAAAATTCAAAAAGAAAAATGGACGTCTATTAGTTATTTATTTATTTATTTATTTTACTTGAAAGGGAAAAAAAAACGCCATTCTTGTCTTCTGCTCCTCGATTCCATTCAGTTAGATGTGGAATTCTGTTTTTTAGGTTTCTGTCCTTTCTCAGTAAAACGCATTTTGTTAAAGAACCTCAAAACTCAGTTCCTCCTGCTGCTGTGCGTCACATGACCAGGGTCTCACGCACAGCCCTGCCTCTCGTTTATAGCAACGCCTTTTGCAAAGAACATCAAAGGTTTGGCTGCATTTGGTGAAGCTAATCAGCAAAAGAGCTAAATGTGACATCTGGTATAGGATTTGTTTTGCTAAATAAGGAAATATCTAATAAAGCATCTCATCATCCATGGCATCTATTTGCAGCTGAAGCAATATCAGTCTTCAGCAGCAATAAATAAATAATGTAGGAGCAAACTCAGCCTGGCGTCTACAACCTTTCTTTGATGCAGCAGCAACACTGAAGGTGTCATCAGGTTAGTTTTTCCGAAGAAAGATGATCAAGACTCATTTTTACGCAGTTTATTTTGTATTAAAGTCTCTGTTAGGAGTATTTCTCTTATACGATGGCACCATCTAGTGGCTGACAAGCATATCACACAAATAATTTCTTCAGTTTTTTAAGATGGCGACTTCACCTTTCTTGTTATTTATGTGCTTCTGTGGCCGACACGCAGAGTAAAAACACGTTGTTTTACAAGTATTATTCTCATGTCATGCTGTGTTTGCATATATTTATATTTTAGAGACTTACTTGTCCGTAAAAAGTTCATCAACTCTGCATCAGCCGAGGTATTCCTTAAATTTGAAGCGTCTAAGCGGTAGTCTAACGCTATTGGTTAGTTCTAGTTGGCGCTCAGTTTCCTATTGCATGGAGCTCTGTGGTGTAGGGGGCGTGCTTAGTAACAAAAACTTAATTATTGCTTAGGTTATATCACAGTACATGATGAGACAATCACTTTTACGGATTTCTGAAAAATCATACATTCTGAAAGGGGGAAACTCCAGAAAGATACTGTAACTCTTATTTGTACAGTTTGTTTATTTATTTGGGATATTCAGGTTTTTAAGAGTAGATGTTTCATATTTATAGAATAGATGATAGTTTGCCATGGGTGACCCTACCAGAGGTTTAACAGCGTGGCTCAATCCCACCGGCACATCTTCCAGTGAGGAAGCAGAGTCTGGGAACTTTGGGTTGGACTCTAAAATCTCTAAGGCTGAAGTCACTGATGTGGTCAAAAAAGTTCTCAGTGGGAAGGCCCCAGGGCTGGATAAGATTCACCCGGAGTTCCTTTACCCCCAAATTCCACTACCTCCGCTCCGCTGCGCTCCGCTCCGACACGAACGCCGGAGCAAAATCGGTCCCGTTGTAGTCAATCGGAGCAATTCCACTACTGCGGTCGTGCTCCGGCAGTGCGGCGCCGTGCGCCGCCCTCTGTTCCGGCGTCCGGCAAAAATAGAATCGATCCTATTTTCGCCAGATGCCGGAGCACCTCCGCAGTCAATGGACAGAAATCACAACGGCCCAACAGGAAAAGGAGCCAGCACAATTTCCGTTTTTCACAATAAATCGATAAACAAAAGGCGTTTTTTGTTTCATATGCACAGGTTTAACAACTTTTAACAACTATCAATGGCGGCTGAACTTTAAATGCACAAAAGTAAGCCATAAATACAGTTCCCACTATCAAAGTAGTCACACTTTGTTGATCCAAACACTGCTGATCTCTCAACATAAATGATGGGCAGATTAAACAGTTCATGCCGATGCTTCTCCCACACAACGGGTGTTTGGATCTAACTTCTGCGTTTATTGCTCGGACTGTATCGCAAGATCTCGAAAATCCCGCGCATGCTTGTTTGCCCCCCTCAGGTCTCCGCACCGGAGCGGAGCCGTTGTAGAGTGGGTACCAGTAAAATTGAGTTCGGAAACGAGCGGCTGCGGAAGGCGGGGGCGGACCGGAGCGGAGCGGAGGTAGTGGAATTTGGGGGTAAGGCTCTGGATGTTGTGAGGTTGTGTTGGTTGATGCAGCTCTGTAGTATCGCATGGGCATGGGGGACAGTTCCACTGGATTGGCAGTCTGAGGGGACCGCAGAGTGTGTTCCAACCGTGGAGCACTGGACCAGCCTTACCCCCAAATTCCACTACCTCCGCTCCGCCCCGGTCCGCCCCCGCCTTCCGCAGCCGCTCGCTTCCGAACTCAAATTATACTATACCCGCTCTACAACGGCTCCGCTCCGGTGCGGAGACCTGAGGTGGGCAAACGAGCATGCGCGGGATTTTCGAGATCTTGCGATACAGTCCGAGCAATAAACGCGGAAGTTAGATCCAAACACCCGTTGTGTGGGAGAAGAATCGAAATGAACTCTTTAATCTGCCCATCATTTATGTTGAGAGGTCAGCAGTGTTTAGATCAACAAAGTGTGACTATTTTGATAGTGGAAACTGTATTTATGGCTTACTTTTGTGCATTTAAAGTTCAGCCGCCATTGATAGTTGTTAAAGGTTGTTAAACTTGTGCATATGAAACAAAAAACGCCTTTTGTTTATCGATTTATTGTGAAAAACGGAAGTTGTGCTTGCTCCTTTTCCTGTTGGGCAGTTGTGATTCCTGTCCATTGACTGCGGAGGTGCTTCGGCGTCCGGCAAAAATAGGATCGATTCATGCTGGACGCCGGAACAGAGGGCGGTGCACTGCCGGAGCACGGCCGCAGTAGTGGAATTGCTCTGATTGACTACAACGGGACCGACTTTGCTCCGGAGTTCGTGCCGGAGCGGAGCGGAGGTAGTGGAATTTGGGGGTTAGGGGTATCCTGGAGGGTGTGTGGGAGTTTACCCATCCAATCTACATGTGTTTTGTGGATTTGGAGAAGGTGTTTAACTGCGTCCTGTGGGGGGGTACTCCAGGAGTATGGGGTACCAGGCTCTCTTATACAGGCTGTTAGGCCCTTGTATGACCGGTGCCAGAGTTTGGTCCGCATTGCCGGCAGTAAGCCGAGCTCATTTCCAGTGAGAGTTGGACTCCGCCAAGGCTGCCCTTTGTCACCGATTCTGTTCATAACCTTTATGGACAGGATTTCTAGGCACAGCCAAGGTGTTGAGGGGATCTGTTTTGGTGGCCTAAGGATTGAGTCTCTGCTTTTTGCAGATGATGTGGTCCTTTTTGCTTCATCAGACCATGATCTCCAGCTTTCACTGGAGCGTTTTGCAGCCGAGTGTGAAGCGGCTGGGTTGGGGCTCAGAGTAGACTCGCTGCTCCTCCACGTCGAAAGGAGTCAGATGAGGTGGCTCGGGCTTCTGGTCAGGATGCCTCCCTGGTGAGGTTTTCTGGCACATCCAACCGAAAGAAGACCTAAAGGAAGACCTAAGACACGCTGGAGGGACTACGTCTCTCGGCTGGCCAGGGAACGCCTTGAGATTCCCTGAAGGAGCTGGCCCTAGTAGCTGGGAAGAGGGAAGTCTGGGCTTCTTGGCTTACGCTGCTACCCTCGCGACCCAACTCTGGATAAGTGGAGTCTGGTCGTGGGGGCATTGAATTGATAGATAGATGGATAATAGTTAGTACTTTACCTTCAGAATTTAAACTTTGGTTTTGCACTAAAAGATAAATAGTTATTTAATTTACTTAAGAAAATTGTGTCATAATTATTTCTCTAAAAGAAAGATGTTTGCTTAATTATAGTTCACTGTTTGCACAAAGAAAAATAGTCATTTTGTTTTATGTACTAAATAAAAAAACATGCAAGTAATTTTTTCTATTAAAATTAACCCTTAAAGTATAGATACCCCCAAAAAGTGCCATTCAGATACTGGTACTGTTATCAGAAAAAATCCAAACCCAGCCCTGGGTATCACACATGTTCATTTCAATAAGCTGACAACAAGGACCATTGTGTTTGCTTTAATGCTAAATATGCCTCAGCAGCTACTAGCTGCATCACAGTGTGGTGTGGGAACAGCACCAGGGATCCTAAATGCCTGCAGGGCATAGTTAAGACTTTCAAAGATTACCCGGACTCCACAACCCTCTCTGCAGAGTGTGTACCACAACTTTCTGTACAGTCTACACTTAAGATAGCATTTTTTATGTTTATTTAATCTTATCTATTTTATTCCTGCTTAGTTTGGCAGTTTGGGTGACGAGGTAAGAGTTTCATGGTGGCTGTAACAACATTTTCTTTTGCACAGAATAAAGATTCTAATCCTTGGATCTCGAATCCTTAACAAGTCAACAGCTTTGTTTGTTTGCAGACGTGGAGACATTGGTAACTTTGTCTGGTCCAGTTTTGGATAACGTAATGTGTGCGTGTTATTTATTTAATTTCTACATTTTCATTATGTGTATCACAAACGGGTCCATGAGTCCATGTGTAATTTGAAGCTCGTCAGTTCTGTTGGTTAACTTATTTCCATCACTTTATTATTTAATGTAAAACTCCAGATGTCTTTCATTTTGGTTTTATGGTTTCTGCTTCTAAAACGAATGATCAAAAACCAGGAAGTACAAAGACTACTGGTTCAGACCCGTTCCTTTAGTACGTTCTTGTTGATTAACAGATCTCTGCCTCTCAGGTGACTGTGAGCATGCTGGACAAACGTAACAACAAGCTCATCTTCAAAGTCCATCTACTAGAAATGAGCCAGCGAGTGCTGCTGGACTTCAGGCTGTCTAAGGTTGTTCTCTCAGAACTGTGTGCTGTTCTGCCTTTGAGTTTTTCCTTGAAACTGACGTGTGTGTGTGTGTGTGTGTGTGTGTGTGTGTGTGTGTGTGTGTGTGTGTGTGTGTGTGTGTGTGTGTGTGTGTGTGTGTGTGTGTTTCAGGGTGACGGTTTGGAGTTCAAGCGCGTCTTTGTGAGGATAAAACACAAGCTTGCTGACATCGTCAGCACTCAGAAGGTTTTAGTTCCATGAGACGTTTTTACAAACAGCCCGTCTAAAAGTGGACTTGTTGTTCTGCTGACGTGTCGAAGGTGAATCGTGGTTTTAGTTTTGTTATTAGGGAAGCTCAAAGTAGGATATTTATCAGAGCAGAGTTGTGGTTGACATGGTTTTACTCAACCTTCCGTTGTGACCCAAGTGTTTGCTTTTTCTTTGTTGTGTTACAATCCAAAGTTGAATAAATTATTAAAACACCCCTTTATGTTGGATTTCAGTGATTAAATGATGTCAGAAGCATAAACAGTTTTTATTGTTGTTCAAAAGTCTCAGAGATAAATGAGTACAGCTTGGTGAAACCTGTTGCAAGCTAAATTATATGATTCATACAAAAAAAACTGACTTGAGTCATTTATGCTTTTTATGACTAAATTACATGGAAATATGTTTAATAAAGAAAGTTTATAAATAATTTTCTATAACTTTCTATGATTCAGATTCTGCCTAAGGCATCTAGTTTAGTTTTAGGAGCCTGTAGCTTTGACTGTGATGGTGACACTGACTGGTTCATTGTCATCTCCAGGGGGAGGGGAATGGCTGATGGTAGGGGTGGCGGGACTGGGAGTGGCACTCAGGGGTGAGGCAGCTCGGGGTATAGTCACAGTTGGACCTGGGGGAGACAGAAATGTGATTAGACTAGTTAGTTGTAAGGTGATGCTGACAGAGTACAGTACCCAAAAACAGGTGCTGGTCAAAATTACAATATGATTACAAAGATGATTTATTTCAGTAATTCCATTCATGAAGTGAAACTTGTATTTTAGATTCATTCATTACACACAGGCAGATATATTTCAAATGTTTCTTTAATTTTGATGATTATAATTGACAATGAAAATCCTAGATTTTCTCCGAAAATTAGAATGTCGATTAAGACCAATGCAAAAAAAGGACTTAGAAATGGTGGCCAACTGAAAAGTATGAGCATGTACAACACTCAATATTTAGTTAGGGCTCCTTTGGCCTGGATCACTGCAGCAAAGCGGCGTGGCATGGAGTCCATCAGTCTGTGGCACTGCTCAGGTGTGATGAGAGCCCATGTTGCTCTGATAGTGACCTTCAGCTCTTCTGAACTGTTGGGTTTGGCGTATTTCATCTTCCTCTTCACAATACCCAGTCGATTTTTGGTCAGGTGAGTTTTCTGGCCGATCAAAACGGATACCATGGTCCTTAAACAAGGTACTGGTAGCTTTGGTGCTGTGTGCAGGTGCCAAGCCCCGTTGGAAAATGAAATCTGCATCTCCATAAAGTTGGTCAGCAGCAGGAAGCGTGTAGTGCTGTAACACTTCCTGGTAGACGGCTGTGTTGACCTTGGACCTCAGAAAACACAATGGACCAACACCAGCAGATGTCATGGCACCCCAACCACTGGACTGGAAACTACACTTGATCTCAAGCAATGTGGATTCTGTACCTCTCCCTTCTTCCTCCAGACTTTGGCACCTTGATTTCCAAAGGAAATTGAACATTTACTTTCATCAGAGAACACTGGACCACTCAGCAGCAGTCCAGTCCTTTTTGTCTTTAGACCAGAGACGCTTCTGATGCCGTCTCGTTCAGGAGGGGCTTGACACGAGGAAAGCGACAGCTGAAACCAGGTCTTGCATATGTCTGTGCCAAGGGGTCACCCCCTGAATCCAGAACTTCTCCCAACAAGGAAGTGCCAATATTTGCAGTTCCACCCTCATCTGCTAAGGGTTGGCACCAAAACAGAGCAAGTACTCAATGAGTCCCATGTTAAAAATGCCATTTTCACAGCCGAAATAAACACGTTTACAGCCTGGTTTAAAAAAAACAAAGCAGTTTAGGTTTAATAGATCTTGTTTACATTCATGACAACTCTGAGGGGGGTGCTTTTTTTGTAATTCTTTTGTTAAGTGTATTAAATGCTTGAAATTATGAATAATTAAAGAGCATCAGAGCCACCAGCTAGCAATAGGAGCTAGTTCAGGGAAAGGCCTCAGCCTGGGCCTCATGTTAATAGATGTTCAGCCATTTAAACTCTCTGAACTTTGTGTCCTCTGTGTGTCCATGTTTTGATGTTAATCATGGAATTACAGCCTCGCACGGAAGCCAAGCGGCTGTGTGGGTTGGCTACCCCAGAGCTCCTTCTTAGCTTCTTGGGTAGGCTAAGATAGCTAGTAGCTACATTGGTTCATTTGTTCCAACTGTAACAGCTCCGCCTCTTTTCCTATTTTTGGATTGTCTGGGCGTGACAAGACATGTGACATGGTCAAAATGGTGGGAACCTCCCATTTTATATCGAAACCATATTAAATGAGTCAATGGGCATTATCTGTCCATGTTGCGAGGGCAGCAGCCTAAGCCGAGAAGCCCAGACTTCCCTCTCCCCAGCTTGAAGAAGAAGAAAATATCATTTCTATAGCGCCTCTCAAGATAAAAATCACGAGGCGTTTCACAAAAGCAAAAAAATGTAAAAATATTAAATAGCATTTAGAAAATGTTAAAAAATATATTTAAAATGAGAAAATATAGGCAATTGTGATTAAAAATAGTTCAGAAAGAGAGAGAGTGAACAGGAAAGAGGGAAATCAGTGGATCCTGAGGAAGGTGGAATAGGTGGGGAGAGCAGAATAAAGAGAGAGTGGTGAAGAAGGTCATACAAAAGCCAGCTTGAACAAGTGAGTCTTCAGCTGCTATTTAAAGGAGACCACTGAGTCCACTGATCTCAGGCTCAGGGGGAGAGAGTTCCAGAGTCTGGGGTTCACAGCAGCAAATGATCTGTCACCTTTGGTCTTTAGCCTGGTGCTGCGTAACCAGTAGGCTTTGATCACTGGACCTCAGGGACCTGCTGGGGGTGTAGGGACTAAGAAGATCACCAATGTAAGATGGTGCTTGTCCATGTAAGGCCCTATAGACCAGAACCAGGATCTTGAAATGAACCCTGAAGCTGACTGTCAGCCAGTGAAGCTGGAGGAGAAGCGGGGTGATGTGGGTGTGTTTGGAGGACTTGGTCAGAAGCCGAGTACAGGCATTCTGAACCACCTGTAGACGGTTCAGGGAGGTTCTGCTCAGACACGTGAAAAGAGAGTTACAGTAGTCTATGCGTGAGGAGATGAAGGTGTGGATAACTGTCTCAAGTTCAGAGCAGAACAGAATGGGACTCAGCTTAGCAATGTTCCTGAGATGGAAGAAGGAAGAGCGAACAAGAGAACTGACATGAGAATCCAGGGTGAGAGCTGGTTCAAAGGTCACGCCAAGATTCCTGACAGAAGGTTTGGTGTGAGAAGCATCAGCACTTGGGCCAGCTCCTCCAGGGGAATCCCAAGGCATTCCCCTGGCCAACCGAGAGACGGTGTCCCCAGTCTTCCGGCTCATTCCTCTTTTCACCACAACAGATTGGTATAATGCCTGCATCGCTGCAGACGTAGCACCCATCTTTCTATCGATCTCATGCTCCATTTTTCCCTCACTTGTGAACAACACCCCGAGATACTTAAACTCCTCCACTTGAGGCAGGACCTCATCCCTGACCTGGAGAAGGCATCTTCCCCATGACTGAACTAGACTGAGACCATTTAAAGGCTTTTGCAGGTGTTTTGAGTTCATTAGCTGATTAGATTGTGGCACCAGGGATCTTTAATATTTTCACAATATTCTAATATTCTGAGATACTGAATTTGGGATTTTCATTAGTTGTCAGTTATAATCATCAACAGTAAAGAAATAAACACTTGAAATATATCAGTATGTGTGTAATGAATAATTCTAATACACTAGTTTCACTTTTGAATGGAATTAACTTTGTCATGATATTCTAATTTTATGACCAGTACCTGTATGTGAACCCATAATTTACTAAAAAGTACTATACATGAATTCATGTTAAGTACCAAAGCAATAAAATCCCAGATAAAATCTTAATTTTGCTAAAACTACATGCAAAACAAGACTAAAAGCCAGGCACATCTGTTAAACAGAAAAAAATTGTTAAAACAGTCAGATCAATGGCCTGATGGGGTGCTGTGAGTCTAATGTGTTTTTAATTTAGCTTTAAAGGCCCTAAGTGAAGTTGTGAGTCTTAATTCCAGTAGATTCCACAATTTTGGGGCAAAAGCACTAAAAGCTCGATCTCCGCGACTCTTACATTTGGATCATGGAACAAGCAGTAGGTTGTTGGCAGCGGAGCACAGTGATCTTCACGGGGGGTGTTTCTGCAGTAGTCATGATAGATAAGGTGGCGCAGCCCCTGCTAGTGACTTGAAGGTAAATACCAGAATCTTGACCTCAATGCAATGTTTTACTGTAAGCCACCACAATGCATGCAATACTGGAGTGATGCTCTCCCATTTTATCACTTCGGTAATGAAGCTTGCAGCAGCGTTCTGCACCATCTGCAGCTTTGACAGTGTGGAAGTGGTCAAACTGACCTAAAAAGAGTTGCAGTAGTTGAGTCTAAAACCTGAATCTCTGAAACCATTAAAGTCAGGGACCATGTTATCCCAACTCATGCTCGTAAATTTAATCCACTGTTGCCATAGAGAACCTGACACATAGAATTTGTCTTTAATTATGTATAATCACATTTTTGATGTGAGGTTATCTCACCTGGACTAGGTGATCCACCGATTTCCTCTAGACCTGCCTCTCTAATCATTTCATCCTCTGGAAAGTTAATGTTCTCTCTTGACTGGCTGTGCTGCCTGAAAAATACATCAAAACAAAATGAGAATTAGCATTTTCCTTTTGGTGTGAATGCTGAAGAATACTCACAATCCAAAGAGCATGTCATGTAGTCCTGTGGGAGAGAACATAGAACCTTAACTCTGTTTCAGTGATTTTGTGATCAACAGGAAGTTTCGGCAGGGGACTCACGGGGGTTGTTGTGACGGTTTCGGATTATGAACACGAGGAGCAGCAATGTAAGGAAGGCTGCAAAGAGCATCCCGCCTATAGCAGCTCCAATCACCGCGGGGTACATACTGGAGCGTGGTTCCGCTGCAACACATCACAGTTACACACATTGCAAAATGGCACACCTCTAAAAACATACAAGCTAGATGGTCAATCCTTTTGGGTGGTTCCAAACCCATGAATGTGCCACATTTATAAAACAAAATGCAAAAAAAAAATGATGAGAATGTTTTTGTGAATGCAAATGACATGAAATGTTTTAAGTTGGATGTCAGTGAAACATCAATAGTACATGGGTTTAAAACCACCAACCCATCCATCAAGCATGTGCAAAGGGGTGTATTACAAAGCAAGTTCTGCTGCACTGTACTATGCTATCAGTGGCCAACCATCAGAGCCCTCTAGGTCTGCAGACAGGACCCCTTATCGTTAAAATATATATGAATATGCATCAGCAGAGTTGCATCTGTCAATGCTTTCTCCAAATGGTGGATAATCTTTGGTATCTGTGGTTCAGATATTTTAGAAAAATCCATTGTTTGATTCCTTCCTTGCTCTGATTTGTTGTTCCTGATCAAAACCTATAATGAGTGTTGTGGTAAAGTGAAAATAAATCATTTTTAGGTTGTTGAACCCAATAGATTTATCATACACCAATATTTTTTTACATATAAGGGAAAAACTATCTGAATCCCTGCTGATTTTGTGAATTTGCCCACTAACCAAGAGACGATCACTATAACTTCAATAGTAGATTTATTTGAAGAGTGGGAGAAAAAGCAATAAGCAAAAAACCCACAAAAGTACATAAAAATGTATGATTTAGCATTTTCTTTAAGGAAATAAGTATTTGATCCTCTATCAATCAGCAAGTTATTTGCTCCAGAGAGTTTCTGATATAGTTAACAAGTTGACATTGAGAACCCTCTCAACTTGATACCTGTATAAAATACTATGGCCTGCAAGATCACTGACAGTTGGTTTGAATATTTGAATACTGAAGAGCAGCCTCAGCCTCTCAGATCTCCTACCTGGTGTCATAAATAAGATATATTCTGATAATTGAACACTGCATTCTGTGTCACACAGCCACCCTCTTAACTGCATAAATTGGCACAGAAGAACCGTTTCAGCAAATTTTCTTTGTCACTTTTCCCCTCTCAGAAATGTCTTAGAAATTTGCTGGTGGAACTGCGGGGAAAGCAAATGTACAGGCCTGTTTGAAGTTAACATTTGAAAATCTAAATGACTCAGAGGAGTGAGTCATTTAGATGACGTTATGGTAATATAAGATCAAAATCAAGCTCTTTGGTATCAACTCAACTAGCTGTGTTCGGAGGAGGAGCAGTGCTGCCTCTGGCTCCAAGAACACAGCTCCTGCTGTAAAACATGGAGGTGAAAGCATTATGCTTTGTCTTGGGTGAGAACTTCCATCTCTCAGCCAAGATACTGAAAATGGGTTGTGGTGGAGTGACCTAGTCAGTCTCCAGACCTTAATCCCATAAGAAATCTGTGGAGAGAATGGAAGATTCCAATTGCCAAACATCAATCATGAAATAACAAAGACTCGAAAAAAAATCTGCAAGGAGGAGTTAGACAAGTTCCCCCGAAATGTGCAAAGCTTGAGGCCACCTACTGAGTAGAGAACACCTACTGTACGTGTTTGACAGTAAAGGCATCACGATTCCAGTCCTCCGGCCATCCGCTCTGCAACAGACACCATCTGATCTCCACTTCCCAGCATTCCCCGCATCATTTCCAACTCTCCATGTCATCACGCTCAACCTATTTCAGGAGTCCCTCACAAAAATCGGACTCAGTCATCGCTCTCTGGCCTTAGCATTCCCGGTTCGGGTCTGCTAATGGCGTCTATCACGGTAGCGTGTTTTTGAGTTGGGTTAACTTATACTTTTTCAGTGCATCGGCTCACTCCCTCACGTTGCGCGCCTAGAGCTTCCATGCTCACCTTGTCCAGTGGTTCCCTGGTCGATACCGCTGATCCAGTTCCAGTCGGACGGCCACAGCTCAACCCGTTTCATCGTCACGACTTCTCACTCATGCCGAGTGATTCCAGAGCTCCCACGCTCCTCTACACCATCTGCAACCTCCTGACAGAATGCCCGTTCCTTTTACTTTCTGGAACGTCACCACATCCTCGTTTCCATTCGATGCTCGTGCCGGCATTCCTCGATTAACTGCTTGTTAGACGTCACCCATCACTAGCACTTTTGCATTTGGGTCTTGTCACATGCTACACTCCTCCTCACTGCTCACTAGGTTGAGCCAAACGAGGAACCTGACAGGATGACTGAGCCAGTTAAGAGACTCGACGATGTGCAAGCGACCACGCGCCTTTGTGCTTGTTTCACACTGTTAGTTACCGCCAGCGCCAACAGTCCCCCACTAGAGACGGGCCTCATTGAGGCCTTCCCTGTTTCAGTTCGGTCCGGTCTGGCTCAATTTAAGTAATTTCCTATTCAGTCCGGTTCTGTCTGGACCAATAAAATTATTTTAATACAGTCTGGTTTCGTCCGGCTCAATTCTGTGCAGTCCGGTTCCATCCAGCCCAACTCAGTCCAGTCCGGTTTCGTCCGGTCCAATTTGAAAATCTTTTTGAGACAGTCCGGTTATGTCCGGACCAATGAATTTTTCTTTTCAGTGTAGTCCGGTCCCGTACGGCCCACCCTGTGTAGTCCAGTCAGTCAAACTGTTCACTCCAGTCAGGTTCCCCTCCACCTAGCCAGCTTTCCTCTCCGGCCAATCAGCCATCCAGCTCAGTCTTCCAGGCCTTCCAGTCCACTCTGTCAGTCTCCAAGTCCAGTCAGTCAGTCCTCCAGTCCAGTCAATCAGCTGTCCAGTCTAGTCAGTCAGCTTTCCAGCCCAGTTGATCAGCTGCCACTACAAGTCAGATCCAGTCAAGACTTTTCCAGTCCTGCTCAGTTCTCTCCATCCACGTTTCCTTCAGTCAAGTTTCTCTCAGCCAACTCCAGTCCACTCCAGTTTCTTTCAGTCCAGTCCTTTCCAGTACAGCCTCTTCAAGACAAGTCAAGTCTCAGTCAAGTCTCTCTCAGTTAAGTCCCTTTCAACCAAGTCCTCTTTAGACAAGTCCCTTCGGCCAAGTTCAGTTCTCTTCAATTCAGTCCTTTTTAGTCCAGTATCTTCAAGCCAAGTTTCTGTCATGTCTCTCTCAGTCAGGCCCCTTCCAACCAAGTCCTCCTCAGTGTAGTGTTGATAAACTACATATTTAGGAATTAAAGGCTGTTGCTATTCAGCTTATGTTTTAATTCCTAAGAGATCAAACATATTGACAAATGAAATTATATGCATATATATATATAGATATATAAATATAATGGATAGAAATTCATACACCAACTGGCTTGGTCTATGTTTAATCAAAACATTAATATTTAATTTTAAAGATTTTATTTAATAGCAAAGTTATCTGTTAATTCATAAGATCTAAAGATCTTTGTTCGTTCAGTGATCAATATACACCCACTCTGTGTTTATTTCAATGAAGACTCAAGTTTAAAAAGTTAAGAAATGTATTACTAAACAATTTAAATGTGACAATTTAAAAGACCATTTTTAAAAACTTTGGTATTAAAACAACCTCTGTGTTGGATGGATCTAAGATGAAGTGTGTTTTCTTGCTGGTGAATGCAATGTTCTCAGAACGTGTATCTTGAGAGAAGACGCGTTCTGGGTAGAAAGAATTTGGTTTGCAGATAAACTAAAGTTGTTCTTTTTAAAGAGCATTCAGACGCAATCTGTCGGAAGTGTCTACCTCACCCAGTTAGGAGACCCCCTTTTTGGTCCGAGATGTCAGGAGGAGATGATGACCCCAAGCACGAGGTGGGTAGAAGAACCTTAGTGCGACCAAGTCGGTCCTGAGATGTCTCCTGGCCACCACGACTGATGAAACTGGTTGCGTCTCAAAAATAATAACTCTGAAGGAGTTTGCGTCAGCTTTGTTCTGCAGGTTTAATTTGTTGTGCCGTAGCAATTCTGCCAACGTGACAGAAATTGCGTGTTGGTTAAAGAGCGTGTGTCCCACTTCTCTAGAACCCACTCGCTAAATTCAGAGAGTTCTGTTTTATAAGATGGGCATTTCCTGGTCTAATGAATCAGGTTTTGACAGGAAGATTTGACATACCTCAGAAGCCCGCCTTCCCAAGATAGAAAGCTCGTGGATGAGAAAAGAATCATGTGAATGCAGTTAACCTTAACCTGATTTACTGTGCCTTGTATGGTTGTGTATAAGTGCACATGATCTTCTTGTCACTGTTAAACATTACTGATTATCATAAATAATTATTATTATTGACCAAAGAATAATAATTCATTTCAGTAATTAAACACCGTTAAAATGAACCATGATGATTATTTATGAACACTGTAATAAACAGTGAAAAGAGTGTATTAAAAATGATTCTTTTAAATCTTGAAGTGTCCTTCGTCTTGCGGATGGAACAGCAGTCAGATAAAGGCAGTCAGATTAAAGGGGTGGTAGACAGACATTCAGTCTCTTGTGAAAGAAACACTGTAGATTGTCGTAGCAGCCAGGATCGAGGTGACCCAGGCTGTGTCTCTGACCTGAGGTCAAGAATCAGGCCATTCAGTGACGCTACATCAGCCAAGTCCCTTTGAGTCAAGTCCACTCCAGTTCCCTTCAGTCCAGTCTTTCCAGTCAAGTAGATTCCCATTCTTTCAGATTCTGCCCTCTCTAGCTGGTTTCAGTTGAGACCAATCCAGCCCTTTTCAATAAGGACCATTCCAGTCCTTTTCACTCCAATCCAGTCCTTTTCACCCCAATCCAGTCCTTTTCACTCCAATCCAGTCCTTATCATTCCAGTTCCAGCCTCTTTCAGTCTGGTCCTGTCAAGTTAAGTTTCAGTCCTATCCACTCAAGTCAAGCTTCAGTTCCATCCACTCCCATCAAGTTTCAGTCCAGTCCACTCCTTTCAAGTCAAGTTTCAGTCCAGTCCACTTCTCTCAAGTCAAGTTCCGATCCAGTCCACTCCTCTCAAGTCAAGTTCTGGTCCAGTCCACTCCTGTCCCTTCCAGCCCTGTCCGTTTCCAGTCATGTCCAACTCAGTCCCTGCCAGTTGGTCTCAGACAGATCCAGTCTGGTCCTTTCCAGCTTGGTCCCGGGCATTCCAGTCCTTTCCAGCCAAGTCCTTTTCCCGGTCAAGTCCAGCCAAGTCTTTTTCCCGGTTAAGTCCAGCCAAGTCCTTTTCCCGGTCAAGCCTGGTCAAGTCATTTACCTATCCTTTCCATTCACTTCATGTTCCAGCCCTGTCCAGCTAAATTAAGTCAGTTCTTTCCAGTCACGTCCAGTCCCTTCAGTCAAGTCCCTTTCTATCAGGTAAGTTTTGCACCCCTTTAGTCAAGTCTGTTCCTTCCCAGTCAGGTCAGATCATTCCAAGCTCTCAGATTATGTACTCGCCACCCCAGGTCCTCCTAGTCGTTCCGTTTTGGACCGTCAGGAGCCGTCCCTAAGATGAGGGGGTCCTGTCACGATTCCAGTCCTCCAGCCATCCGCTCTACACCAGACACCACCTGAACTCTACTTCCCAGCATTCCCCGCACCGGTTTCCTCCTCTCCATGTCATCATGCTCACACTATTTCAGGAAGTCCCTCAAAACAGTCGGGGCTCAGCACTCGCTCTCTGACCTTATAGCTTAGCATTCCTGGTTTGGGTCGGTTAACGGCATCTAGCACGGTAGCGTGTTTTCAGTTGGTTTAACTTTTACTTTTTCAGCACATCGGCTCACTCCCTCATGTCGCGCTCCTAGAGTTCCCATGCTCACCTCTTCCAGTGGCTCCCTGGTTGTTGCTGCAGATCCAGTTCCAGACGGAAGGCCACAGCTCAAGCCTTTTCATTGTCATGGCTCATCACTCACGCTGGGCGATTCCAGAGCAACACCATCTGCAACGTTCTAACAGTAAGCCTGTTCCTTTTACTTTCTGGAACGTCGCCCCGTCCTTATTCCTCTATGAGGCTCGTGCCGGCATTCCTAGATTAACTGCGTGTTTAGCCTGAGTCAAGCTTCTGTGTCTGCGTCAGTGCGGAGACATGCAATGCCATTATCCATCCTTGCGTGCCTGCCGGAGAGCCCTCACAAGGACGGACGGAGTCGAGCTCTCTTTTCTAAATGTCTGTCCATCGAGATGGAGAACGCAACTTTGTGATTGGTCAGGGCACTGCTGTCGTCTACACTGCCACCATTGCACCCTCAAAAACATAAAGAGATCCGAGGATAACTAGCGGCAGACACGGAGAAGCTTGAAGAATACCTCACGACAAAACTCTAAAAAATATGAATGGTTAATTCCCCCGTGACTGGAGGAGTAAAACGATACACAGCAAGCGTTTTATTTGTGGACAGAAATGATGGGAAACGTGGGTTTAGAGGGGGCGAGCCCATGAAGAGGTGGAGGAGAATGAAAGACAAATTTGTCTGTGTTAAAAAGTCTCTTATATACAAAAACCACAATATAAACACACTATCTTGGACCGGAAACCTGACAGGATACCACAGAACAGTGCTACGCCCTCTGTTGTCCTGGAGGGGAATTGCTGTGCAACACTCCCCAGGAGATGGAGAAGTATGAGGGCAAAATGTCTCCGTCTGTGCGTGCATGTCTCTCCCTTTTGGAGCTGACAGAGCTTAAGACGTCGCTAGCACTTCCGCATTTTGTGAAATGCTACACTCCTTCTCACTGCTCACTACATTGAGCCAAGGTGAGGAGTCCTGACAAAAGGTTTTGCAACCAAGTACTACTAGCACAATTTTGCAAAGGGATCAAATGCATATTTCCTGCATGAAAATACAAATGGAATAATAACTTTTAAGAGATGCATATTTTTTAGGTTATTCTGTCTTTTACTGTTCAGTTAAACCTACCACTGAAATTCTAGAGAGATCATGTCTTTGTTAGTGGGCAAACGTACAAGATCAGCAAGGGTTAAAAAAATTCTGGTTGTATCACTGTTATTTTTTGAGTGCACATTAGTTCTACTTAGTAGGGAGCATTTTCCCCTCAACCAGAAATTTCAGGAAATGTTCTACATGAGAGAGTCAGAGAAACTCCAGACCAGTAATTGTTCTAGACTTTTTGCAAATCGCAATAGTATTTTCAAATTTGGTCTCCTAATAAGTTTCTATCTGAGGACTCTGGCTTTGAGCTTAACCATCTCACTATTCCACTGACTCCAAATTACACCTAAAGATTTGCGATGCACCCCTTTGGTGTACTGTTGTGATCAATAAGAGAGGCAACATAAATGGTTTAAGGAAAGTTTATGGAGAAGGCAAAGAAAAGAGAAAAAGAGGAGAAGAGTCTCAGGAGGTGTGTTGTTTGTTTTTGTTTGAGTGTCTTTCACCTAAGTGGAAAAAAATTAGACATTAGCAACAGTCGTTAAAAAACTTTTAAAAATATAAAATCATCTAACTCACCTGTTACCCTTCAAATATGTATAAAATTGCTGTTTTGTCTGTTATTATTGAGCTTATTTATTTAAACATTGCCTAGAAACTCGTTTCTTCTTCACTGTACCTGGAGTCTTTGCTGCAGAAGGATATCCGATGGTGCGGTAGTTCACAGGCGTGACTCTGAACTGGTAGGTGACGGTTGGAGTCAGTCCTCGTACCGTGTAAATCCTGGCATCTGGATCCTGGATGATGTTGATGTACCAGTCCTGGGAGGAAGCCCTCTCCTCTCTCAGCACTTGGGAGTCATTGCTTCTTGTTCTTTTATTTGGCTTCTCTGACATCCATCGATGTTCCAAAAAGAAACCTGTCCAACCTCCATCTCCCTGACTTTCTACCGTCCACTCCAGGTCCACCTCGTTACGCTGTTGGCTGTTGTACATCACTCTGACCAGGGTTACGTTAGGGGGCATGGGGTATTCTGAGATAGAGACAAAACAAACACAAAAGGACACTTTTGTTGGTTTGAGCCGATGAAAAAAGCTCTGACAAAACTCGGCTGGATTCAGGATGAAACAGATTCTTACTCTTGACCACCAAAGTGACGTTGATGTCTGCTCCTCCCACGGCATTTGAAGTGGAGCATCTATACTCGCCGCTGTCCTGCATCACGTCTGTGTCCTTCACGGTCAGGTTAGCCCACGCAGATGTCCGCAGCAGCAGGTACTTGGACCTGTCTTGGACACTGACACCCTGATTGTTAAACCAGGTGATTTCATTGACAGGAAGATAGTTGTCTCTCAGGCTGCAGGTGAGCTGCACATCACTGCCCTCAAACACGGACACGACTCTGCGCTGTGTCAGCAACACAGGAGCTTCTGCATGTAGAAAAACACTAACTGGTAAATTAGCAAACCTATCTGCTGTTTGTTGCACGTTACTGTAACGAGGACTGACCCAGTGTGAGGCTGCAGGTCTTTGGTTGAAGCAGAAGTGGGTGTTTAGCATAGCAGGTGTAAGGATTCCCACTGCGAGCGGTGCCATAGCGAAGCACCAGGATGTTGGAGTTTTCCTGTCCTCCTTGATTCTGACCCCCTGGTCCCTCCCACCACACTAAGGCTTTAGGGGCCCCTCCATCCCAGGTGCAGGACAGCATCAGATACTGCTGATTGTTGGTCGCATAGGCAAAACACACTGGCTCTGCTGGAGGGACATCTGATGGAGGGAAATAAATCCTTAAAGAACAGAATCAATGAATGTTTTAATTATTGTAATGTTATTTTTGCACTCACATGAGCGAGTGCTGCACTCTGTCTGTTGTTTCAGCACAAGATGAGAGCCCACACATGTAAACAAGCTGCCGTATGAAGTCAGGCTCTTAGAAGACAACAGGACGACAGCGGAGCTACTCTGTAGACTTGTTTGCTGTCCTGCTTGCATCAGGTCTCCGGTCCAAAGGAGGGAAGGAGAAGGAAATCCACCGGGCCAGGAGCAGACCAGTCTAAGAAAGGTGTGGTTCAGAGCTGCCTCCACAGAGCAGGAGGGGGATCCATCAGGGGGGTCTGAAGGGAGGAAGCACAGTGCAGCAAGGCAGTGGTGCATAAAAGTTTGGGTTTATATACGACATCGGGATAATAACAGCATATCACCTCTGTTTTGGATGCTTCAATAATTCACAAGAGGATATTTATCCATCCATCCATCCATCCATCCATCCATCCATCCATTTTCATCCACTTATCCGGAGTCGGGTTGCGGGGGCAGTAGCCTAAGGCGAGAGGCCCAGACTTCCCTCTCCCCAGCCACTTGGGCCAGCTCCTCCGGGGGAATCCCAAGGCGTTCCGTGGCCAGGTGAGAGACATAGTCCCTCCACCGTGTCCTGGGTCTACCTTTAGGTCTCCTCCCAGTTGGACGTGCCCGGAAATCCTCACCGGGGAGGCGTCCAGGAGAAATCCTGACCAGATGCCCGAGCCACCTCAACTGGCTCCTCGATGTGGAGGAGCAGCGGGTCTACACAGAGCCCCTCTCGAAATACCGAATGACCAAGCTTCTCACCCTATCTCTAAGGAAGAGCCCAGCCACTCTTCGGAGAAAACTCATTTCGGCCGCTTGTATCCGCAATCTCGTTCTTTCGGTCACTACCCAAAGCTCATGGCCATAGGTGAGGGTAGGAACGTAGATTGACCGGTAAATCGAGAGCTTCGCATTCTGACTCAGCTCTCTCTTCACCACGACAGACCGGTACAACGACTGCAGATGCAGCACCAATCCGCCTATCTTTCTCATGCTCGTTTTCCCTCACTCGTGAACAAGACCCCGAGATACTTAAACTCCTCCAATTGGGGCAGGACTTCATCCCTGACCCGCAGAAGGCATTCTACCCTTTTCCAAATCAAGACCATGGTCTCAGATTTAGAGGAGCTGATTCTCATCCCAGCTGCTTCACACTCGGCTGCGAACTGCTCCAGCAAAAGCTGAAGATCACGTTCTGATGAAGCCAACAGGACCACATTGTCTGCCAGAAGCAGAGACCTGATCCTCAGGCCAACAAAACGGATGCCCTCCACACATTGGCTGCACCTAGAAATCCTGTCCATAAAGGTTATGAACAGAATTGGTGACAAAGGGCAGCCTTGGCGGAGTCCAACTCTCACTGGGAACGAACCTGACTTACTGCCGGCAATGCGGACCGAGCTCTGACACCGGTCATACAGGGACCTAACAGCCCGTATCAGAGGGCTTGGTACCCCATACTCCCGGAATACCCCCCACAAGGCCCCCTGAGGGACGCGGTCAAACGCCGTCTCCAAATCCACAAAATACATGTTGGGCAAATTCCCACGCACCCTCCATCATCTCCTTAAGGGTATAGAGCTGGTCCAGTGTTCCACGGCCAGGACGAAAACCACATTGCTCCCCCTGAATCTGAGGTTCAACAATCTGAAGGACCCTCCTCTCCAGAACCCCTGAATAGACCTTACCAGGAAGGCTCAGGAGTGTGATCCCCCTGTAGCTGGAACACACCCTGCGGTCCCCCTTTTTAAATGATAAATGACCCGCACTTGTATAGCGCCTCTCAGAGTAAGGACTCCAAAGCGCTTTACACTACAGTGTATCATTCATCCATTCACACACTCATTGACACACTGATGGTGATAAGCTACGATGTAGCCACAGCTGCCCTGGGGCGCACTGACAGAGGCGAGGCTGCCGAGCACAGGCGCCACCGGTCCCTCCGACCACCACCAGCAGGCAAGGGGGGTTAAGTGTCTTGCCCAAGGACACAACAGCAGAATTCTCTGTCCAGAGCCGGGATCGAACCTGCAACCTTCCGATTACTGGACAACCTGCTCAACCTGTTGAGCTACTGCTGCCCCAAGGGTTAAATAAGGGGACCACCACCCCGGTCTACCAATCCAGTGGGACTGCCTCCGATGTCCACGCGATATTGCAGAGCCGCGTCAATCAACACAGCCCCACAACATCCAGAGCCTTAAGGAACTCCGGGAAGATCTCATCCACCCCTGGAGCCTTGCCACAGAGGAGCTTTTTAACCACCTCAGTGACCTCAGCACCAAAGATTTGAGAGGCCAACCCAAAGTCCCCAGACTCTGCTTCCTCACTGGAAACGTGTCGGTGGGATTGAGGAGGTCTTCGAAGTATTCTGCCCACCGATCCACAACGTCCTGAGTAGAGGTCAGCAGCACACCGTCCCCACTATAAATAGTGTTGGTAGCGTACTGCTATCCCCCCTGAGGCGCCGGATGGTGGACCAGAATCTCTTCGAAGCTGTATGGAAGTCTTGCTCCATGGTATCACCGAACTCCTCCCATCAAGAAGATATTTATTTAACATCTTACTTGTAATTGTTCACTGGATGAAGCTGGTCCACCCAAAGATGTCTAATGAGATTGTATGTATTGTTAAACCTCCAGATACCAAGTGAAAAGGCAAAAGCTCAGCTACATCAATGACTAAAGACTACTTCCTGTCAAGCTTAAGAGTGGCTGAGACAGAGATGTACCTGTCAGAGTCCCAACAACTTCTTCGAAGCTCCAAAAGGTAGACTCGGTCTGCTGTGTCTCCCTTGGCTGTTTTTGTGTGTATGGGAGTGTTAGATGAATGAGGGGATAAGATTGATATTTAGAAGACAGAGGGAAAATAGACGAGCTCAGAGTGAAACAGTGAAAAGAGAAGACTTTTAAAATGAAGAAAGATCTCAATTTGTAAATGAAAACCACAGCAAGCACACAGCTGATGAAAAAGACATGTAAAATGTGATCTGAGGTCAAAGGTCACACTCACAGTAGACAGTCAGGCTGATGGTTTTTTTGGAGCGGGTGTTCAGGTAGGTGTTCTGAGCTAAGCAGGCATAGTCTCCAGTGTGCATACGAAGGATCTTGGTGATGGTGTACTGTGGCCCGGCGTACACCTGTGAGTTGTTGTAGAACCAGACGTACTGACTGACTGGATTGGATTGGGCTTGACACATCAGTGAGACAGTTTCTCGTTCCAGAGCTGAGTATCCACGTTCCGTCAAACTGTACGGAGTCACCTCTATCTGAGGAATGTCTGGACCAACTAGGGAAGAAAAATAATGCATTTAGAAGCCAAGAAACTCAGATACATAAGCAGCAGGGACATAATTAATTTATTTACATTGGGAAACCACTCTTTTGGACCTACAGGTAAAAATAATGAGCTGGATCAGATGGGAAGGGATAATTCAATGTACATCTGGTAGGCTCAAACATAAAGTGAGTGTCTCCTGGGAATGGCTGGAGGGAGAATATTGATAAGGTCTTCAACTTCTACCTCTGGCAGAACTTTGCCTGAGGCCTGTGAGGGACATTGAGTGTAACTGGGCCTTGTTCCATTTTACTAAAGGGTGGGCCATTTATATGGATATACCTTAATAAAATGGGAAGGGTTGGCAATATTGACATCCTGTTTGTGGCACATTATTATATGTGAGGGGGCAAAATTTTCAAGATGGGTGGTGACCATGGTGACCATGGTCAGCCATCTTGGACCCAACTTCTGTTTTTTCAATAGGAAGAGGGTGATGTGACACATCAAACCAATTGGGAATTTCACAAGAAAACAATGATGTGCTTGCTTTGAACATAACTTTATTCTTTCAAGAGTTATTTACAAGTATCCCTTTGTTCATAGCCATTGCCATGTCGAAGAGGTTAACACGTGAGGAGCGGACCAAAATTGTGTTGATATCTGGTGAACTCAGTAACCGGGTCATTGCAGCAGATTTCAATGCAAGACACCCTACGAGACCACCCATCTCCCATGCTACCGTTAGCAAACTGCTTGCTAAATTATGTGAAACTGGTTCAGTGTTGGATTTGCCAAAATGTGGACGCATGAAAACTGTCACTAATGAAGAAACATCAGTGACTGCCTTAGCTTCATTCTGCAAGAGCCCACATTGTAGCACTCGCCATATGTCACTGGAGAGTATGATGCACTGAAGCTGGCACGTTACCTGAGTTTTTCCAGCAAGATAGTGCACCACCACTTTATGGGTGTCAGGTCCGAGCATTCCTAGATGAACAGTTTCCTGGAAAGTGGATTGGTCGTTGTGGGCCAGTTGAATGGCCCCCAAGGTCTCCCGATCTGACCCCCTTAGACTTTTGTCTTTGGGGTCATCTGAAGGCATTGCCTATGGTGTGAAGATATGAGATGTGCAGCACCTGAAACTACGGATCCTGGAAGCCTGTGCTGGCATTTCTCCTGCTGTGTTGCTATCAGTGTGTGAAGAGTGGAAGAAGAGGGTTGCATTGACAATCCAACACAGTGGGCAGCACACTGAACACATTTTATAAGTGGTCAGAAACTTGTAAAACTCATGAAAGAATAAAGTTTTGTTCAAACCAAGCACACCATTGTTTTTCTTGTGAAATTCCTAATAAGTCTGATGTGTCACACGAAACTCTTCCTATTGAAAAACAAAAGTTGGATCCAAGATGACCGACTTCAAAATGGCCACCGTGGTCAACACCCGTTTTGAAAAATTTTGCCCCCTCATATATACTAATGTGCAACAAACAGGACATTAATATCGCCAACCATTCCCATTTTATTAAGGTGTATCCATATAAATGGTCCACCCTGTATTGTTCAGGCAGCTGTCACAGGTTGATGGAGCACCCGTACATGCTGGTGAACATCAGAGGTTAGGGCAGGTGTCAGGCAGAAGGAGACCAACAGGGCAAGGCTGGTGTATGGATCTCAGGTCCAAGTACAGCAGGGACAATTATGGCATTTTTGGTAAATGGTATTCAATTGGCTCCAAGATGCTCTGGCTAAGCATCCTTCACTTCAGGGAAAAGAGCGGCAATCATTCATACTGTTTATGATGGGGACAGAGAGCTGCTGGTGTAAACTGTGGATGAATTCAAGTGGTGGAAAGAATACTTTGAAGATCTTCTCAATCCCACCAGCTATTCTAGAGAGGAACCAGAGCAAGGAGACTTAGACGTGGATTAGCCAGTCTCTAGAGTAGAGGTAGCTGAGGTCATCAAACATGCGGCGGCACTCTGGGGGTTGACAAGAATAATGCTGAGTATCTCAAGGCTATGGATGTATGATTGTTTTAGTTGACACATCACTGCAGTATTTCATGGACAATACAAGGAGTGCCTATGGAGTGGCTGACTAGGGAGTCGGTTCCTATTTTTTTATGGGGGGTCCATGTGTGTCCATGTGTGTTTAGGGCAGGGGTCAGCAACCCGCGGCTCTAGAGCCGCATGCGGCTCTTCCATCCATCTGATGCGGCTCTCTGTGCTTGTAAAATAACGATTGGATATTTAAATAAAATGCTTTATATTTTACCGCATTAATTTTACATCTGTATGCCAATTCTAAATGTAAAGATTGTCTGCGTGAACCTGAACAGGTCCAGAAAGGTCTTACTGTGAGACCGGGTTGACGGGTCACGCTTGTGCGTAATCATAGGCGCTTTCTGAGCTGAAGAGGATGTGAGATTCTGGGCTTCTCCTCAGACGGCTCCTGGATGTGTCGCCACATTGGAGACAGGAACAAGCGCTATTCAGCCAAAGTTTCATAATCAGGGAACATTTTCTAGTGACAAGTCTCTCTGAGAAACAAGGTTTGGAAAACGCTTGCTTCAGTCGGAGGAATCTTGCTGCATGCGCTGAGGTTCTGCGACGGGCTCCAAGCCCCTCTCCACATCTTCAGCTCTTTGTGCACCATACGTACACGCTGACAGTGAGCTGCACTGAGCAGTGTCCAGCTCAGATGTTCAGATGGGGATCTTTTCATGAGTGATTTAGCTACATCTGCGATGTGCGTAACGAATAAAATGTCACTTCGTATGCATGCGTCGGGGTAATTCTTTCTATTTTTTCTCCATCAAAATAAACGGTCAAATACGGGAACTGTCCGGTCAACAAAACACAAGCCCTGCTTTTAACTGTTCTGTTTTCTTGTGAAAATTGTTGCAAAGAGATATAATTTAACTTGATTAACACCGGAGCCAGGCGCACTGCGCCGGCACAGCGCCGTTATCTCCGTCACTGTAAATGAGGGAAAAACAAAATGATCTGATCCTTTTCTGACTTCCCCACCAACAAAGTTTAATTACAACAATCAAATGTGACAGAGCCTGGATTTGTATTCTGAACAGTCTAAACATGTTTTTAAAATAAACGTATGACAAAAGTGGCACCTGCTCAGTAAAACCACCAACAGGGTGAAAAATATCAAAATATTGTAGGTAGAGACGGGCTACAACTTCTGGATCCATTTTATATAAATCGTTTTATTGATTATCTTCGTCTTCGTCTTCGTCTTCGTCTTCCTCCGCTTATCCGGGTCCGGGTCGCGGGGGCAGCATCCCAACTAGGGAGCTCCAGGCCGTCCTCTCCCCGGCCTTGTCCACCAGCTCCTCCGGCAGGACCCCAAGGCGTTCCCGGACCAGATTGGAGATGTAACCTCTCCAACGTGTCCTGGGTCGACCCGGGGGCCTTCTGCCGGCAGGACATGCCCGAAACACCTCCCCGGGGAGGCGTCCAGGAGGCATCCTGACCAGATGCCCAAACCACCTCAACTGGCTCCTTTCGATCCGGAGGAGCAGCGGTTCTACTCCGAGTCCCTCCCGAATGTCCGAGCTCCTCACCCTATCTCTAAGGCTGAGCCCGGCCACCCTACGGAGGAAACTCATTTCAGCCGCTTGTATCCGCGATCTCGTTCTTTCGGTCATTACCCAAAGCTCATGACCATAGGTGAGGATTGGGACGTAGATCGACCGGTAAATCGAGAGCCTGGCTTTCTGGCTCAGCTCCCTCTTCCCCACGACAGATCGGCTCAGCGTCCGCATCACTGCAGACGCCGAACCAATCCGCCTGTCGATCTCCCGATCCCTCCTACCCTCACTCGTGAACAAGACCCCGAGATACTTAAACTCCTCCACTTCAGGTAGGACCTCTCCCCCGACCCGGAGGTGGCAAGCCACCCTTTTCCGGTCGAGAACCATGGTCTCAGATTTGGAGGTGCTGATCCTCATCCCAGCCGCTTCACATTCGGCCGCGAACCTACCCAGCAAGAGCTGAAGGTCAGAGCTGGATGAAGCTAGGAGGACCACATCATCCGCAAAAAGCAGAGACGAGATTCTCCTGCCACCAAACTCGACACACTCCACACCACGGCTGCGTCTAGAAATTCTGTCCATAAAAGTGATGAACAGAACCGGTGACAAAGGGCGGCCCTGGCGGAGTCCAACCCTCACTGGGAACAGGTCCGACTTACTACCGGCTATGCGGACCAAACTCACGCTCCTCTGGTAAAGGGACTGAATGGCCCTTAACAGAAAGCCACCCACCCCATACTCCTGGAGCGTCCCCCACCCTGATTATCATCTTATGAAATATAACTTTGACGTACACGAGCGACCGGTACTGGCTGCTGTCACCTGTTGTGATTGGATAAAGCATGGTAAGGCCATTCCATCACTGCACCAAAGAGATCTCATTACGGCAATAGTTGCATATCTCCAAGTACGACCTCCAACCTTGCATATTGAGTCGTCCCCCCCCCCCCCCCCCCCCCCCCCCCCAGGTTTTCTGAAGGGGTAAAACTGGATGCCGACCTCTTGGCCCCTCAGATAAACTCAGTGGTGTAGCCTTGTTTTTATCAGTTACGTCTTCTAACTCATCTAAGACCAAACCTGAAACGGAGGCCCTTGGAATGAGTCATACATGCTTTCATCCCCTCTCATTTGGACTATGTAAACACCCCTTGTTGGTACATCTGTTTCAGCCCTGAACCGGCTGAAGGTCTTCCAGAACGCTGCTGTTAGGTTTTAACAAACACAAACCGATGTAGCCGTATCACCTCGGTCCTGGCACATCTCCAGTGGCTCCCCGTTACCTTCCGTTTATGATTTAAGTAATTGACTTTAGCCTTACATGACTTAGCACCTCCTTATCTGTCCAACCTCCTCACATCTATGTACCTGTGCGTACATTCAGGTCAGCTGATCTCCTGCTACTTTGCACCTCCCGGATGTCCTACTAATCACGGGGTGAACGAGCGTTTGTCAATGCTTCCCCCATGCTCTGAAATTCACTTCCCTTTACAATTAGGCAGGCATCCTTTCTGACAGTTTTTAAATATAATTTAAAGACCTGCATTTATGACTCGTTTATTGTATTTATTGTCTTTTTTATTGTTTGCATTGCTTTTGCTGCTTTACAATGAGGTAAAACTTTCATTGTTTTATTTTTTGTCTTGTTTTGTCTTCAATGAACCTGCCTGCAGCACTTTGGTCATTTTCACGCGGCAATTTAAATGGTGCTATATAAATAAAGTGGTATGATATGATAATATGTTGGACCTACCCTTGGTGAGGGTTGGAATCCACCAGGGCTGCCATTTGTAACTGGTTCCATTCAAAATATGTATGGGTGGAATTTGTATGACCAGGGCAGCTGGGATGAGGATCAACACAAATGAAATCAAATGTATTATTACTCACAGATGGTGTCCAGCCACAATCGACTTGAGGTCTCACTGTTGACGTCGTTGCTGGCCACACATCGGTACCATCCAGTGTTGGTCCTGTTAACGTTGGTGATGTTGATGATGTTGCTGCTGCTCTGAGCAAAGGTCGTGACGTTCCCAGTTCGGTTTTCATATTGCCACACATACCGGATTGGCTCAGTTCCGTTATCCAAACCGCATCGCATCCACATGGTGGATCCTTCCACTGGAGAAGCATCACTTAGCAAAAGGTATGGCTTAGTGACTGGGACTGTATGAAAGAAAAGACATTTTAATTCCTACAACATATGTGGGCATGTATAACTTTGTTTTTTCTTATGGTATAAACAGTGGCAGAGCTACAGTAATTCAAATTAAGCATGTAAAATGCATCATTGTTCAGGGTTATAGTGGTGTTTTTGAGAGAGAAAATGCCCAGGCACTCCGACGTGTGTGTATTTGGGGGTGTACAGACAAACAAGGAAGAGAACAAAGATCCTATCTGGCAGTCATTCAGAGTCTGGATTGTTCAGTACATTCTGGACCTTGAGAGCTCCAATATTCTTCATTGTTGTTTTCCTCTTGTTCCACAAAGGCGTTTTGCAGTATTGGCACTATTTTGGGCTAACATTCTACTGTTTGTGGGTTGGGACATGCTAATGTAAGATGGTGTCTGTAAGCCTACGACGTGTTAAACCAACTTTTCTCAGAACAATCTGTTCCTCCATAGCCATTACAACATTAATCATTTACAAAGGAAAGCAGGATTGAGACAGCACAGGCTTTTTGGTACATTTGACACCCCGAGCTGCCTATACTTAACAGCAACAAGATAAAACTGGTTTTAAATTCTAGGACCACTTTGATGATACATGTGTTATCTCCTGGTATGTTGGATAATGTCACTGTGAATATTGTGCTAAAGCTTGGTTTGAAGAAAATTGATCAAAAGTCGCATTTCAATCTTTTTTTAAAAAAATCATTCAGCTCTACTGCATGTACACATTCATTTGTACACAAACTGATAACCAAAATAGCAAAAACCACCTGAAGTATCATCTTTGTTTGTTTCTGTTTTTTGTGAATGCAGGACTCAACAAAATAACAGGATTCATTCCAGATCCAAGCTAAACCTCTGTCTGTAGAAGATAAGTGCTCCTTGGTTTTACCTCTAACGGTAAGGTGGACGTAGTAGTAGTAGACTTTAGGGTCCACGTTGATGTTATAGAAAGCCTGGCAGGTAAACAGGCCCTGTGCAGCCAGAGGAAGTTTCTCGATGCTCACAGCTGCACTGTTTGAGATGACCGTCAGCTGTCCGAGCGTTTCAGCCAACTTTTGGATCACCGGTCCTTTCCCCAAGTTGTACACCACTGCCTTGATGGCTTCAGTGCCGGGCTTGGTGAAGCTCCATATATACAAATCAGGTAGGGTGGTTCCACACTCCAGGATCACAGCTTTTCCAACCACTCCAAACACATTGGTGTCACGATAAATCACCTCCCAGCCCTGATTGATCTCCACACCTGCAGTTGGGACAGGATACACTGTGTGCCAGGAAGTGTGTGTGTGTGTGAGAGAGAGAGAAATAGAGATGGTGGTGTCAGTTGTTCTGCTGGTGCTCTACTGCAGGATTGATTTCACTGCAAGATAAAAAAGTGTGATCGCAAAACAGGAATCTAGATTCTTCTTCTTTCATTCTTTTTATAGAAAAAGTCTTTCCTCCTTTAATTTCATTGGTCTGTTACCTACCAAACATTTTCATGTAATTGTTTTTGAATTTGCTGTGAATTGGACAATACATCTAATTCTAAACTGAAAACAGAACACCAGAGAAAATTAGATCCTGATGAATCTAACTACGTTACAGTCAGTAACGGTTATAGTATAAAACAAGATTTTAAATTTGACATTTGTTGAAGATTTTTTTTGTGACTAAAATGTATCCAACAGACTGAAAGAATAAAAGTAACCCTACTTTTTCATTTATATAGAAAGAACAGATTTTCTTGCCTGGAGTTGAGATTCTAACCGTTTCAGATGGAGCTACAATTGAACTCAGTCTAAATATAATAAAAAATCTAACTCTTACCATGCACAGAAGAGATGAATGGACTGGTTGTTAGATGTAGAAACGCCAGCACTAGCAGTTCGGCCACCATGGTATCATGATGATCCTGGGTCCAGCAGCGTCTTTACTCCCAAAAATATTACAGAAACAAAAATGAAATTATCCTGAACCTATAAAACACCTGTGATCTCCTTCGCTCGTTGTTTGAGTTGGGCTTTTACATTTCGCTGATCCACAGGTTCCTGGAAGAGTCCAGTTGAAGGCACTGACTTCATCAGACTGAGGGCAGAGAGAGATGGAGGGTCACTAAACTGATTTGGGCTCAATTATTGATGTGTTTTCCTTTCTCTCTGTCCTTTCGGTGAGGTTAGAATAACACAGTGATACAGAGCTCATTCATTATGCAAAACAAACATGTAGGTGGACGGATGAGACTTCTGTGCACCTAAAAACACACATTCATCAAATGCATCTAACGTCAGGTTTGATTAATGTGAATCATTCCTTTATTTCTCCTTTTTTTTTATTAAACTGTTTCTAGTTTGTTTCCAACACGCTGACTTCAGCTCATCAAACAAGAAAGAATCATTCAATATGCAACCCAGCTGTGTTGTCTGGCTTCAGTGTGCATGCAGATGGACGCAGAATGCATTTTGCAGCCATTTTTATAAAGGATGCATTATAATTAAAGATATTAAAAAGGGTTAAAATTACATTCTCCATGATTTTCTCTGGCATTCTTTGGTCCAGTAAATGCATTTTTGGCATAAAGACAAACATTTACAAAAAGTTGTAAATATAAGATTTGCTGAAACTGTTCAAGCTGATCAAGGGAAGTCATTCATTAAGTTGTGGCGATGTTGTGATCTTGGTCCTTTTAAATATTAAATTTCATACTCTCATTAGAAATATCATTAAAGACCTAAATATGTTTAGAAATCTTTTATGCTTCATGTGAAAATTTTGAAGCTGCATGTGGAGTCAGTATGTTTCTAAACCTTACACAACTGATGAAATATTTTGTGTCGACTTTGTATGATGTGGGTGATGAGTTAGCATTAAGAGGAGTGTCATGTTGGGAGGCAGTTTCTTGACCCACAACATGCAGAATCACACACGGGAAACCAGGTAAGTGTAAAAGGTTTATTTTAAATGAAGGAGCTAAAGAGGAGATCAGGAACTGAAGGCGCTGCATACTGGTGGCAGGATTCCAGGATGGGTTTCTGAGGAGGGAGACAGGGTGAGATTCCAGAGGGATTTGTGGAGATATTGATGTGGACGAAGGCTTGCCGTTTCCGGTAGCGGTAGGAGGCTCAGAGGGGAGTTTGATCAGGTCCAGGAGAGCTGAGGAGATCCAGGAGGCGACGAACAGTTTGTCCAGAGGTGAGGTTGGAGCGGAGGCAGGTGAGGGCGGGTGAGCGGCTGAGAGCGGGCGGCCAGGGGAACGGCAGTGTGATCTGGAGTGCAGGAATCCGAGCTGGCTATGGAGACGAGGGGATGAGGAATGAAACCCAAACAGAGTAATCATCCAACGTGGTGTTGTGTCACCCTGCTCCTTAAATCCCCTGGGCCTTGATGACAAGATCAGCTGCAGCTGGTTGCTCTCAGACACGCCCACCTGCAGACAAGACTCAGAGGACAAGATTACTGACAGGCAGCTCACCCTAGACCGTGACAAGGAGGGCCTGCTGAGTGCAGCTATGAGAATGTAAGGCGAGATGATTTTCATGAATGAATGCAGGACAGAGATCGGGTTTCTTGACATGGCAGGGGACGGCAGACTCAGCACAGACTCAGGTTTGTAGTTAGGATCTGCCACGCCACACTTAAAAACATCAATAAACAGAATATTCAAGAGGTGTTTTAATCATTTTATTGCTTTTGTTTGAAGGTTTTTTTAATCCACTTTAACACAACATGAACCTGTTACTCTGTTGAATTATTTAATTATATAGCTATAGAAAGTACATGGGATTCATTTAGAGATCCTCAGCTGAACTTTTATAAATTTATAGTCAACTGGACTGTTCATTTTTAGATTTTACACAATGATTTCCACCCAAACCACCCACATTTCAAGGTAAATGTCTGTTCAGGAATTTTGAAAGTGGTAATTTTCTCATCTTGACTTATGTAATGGAGTCAGAATGACAGTAAAGGCTTGTGACAAGAAAACCGAGGATCAGAGTCAGGTCTTAGTTTTCTTTTTTGCATGACTCCTGTGTCAGTGATGCTATTACAGGTTACACTTGGTTAGCTCCTCTTTAGTTCCATTCTCTCCTTACCTGTTGGGTTGTAACCTGTGTTGGACCCCACTGACCAGTTTATAAGCAGGACAGTTTTATTTTTTTGGAAGGGATACAAAAAATATCATGTAAATACTTTTCTTAGTGAAAAAGCAAAACTTTGCCACAACGGCAACATAAAATATGCCAACCATTTTTGTCTCTTTGGTGTATTTTCTCCTGTTTACTCATGAGACTGTCACACTGTGAATGGGGGGGGGGGGGGGGGGGGGGGTAGGGCCCAAGATGCCGAACCAGGGAGACATGAGGCAGGAGTTGGAATGAACGTAAAATCCTTTATTAGGAGCGATTGTCCAAAAAGTAAATCCAAAAGGTAGGAAGCTAAAACCAAAAATCCAAGTATGAAAAACCCCAAGAGACCTAGAGGCAAAGAGCACACTTAAAGAGCTGACCTGGAGAAAACATTGACACAAACAGCAGACCAACAACACATTGAGACGCAGACGGGCTTTTATACACAGGGGCAGGATGATTGGGAGATGAGCTGCAGGTGCGTGGGGAGAGAGAAACCTGGTGAAATCAATCTACTAATCAGGGAGAGGAAACTAAGCTGAGGAGGGTAAATAAAACATGACCCATGGATGAAAACCAAACCCAACGACTAGAAGAACAAGACAAATAACTAATGATCTAAAGAGGAAAGGAGATTAATAAACCGGTGGGGAAGGGCCTGGAAGAAAACCTGAATCTAAGAAACTACAGGGAAAAATTAGCTAGATGATATAAATATAAAGAAAACTAAAGAATAAGTGAACCTGGGAAAACCTGGTGGGAGCTGGAGACCTAAAGGGGCACAGAAACCTAAGGAGAGAACCAGGAGTGGGGCTGGGGAACACAAGGAGGCACATGAGGGAAACCTAGAGAGGGATGGAGAACACAAGGAGACACATGAGGGAGACGCCGCAGGATGCAGACCATGACAGGGGACAATGTTAATGTCACGTCGAGAGCAAGGGGGGTGCTATGCATTTTATCTGTATGTTTACCAATAACCCATTTCCTGATCGAAGAGGAGAGACCATTAAGCAGACAAGTCAACCAGTTATAACTGTGGCATATGCACGAAGCAAAATGCCCCGAACATCTGGTCACAGACTTTATTTAAACAAAAAGATAAGAAATGGGAGTGAGAGAGAGATTGTGTGTGTAGGGAGAGTCAAGAATGTGTGTGTGTGTGTGTGTGTGTGTGTGAGTGGCTTGTGTGGGTGTGTCTGAATACGTGGGCATGCAAAGAGGCATAGAGTAATACATATTACATTCACTTGATTGAATCAATGATCAAGAAATAATAGACATAAAATTTCCATAAAAGGGGCTTAGGACCCAAGATGCAGAACACCCAGAACGACACGAGGCAGGAGCGGATGTAAAAAATAAAAATTCCTTTTATTAGGATGGGGAACAAAAAAAAAAAAAAATCCAAAAGGGCAGGAAGCCAAGCCAAATATCTAAACCCTGCCAAAACCAAAAGCTCACTTTCTGAGCAGATAACTAGAGACCTAGTGGGGAAAAAAAACAACAACGCTGACACAGACAATGGACCGCCAAAACACTGCAGACAGGGTTATATACACAGGGCTGGGCGACTAGGAGACGAGGAGCAGGTGTGTGGGAGAGAACTGAGGAGAGAATAGTGAGATCAATTAACTAAATGGGAAGGGAAAACCAAGCAGAGGAGGAGAGTGTGAACCAAAGTGACCAGGAGAGACTAATAACTAAGTGGGAGAGAAACACATTGTAAATGGTAAAATGGCCTGTATTTGTATTATTTTTTAATTGTTTTTATGACACGACTATTTAATGCTTTTGTTGTTTTCTTTTGTTCAGTGCTTTGGTTGGTTGTAATGCCATGTTGAAAGCACATTTAAAATAAAATGGTATGGTATGGTGTGATCTGGCAGAGTTCAAAGAGGGCCTAAAACTACTCATTTTTAAAATTGAGTGAGCCTCTATAAAACTTTGTTGGGGCTCACAATAGCCCAGGGGCCTTGATAAATGCCGAACCCTATAATAAAGCCCCAGAATGGAAATCGTTTTTTTCCTGTCACTTGGCTAGGGCATGGAATTTAAATAAGCTGCATGCTGATTTACGCCAGTGACTGACTGCCTGCATCAAAATACTCTGTACTACAGTGTTTACATGTGTTTGAAGAAGAAGAGGCGCATCTCAAGATAAAAAAATAAAAGAAATGTTAAATATTGTAATAAAAATGGGTAAAAATGAAAATAGGAAGACAAAAACGAATATGAAAAGGTAATCGTGGGATTCAGAGAAAGGCAGAATTGGTAAAAACAGCAGCATGAAAAGAAGGTAGAGGGGAAGAATTAACAGGAAGTCACACCAAATCCAGCCTCAACAGGTGAGTTTTTAGCTACTTTTTAAAGGAGACCACTGAGTCCACTGATCTCAGGCTCAGGGGAGATAGGTTCAGAGTCTGGGGGCCACAGCAGCAGATGATCTGTCACCTTTGGTCTTTAGCCTGGTGCACTTTGGTCACTGGACCTCAGAGACCTGCTGGGGGACCGCTGTCCCATACTGCTGTAGCCTCCAGGAATGGTCAGTTTTCCACCTACAGTCTGGCCTCTTCAGTATCTGGCCATTTGGAGACATAAGTCTTAACTGGTGCTTTTAAACTGCAAGAAAGATACTGTTGCTTGGCCAAGGTCCCTCGCAAGCTCACTCTTATCTAAGACTGGCATTTATTCACAGAACAAGACTGTCATGTTTGGGGGAAGGTACCTAACCCACAACATGCAGAACACAACACAGACCAAGAACGGGGTAAAAAAATTATTTAAGGAACTGAGGATGCACAGAATATCTGTGGCTGGAATTGCTACGACAGCTCAGCGTCTGGAGGAGGGAGAACACTGGTGAGCATAGATTCAGAATTGGAAATCCATTTAGGCAGAGGTGTTCAGCGGGACTTACTGTGGGACGAGAGTTTGCTGGCTGGAGGAGGGAGCAGGCTGAGAGCCGGGGGAAGCGCAGGAGAGGGAGCACAGGTGGAGGTAAGCGGGGCGTCCTGGTGGCTGGGGCACTGGGTTGAGATGAGAGAGGAGAGTTATGGAGATTGGTGATATGGTCCG